ACTGGTTGGCTGTGTTTTCAATCCATGTCTCCTTTGCAAACACAAACACACTTGTCTTGAATTTCTAGTCACTGTACTGCTGCTGTCAGACTAGCCTGGTCCCACATCTCTTTGTGCTCTTTTCAACTCCATTGAGCTCCTTGTCAAGCCGAACATGGCATGATAATTAGGTTGTTTTCACACTTGGTCCCTTTCAGCCAATTTTTGTGAACTCGGTGTGGTTTGCAGATTTTTTTTGTGCCGTGTGAACACTCCAAAATAATTCAGACCCCTCGAAAGAGCCCCAACGCGACCGAACTGAGACCATCTCGAGAGGTGGTCTGAGTTCTGTTCGCTTTAATTCCCTGGTCCGGTTCCCTTTTTTTTAGGACAATGTGAACACAAAGCTCCCCAGGTTTGCTTGTCATTATTCCCACACTAGACTATTGCAACACCGTTACCCCTGCCATAAACCTTCACATTGGTGTCACTAAAAGGAGAAGAAAATGTGCAGATTCGCAGAAAAAAAAGGGTGCTGTTTTTGGATGTTTAGCGATTGTCAAGGGTGCACAGACGTTACAAAATATGTGTGGAGTTTCTAGTTCAGATCATTTGTTTGCTATATGAGATCTATAAGAGAGCTTAATAAGCTGTTTATTCAATTGTGGGGTTTGAATAGTGTGAGAAGACAACATATTGTGAGAATCACAACATACTGTAGGGTACAAAATCTATTCTAGCAGCCTACATTGGGTGTACAGTTTTCAATTACAGCATTCTTTTTTAAATCTGCTGTTTTTATTACAATAATATTTACATGTTAATAGTATCTTCTGATTACAGTTATTATGTCTCATATTTTAACTAAATGCAATCTATTAGCTTCCAAAATGTAAGTAGGCATATCTAGCTGTCCGATAACACGTTCTGATGAAATAGCTTGTCCTGCACTTTCTAAAATCCCAGAGTGCATTGATTAAATGTTGGAAAAAGATCTTGGTTCCTTTCTAAATAATAATATAATAATATGCCATTTAGCAGACGCTTTTATCCAAAGCGACTTATAGTCATACATAGCAATGTGAATGCAAAGATGAATCAGACCACAAAATGGGTGAAGTGAACTGTCAAAAGAGTTGAGTCCTCATTCAAAGGTAAGGGCAGTGTGAATACAAAGAGAACTGAGTTCTTTAGCTTTTTAAAAAACTCAATTTAAAGAGGACTCCGATCAGTTCTTTTAAAGAGGACCATATGTGAAAACACCCTTTTAGTGCCAAGGAGTTGGCATTATGGCACAAACAGACTGGCACTCAGGCTAGTTTCAGATTGTAAATTGCTGCTGATGTAAATTCTTATAGGATGCGTCCCAAATGTCAAGTCAAAAGTAGTGCACAAATGTAGGGAATATGGTACCATTTGGTATGTAGGGTAAGCATACCTATTAAGCCCATGTACCCATTAAGCCCACTTCCATCTTTCGATTCAAATAAACAAAAAAACAAAAAATATTTTCTGCTGTTTAATGTTTAAACTAATTCATCTGGTTGTTATATCTACAATTTTTTTTTATTCTAAGCCAATCAGATATTTTGTTAAGTTATTGACAATTATGTGTAAGTTCCCAATTTTAAAAGCTGCAAATCATTTTTTGCCATTGAGGCTACCCTCAGATAAACACATTTTCCAGATATTTTTAGTACCTTCTCAAATAAGTGATCATACTTTATCCAAAATTAAGAGATTCATGTGCTGATGTAAGCACATGACAGCATATTTGATAAGCATTCATTACTATTTCTTGCCAATTGTCAGTCTCACAGTAGCAACATAACTTGGTGAATAGATTTCAGGCATTTACTGCTTACATTTTTAAAATGTTTTTTTTCTTCATATTTTACTGTTAGATGAACGTTGCTTTGTTACACAGATACCATTTTGGTAAATTTGACATTGATCTCAGGTAGGCTTAAAAGGGTACAGTAGCACAAAAAGCACTCTTGCTATACAAATGTAAATGACAGTAAAGCAATATCGTTCAATATGATCAATACTAACTTTGCATAATATTGTAGTCTGTAGTGTACCCCAAACCATTGGTTTCCAAATATTTTGAGTAGACTTTGCTATTCTGTCTTTTTCAACATAAATTGCTGTTCCAATTAATCCCAGTATGCTCCTATTAAGCCCAGTTTTTATTGAAACACACGGGGATAGTGTGTTAATATCCCTAATATTCAATGAACATGAGCATAAATGTTTTTTGTTCAGATTTAAGTTGATTAAAACACACAAACTACAGTTATGCATATTGTGTATCTAGCCATGGTGCCTTTACCAAGATTCAAAACAATTAGAAACCTCCGTGCTCTCTCCAAGACATTTGGACTCAACAGGTAGTCGTTGATGCAGAGAGTAGAATAAGACCAGGGTTGAGGGATATCAGATATAGAAAACCTGTAGGTGGTGGATAAAAATGCAAACAAATGAGGCACAAGAAGATTACTATTGGGAGACTACTCATGCACTTTTGGGTGGGGGCATTGTCATAGTTGTCTTTCATTCATCCAGGTGATTCTGTTTTTAGGTCCACCACCAGTACCTTTTTAATACACCGTAGAGGGAGATTTGAAACTTTCTTCAGATTGGCTTTAGGAAGACGTGTTGAACAAATTAACAAGAATAGCTGTACAGCAAATGTGAATCAGCTTTCAGATAATTCATTGAAAGTTTTGTGTGTAATGGTCTTTGTTGCATGGCTTCTTATCCACAGAGGGCCAGTTTGGGTGCAGGTTTGTGTTCTAACTAAGCAATAACACACCTGATTCGGCTAATGTCTTGATTGAAGTCTATGATTAGTTGAATCAGGTGTGTACTGGTCTGCAAGAACAAAAGCCCAAGTCCACATGGATCTATGTGGATACGATTGGACACCCCGCTGTTATAAGTGCTACTTTCATGATGTATAGCAATGATCATTTTATTTTAATGACTTTAGGGGTCGATTTAATATAATCTAATTTTACATAAGAAATGTCACTTTGTAAGTTCTGAACATTTGTAAATTAATTAAAATTGATTGTTTTAGAGGTGGGCTTATTTGGAACACCCATGGGCTTAAACGGTTCACTCGGTAACCATTAAGCCCAGTCCGGACATTTTATCAAATATTTGTGTCTTATTAAAACACGTTGTAAGTAAAGTCATAACTTCACGAGAGATTAAATATTTGTCTTATTAAAACACAAGATTAATCTTTCATTTTATATCCCATTTTCTTACAAAAATGAGGGCAGTATATGTTAGAAATGTCTGAACTCAGAGTTTGGTGGGCTTAATAGGTACACTTACCCTACTCGTGGTTATGCAGCTGCAGCATATGGGTGGGGACTGGGGAGCTTGAAGTTCCTCTCTTCCAGGAATCGGTTTGTGCACTGCAGGCTCATTGTATTTTTGTCCTAACTCATTGGATGCATCCCACATAGCTCCCTCGTCAAAAGTAGTGCACTATATATGGAATAGGGTGCAATTTGGGACTCAGACATAAACATGCCCTGCAGGCAAGGCACTTACTGGAGGGCCCTCTGGTTTTGACCAATGTTTTTCCAGGAAAAGCGGGGAAAACCTCAAAGGCTGGAACTGGGATTGCTTTGGGGTTGAATATTATAGTGATGATGTCATATTGTCAATAGTAGAGTTCCAAGTTCCAACAAAGCTGCCCTCTCCTCCAACCCCCCCCCCCAGAGTCCCTGGCTGCATCCCAAATGTCACCCTATTCCCTTTAGGCCCTGAAAAGTAGTGCACTATATAGGGAATAGGGTGCCATTTGGGACAGAGCCCCTCTCTGTCCGGCATGTGCAGAACAGAGAGGGAGAGAGACAAACAACAAGGCACATGATTGTGCAACACTGTCTGCCTGCTCGACTTAAGGTCACCCCTGTCCCTGACCGTGTAAGACAAGATAATTTGCAAGCATGTTTTAAAAATGCATGCACTGCACTCACTAACTATTAATTGCTGCTGCCAACCATTACAGTGAGAGGGACAGAGATCTTTTGTCAGTGCTGTCTTGCTATTTGGTACTCTGGCTGGGCCAGTAACATTCAGGCATTCTCTCACATGCATTCCAGGGATTTCAGGATGTGGTGTAGTCCTGCTTAGAGGAGAGGATAGTCGTCTCATGGCCCGGAGCAGGAGGAGCCCGTGGCTAGAACTCATTAATGCAACACACTCACCCTGTAGATGGAACATTCTGAACTGTCTCTTTACCCCTATCTGTCTCTCTCTCTCATAAACAGCTGCAGCACCTGTCTGTGCAGGCTTGAAAAAGACTGTGTGTCATGCCACACCATGTGATTCAGGAAGGAAGGTTATTCAGGCCATCATCATTACATGATTTTCTGTTTACATTGCACCTAGCTAGCACAGGTTAGTGTTAGCGGGCAGGGCAAGCTTTTTATTGTTTTATTTTAATTATCGTATCGTCAGCCAAGGCTGTGGTTGCAGGATGTTGATTAGGCCTAGCTGTGTATGCACTTGGGTTGTAAGTGTACTGCCATTTCTGTGTTATAAGTGACAGTCAGAGGATGCACAGTTTAGACCCTTTGTTCTCCCATGGATCTAAAGCAGTGGCAGGGCATTCCAATCCAGGCTGTACTGTTCTAGATTAACAGCTGGTCTCTCAGGGGATGCAGTGTTATGTTTCAGTGTTTGTCATAAGTATTGCACAGCAAGCAGCACACAAATTATGACTGTTCCTTTCTGCAAAATTATTTTGCCCAGGGTTCAAGCGCATTCTTCATCGTATCAAAGCATGGTGTGTTTGTGTTGTGTGTGTGTGCACTGCATGCATCCATGCACGGGTGTGGGGCTGTGCTGTGCACTTTTGTGTGTGTGTGTGGGGGGATCCAATGTGTCTGTCTGGGTGGCGTCAGTCACACATTCACACTGTTCCCTGAGCAGGGTGGGGTCAGGGTTATCCTGTTCTGTTTTCTCTCTGTTGTATTATTTTCCTTCTGCTTCAGATCCTGCTGTCATTCTGCTGGCGTTACAGATAATGATGTTGAGGAGCTACAGATGCATGCAACACAAGAATGGTAATTGGATAGAGACATTGCGTAGAATAAAAAAAGAAAAGCTCAGTTGCACCCTTCAGTCTTTACAAAGATGTAGCCAATGCTCTGGCATAGTAATGGGTCTTATCTGAAATCACTCAGTTAAAAAGTAGAATTTTAGCAATCATTTTATCCCATTCGGCTGGTGGGGAAATAGGCATTGTGAGCAAGTCTGCTTCCCAATGGTGATGTGGATATACTCGGAATACATATCCCAAATGAAATAAATGATCTCACTCCCCAAAAAATTAATAGAAAGTTAGCAAAAATAGACAAGATCTTGCTACCATGGAACGGTAAATACCTGTCAATTTGTGGAAAAATCACACCGATTAACTCTTTATTATCCCAGTTTACATATTTGCTTATGGTCTTGCCTACTCCTAGCGAACAGTTTTTTTTTTTAATTATGAGAATTTTTTTCCATTTTATTTGGAATGGCAAGCCAGACAAAATTAAACGGGCCTATTTATATAATGAATAGTATTAAATGTTAAAGCATTAGACCTATCACTAAAAGCTTCAGTCATACAAAAATTATACTTAAATCCGAACTGGTTCTCTAGCAAACTAGTAAGATTGTCTCACCCAATGTTCAAGAAGGGACTTTTTCCCTTCATTCAGATTACAACCCCTCACTTTCAGGTATTTGAAAAGGAAATCATCTCCCAAATATCACTATTTCTAAAACAAGCCATAGAAAGTTGGTTGCAATTTCAATTGAATCCTCCAGAAATGACAGAACAAATATTGCAACAAATATTGTGGTTAAACTCAAATATACTAATTGATAAAAAAAAAAATAATAATATTGAGAAAATTAAAAAAAAAGGTATAATATTCGTAAATGATATTATCGGTAGGAATGGAGTTATGTTGCACATGCAGCTAACAAAAACATATGGAAATGTCTGCTCTACCCAAAATTACAACCAAATAATTGCAGCATTACCTCAAAAATGGAAGAGGAAAGTGGGAGGAAGAAGTAAGGAAGTTGTCTGTCGGCCTTGCATTAAAGAACATAATTTGTTAAAGAAAATTGTGATAAATAAAGAAGTTTACCAGTTTAATTTAAGGACCAAAAGATTGACAGCCGTCCCATATAGATTGCAAAATAGTTGGGAAGAGATTTTTGACGTACCGATTCCATGGCATAGTGTTTATGAACTGATACACAAAACGACGCTGGATTCAAAACTTATAATTTATAAAAGTCTTGCTACCAATAGAATGTTATTTGTATGGGGGATACAATCTTCCCAGCTCTGCAGATTTAGCTGCGAAGAGACAGCATCATTAGATCATTTGTTTTGGTACTGTCCATTTGTAGCTTGTTTCTGGACACAGGTCCAGGAATGGCTGAAGGATTGCAATATTTGCATGGAGCTGACCCTGCAGATGGCACTACAGGGTGATCTGAAAAGTCATAGTCAATCGATCAATAATATAATAATACTTTTAGCAAAGATGTTTATTTTCTATTCACAAACTGTAGAAACAATGAGAATAGAAAGGTTCAGAACTTTTGTAAAACATCATAGTACAGTTGAAAAATATATGGCAAATAGAAATCCAAAATGGATGGTGTTAAGAGATAGATGGGAGGTGTTGAATAGAGCTGAAGGATGGGACTAATAACAACAAGATAACTAGTGTAAGACATGCTGTGTCCATAATAAGTATATAGGTTATATATTGTGAGCTTTTGTGAAAGAGCACAGTTAGAAAGATATGGCATATAGAAGCATGCCAGATGGACATCATGAAAATGATCGGAGGAAGTTCAGGAGTAAAAACAAACAAAATATAATTAGTGACTGTCCATAAAATGTATATAGTATGTACAGTGGGGAAAAAAAGTATTTAGTCAGCCACCAATTGTGCAAGTTCTCCCACTTAAAAAGATGAGAGAGGCCTGTAATTTTCATCATAGGTACACGTCAACTATGACAGACAAAATGAGGGAAAAAAATCCAGAAAATCACATTGTAGGATTTTTAATGAATTTATTGGCATATGATTGTGGAAAATAAGTATTTGGTCAATAACAAAAGTTTCTCAATACTTTGTTATATACCCTTTGTTGGCAATGACACAGGTCAAACGTTTTCTGTAAGTCTTCACAAGGTTTTCACACACTGTTGCTGGTATTTTGGCCCATTCCTCCATGCAGATCTCCTCTAGAGCAGTGATGTTTTGGGGCTGTCGCTGGGCAACACAGACTTTCAACTCCCTCCAAAGATTTTCTATGGGGTTGAGATCTGGAGACTGGCTAGGCCACTCCAGGACCTTGAAATGCTTCTTACGAAGCCACTCCTTCGTTGCCCGGGCGGTGTGTTTGGGATCATTGCCATGCTGAAAGACCCAGCCACGTTTCATCTTCAATGCCCTTGCTGATGGAAGGAGGGTTTCACTCAAAATCTCACGATACATGGCCCCATTCATTCTTTCCTTTACACGGATCAGTCGTCCTGGTCCCTTTACAGAAAAATAGCCCCAAAGCATGTTGTTTCCACCCCCATGCTTCACACAAGGTATGGTGTTCTTTGGATGCAACTCAGCATTCTTTGTCCTCCAAACACAACGAGTTGAGTTTTTACCAAAAAGTTCTATTTTGGTTTCATCTGACCATATGACATTCTCCCAATCCTCTTCTGGATCATCCAAATACACTCTAGCAAACTTCAGACGGGCCTGGACATGTACTGGCTTAAGCAGGGGGACATGTCTTGCACTGCAGGATTTGAGTCCCTGGCGGTGTAGTGTGTTACTGATGGTAGGCTTTGTTACTTTGGTCCCAGCTCTCTGCAGGTCATTCACTAGGTCCCCCCGTGTGGTTCTGGGATTTTTGCTCACCGTTCTTGTGATCATTTTGACCCCACGGGGTGACATCTTGCGTGGAGCCCCAGATCGAGGGAGATTATCAGTGGTCTTGTATGTCTTCCATTTCCTAATAATTGCTCCCACAGTTGATTTCTTCAAACCAAGCTGCTTACCTATTGCAGATTCAGTCTTCCCAGCCTGGTGCAGGTCTACAATTTTGTTTCTGGTGTCCTTTTGACAGCTCTTTGGTCTTGGCCATAGTGGAGTTTGGAGTGTGACTGTTTGAGGTTGTGGACAGGTGTCTTTTCTACTGATAACAAGTTCAAACAGGTGCCATTAATACAGGTAACGAGTGGAGGACAGAGGAGCCCCTTAAAGAAGAAGTTACAGGTCTGTGAGAGCCAGAAATCTTGCTTGTTTGTAGGTGACCAAATACTTATTTTCCACCATAATTTGCAAATAAATTCATAAAAAATCCTACAATGTGATTTTCTGGAGAAAAAAAATCTCTATTTGTCTGTCATAGTTGACGTGTACCTATGATGAAAATTACAGGCCTCTCTCATCTTTTTAAGTGGGAGAACTTGCACAATTGGTGGCTGACAATCCTTTTTTCCCCACTCTGTGTGTGTGTGTGTGTGTGTGTGTGTGTGTGTATATATATATATATACACACACACACACACACACACACACACACACACAGTGAGGGAAAAAAGTATTTCATCCCCTGCTGATTTTGTACGTTTGCCCACTGACAATAACATGATCAGTCTATGATTTTAATGGTAGGTTTATTTGAACAGTGAGAGACAGAATAACAACAAAAAATCCAGGAAAAAGCATGTCAAAAATGTTATAAATTGAATTGCACTTTAATGAGGGAAATCAGTATTTGACCCCTCAGCAAAACATGACTTAGTACTTGGTGGCAAAACCCTTGTTGGCAATCACAGAGGTCAGACGTTTCTTGTAGTTGGCCACCAGGTTTGCACACATCACAGGAGGGATTTTGTCCCACTCCTCTTTGCAGATCTTCTCCAAGTCATTAAGGTTTCGAGGCTGACGTTTGGCAACTCGAACCTTCAGCTCCCTCCACAGATTTTCTATAGGATTAAGGTCTGGAGACTGGCTAGGCCACTCCAGGACCTTAATGTGCTTCTTCTTGAGCCACGCCTTTGTTGCCTTGGCCGTGTGTTTTGTCATTGTCATGCTGGAATACCCATCCACGACCCATTTTCAATGCCCTGGCTGAGAGGAGGTTCTCACCCAAGATTTGACGGTACATGGCCCCATCCATCGGCCCTTTGATGCGGTGAAGTTGTCCTGTCCCCTTAGCAGAAAAACACCCCCAAAGCATAATGTTTACACCTCCATGTTTGACGGTGGGAATGGTGTTCTTGGGGTCATAGGCAGCATTCCTCCTCCTCCTCCAAACACGGCGAGTTGAGTTGATGCCAAAGAGCTCGATTTTGGTCTCATCTGACCACAAAACTTTCACCCAGTTCTCCTCTGAATTATTCAGATGTTCATTGACAAACTTCAGACGGGCCTGTATATGTGCTTTCTTGATCAGGGGGACCTTGCGGGCGCTGCAGGATTTCAGTCCTTCACGGCGTAGTGTGTTACCAATTGTTTTCTTGGTGACTATGGTCCCAGCTGCCTTGAGATCATTGACAAGATCCTCCCGTGTAGTTCTGGGCTGATTCCTCACCGTTCTCATGATCATTGCAACTCCACGAGGTGAGATCTTGCATGGAGCCCCAGGCCGAGTGAGATTGACAGTTATTTTGTGTTTCTTCCATTTGCGAAAAAACGCACCAACTGTTGTCACCTTCTCACCAAGCTGCTTGGCGATGGTCTTGTAGCCCATTCCAGCCTTGTGTAGGTCTACAATCTTGTCCCTGTCATCCTTGGAGAGCTCTTTGGTCTTGGCCATGGTGGAGAGTTTGGAATCTGATTGATTTTGCTTCTATGGACAGGTGTCTTTTCTACAGTTAACAAACTGAGATTAGGAGCACTCCCTTTAAGAGTGTGCTCCTAATCTCAGCTCGTTACCTGTATAAAAGACATCTGGGAGCCAGAAATCTTTCTGATTGAGAGGGGGTCAAATACTTATTTCCCTCATTAAAATGCAAATCATAATATAACATTTTTGACATGTGTTTTTCTGGATTTTTTTGTGGTTATTCTGTCTCTTACTGTTCAAATAAACCTACCATTAAAATTATAGACTGATCATTTCTTTGTCAGTGGGCAAACATACAAAATCAGCAGGGGATCATATATATATATATATATGTATGTATGTATGTATGTGTGTGTGTGTGTGTGTGTGTGTGTGTGTGTGTGTGCGTGTGTGTGCGCGCGATGAAAAAAACAAAAAAAAACATATGGGGGATTGGAAGTGATGCAGACAATTACATTGATGGAAGTTACAATCTATCTGCAATATTAAAGCTGATCTACCTCCTAAAAATAAATAAAGGTTGCTTCCCAAATGGCACCCTATTGTAGTGCACTAATTTTGACCATGGCCAATAGGGCATTTGGGGAATAGGGTGCCATTTGGGACATACTTCAAGTGTGCTCCTCTCCCTCTCCAGCCAGCTGTATGGGCCTCCAGGTCACGTGTCGCCCAACACAATGGAGTCCTCCTGCCTCATACTTAAGTCCTTGTACTATGGGGGTTTCAAAAGTCACTACAGCACCATTTTAAGCTAAATGTTCTGATCTGTTGCATCCAGAGTATGTGAGCGGAGTGGAGAGGTCGGAAATCCTACTCATCTGTCGTGCGCTCCAGGTTCTTTCCAACTTTTCCACAAAAAATAGCTCCTCGCTCACAGAAAAAAAACTGCCGCTCCATTCATTAAAATCACCATTTAATCAACACCTATATATTCTTGTGACTACCTGGACCTACCGTTATTTGGTTTTGAAGTATTGAAACCGAACCATATGATTTGAATGAAAAGTATTTTAATAAACAACATGAAAAGGTGACTGTTTGAAGCGCTCATCATTTCAAATAGGCTACATGTCGTATTAAACAGCATATAAACACGCTAAATGGGTCAGGAGCCAGACAGTTAAACTAAGAAGGAATGGAAATGAAATATTTAGGCTATTATTAGGCTATAGCCTACAAATAAATAAATTGTGACGCATTTGTGAGTGAGACACACTACGCTGGCAGGAACGTTAAGCGCTCAGCATTTAAACATTTGTTTTTGAATGCAATCATAATCTATAAATTGCGCATTTAGGCTGTGACTGACTTATAATTAAATAAAAATAAAACAAAAAATGCTTTTAGGCTCATGCCTGATGTCCACCAGATGCATATGCGTTTTGTTTTGCTGGATGTCAAGCCAGCATTTTCCGTACTTGACGCCCAAGTGCTTTGCTTTTTAACTAGCTAAAAGTTAGCTAATTGGAGCCTGTGTTCTTCCGTTTGTACCACCGCATGGTAAAGTAATGCATGAGTTGAAAATATTGAATGCATGCGTTACACAGAACGCACTGCAGCCTAGTGTGGCACCCCCAACGTAGTGTTGCGGACTGCTCCATTGACAATGAATGACTTCAGCCGGAACGCAATTACTTTGATGCATCTGGTGGACACGAGCCGTCAGTCTATAGTGCATTTGAATTCACTTTTAGAAACACGAGATTGGCCAGAGTCTGTGGCTTCAGTGCCTGGAGAGCAGGCCAGCAGCAGAGAATACCCTCTCCGTGCTTGCAGAGCCACTGGGGATGCTAAATACCCTTCGGGCCACTCTTATTTTATTTTCTATAGGTAAGCCTAAATGTTTTTAGGCAAAATAACCCTATCAAAACGGAAAGCTCCTTGATAGAGGTCATATGTCAGGCCTATTGAGCCAAAATCAATTCCACAAGGAGTCTTTAGTTGTGGACACTACATCACCGCACTCCCTCTCTTGCTCTTGGTCCTCATCTTTGTAAGTCACCTTGATTTTGCACCTGTGTTTTATCAGTTTCTTTCTGAAAATATTTAGTGAACTCCATGACCGTAGCTAAAGCAAGGGGCTATAGCAGCACACAAGTAGCCTACTTGCTGGGTATGCCCTGAGCTCGTGAAGTAAAGTGGGTGCTACTGGAGTGGTACTGGAGCGAAATTGGAGCCGCTCCATCCTTTTGCAAACTCGCTCAGTGCTCCAGTCAAATTGGGCTCACGCCTAGGCCTAATGGTAGTATGAATTTGGGATCTATCGTCCCACAACTGTCCCAGAGTCTGTTTGGGCTATTTATTTCCCAACAAGCTGACCAATAGAATAGGTGAGCTTTTCTACTATGGGGGATAGTAGATTGACATAGGCTCATAGGTGGTGTGTCCATAAGGCTAGGGGAAGCTAAGCTTTTTCTAAGTAAATTGAATTAAATTCCCAAAATTATATAGCCTAATTAGCCTACTCTTGTCTATACATAAATAAATAAAATCATTCAAAATAGGCTACTAAAGCATGATTTGGCCACAGCAGGTCATTAGCTTAAAAATAAATAAGTTGTGGATTGTTTTAAATCGCATTGCTTACAGTCGGAAAGGAAGCGTGTGCAATTTGGGCAGCGTGTGCATCAAATACCAAATAGATGATTGTTGAGTTGCGACTGTTAGTGAAAAGTAGAGGCCCAGCCAGGCATATCGCAATATTTAGAAATTAAATTGCGGTGATAGAAGAATTTGTATGTGTAAAGTAATGACTAAAGTGTTTCCATCCCGATACTGTATAAATGTGTAAACTGTGTTAGAGTTATAAGACAATAAAACCACTAACAGGGAAGATGTGTTTTTAGCGCCAGAGCTCTCATGAATAAAAAGACGGACCTAATGCAGAACGGGACTTTGTTTAATTCATTATTAAACCAGAGCCTTACACCCTCTGGGAATTATTCAAAGCTTGCAACCATTGAGATAACAAAATTCTCGTGACAGCGGGAAAACATAGTTTGGAAAGAAAATCGGTATTGCTGTAAAGAGAAGACAATGAAAATACTCACCTGTCTTTTTTAGTTCTTACAATTATCAATTTAATTGAGCGAACAACAGTAGGCCTATAGCCTATCTTACTGGCACCAGTGGAGAGCATCGGCCATGTCCCTGGTGAGTGCGCACTGCACATATTCACTCTTTATCATTGTTTGTTCAGTGCTACTTAAGTTTTGTTTTTGGACAATCATTTCCAACTCCAGCTTAGATGGACATCATTCTATTTGTGTCTCCCCTTCTCATAGGCCAATTATATGGGCAACATCATTTTTATTGATATGTTTGTCAGTGTCAGCAGAGTAGGCTAACCTGTAATTAGTTGTATAAAAAAAAAAAACCCTGCTATTGTCAAATCAAATGGTATTTGTCACACGCGCCGAATACAACCGTTTAGACCTTACAGTGAAATGCTTACTTACAAGCCCTTAACCAACAATGCAGTTTTAAGAAAGAATACCAAAAAATGTAATGCACACACAAAAATACAATATAAAATAATTAAAGAGCCGCAGTAAAAATAACAATAGCGAGGCTATATACAAGGGGTACCGGTACCGAGTCAATGTGCGGGGGAACCGGTTAGTCGAGGTAATGGTGGTAATATGTACATGTAGGTAGAGTTATTAAAGTGACTATGCATAGATAATAAACAGAGAGTAGCAGCAGCGTAAAAGAGGGGTTGGGGGAAATGCAAATAGTCTGGGTAGCCATTTGATTAGATGTTCAGGGGTCTTATGGCTTGAGGGTAGAAGCTGTTTAGAAGCCTCTTGGACCTAGACTTGGCGCTCCGTTACCTCTTTCTGTGCGGTAGCAGAGAGAACAGTCTGACTAGGGTGGCTGGAGTCTTTGATCATTTTTAGGGCCTTCCTCTGATACCGCCTTGTATAGAGGTCCTGGATGGCAGGAAGCTTGGCCCCAGTGATGTACTGGGCCGTACGCACTACCCTCTGTAGTGCCTTGCGGTCGGAGGCCAAGCAGTTACCATACCAGGCAGTGATGCAACCAGTTAGGATGCTCTCGATGTTGCAGCTGTAGAACCTTTTGAGGATCTGAGGACCCATGCCAAGTCTTTTCAGTCTCCTTAGGCAGAATAGGTTTTGTTGTGCCCTCTTCACGACTGTCTTGCTGTGCTTGGACTATGTTAGTTTGTTGGTGATGTGGACACCAAGGAACTTGAAGCTCTCAACAGCCCCGTCGATGAGAATGGGGGCGTGCTCGGTCCTATTATTTTTCCTGTAGTCCACAATCATCTCCTTTGTCTTGATCACGTTGAGGGAAAAGTTGTTGACCTGGCACCACACAGCCAGCTCTCTGACCTCCTCCCTATATGCTGTCTCGTCGTTGTCGGTGATCAGGCCTACCACTGTTGTCATCGGCAAACTTAATGATGGTGTTCAAGTCGTCCCTGGCCATGCAGTCATGAGTGAACAGGGAGTACAGGATGGGACTGAGCACGCACCCCTGAGGGGCCCCCGTGTTGAGGATCAGCGTGGCGGATGTGTTGTTACCTGCCCTTACCACCTGGGGGTGGCCCGTCTGGAAGTCCAGGATCCAGTTGCAGAGGAAGGTGTTTAGTCCCAGGGTCCTTAGCTTAGTGATGAGCTTTGAGGGCACTATGGTGTTGAACGCTGAGTTGTAGTCAATTAATAGCATTCTCACATAGGTGTTCCTTTTGTCCAGGTGTGAAAGGGTAGTGTGGAGCGCAATAGAGATTGCATCATCTGTGGATCTGTTGGGGCGATATACAAATTGGAGTGGGTCTAGGGTTTCTGGGATAATGGTGTTGATGTGAGCCATGACCAGCCTTTCAAAGCACTTCATGGCTACAGACGTGAGTGCTACGGGTCGGTAGTCATTTAGGCAGTTTACCTTGGTGTTCTTGGGCACAGGGACTATGGTGGTCTGCTTGAAACATGTTGGTATTAAAGACTCAAACAGGGAGAGGTTGAAGATGTCAGTGAAGACACTTGCCAGTTGGTCAGCGCATGCTCGGAGTACACGTCCTGGTAATCCGTCTGGCCTTGTGAATGTTGACCTGTTTTAAAGGTCTTACTCACATTGGCTACGGTGAGCGTGATCACACAGTCATCCGGAACAGCTGATCAGTGTTACTTGCCTCGAAGCGAGCATAGAAATAATTTAGCTCGTCTGGTAGGCTCGTGTCACTGGGCAGCTCGCGGCTGTGCTTCCCTTTGTAGTCCGTAATAGTTTGCAAGCCCTGCCACATCCGACGAGCGTCAGAGCCGGTGTAGTACGATTCAGTCTTTGTCCTGTATTGATGCTTTAGCTGGATTTCTTATACGTTTCCGGGTTAGAGTCCCGCTCCTTGAAAGCGGCAGCTCTACCCTTTAGCTCAGTGCGGATGTTGCCGGTAATCCATGGCTTCTTGATGGGGTATGTACGTACAGTCACTGTGGGGATGACATCATCGATGCACTTATTGATGAAGCCAGTGACTGATGTGGTGTACTCCTCAATGCCATCAGAAGAATCCCGGAACATATTCCAGTCGGTGCTAGCAAAACAGTCCTGTAGCTTAGCATCTGCTTCATCTGACCACTTATTTATTGACCGAGTCACTGGTGCTTCCTGCTTTAGTTTTTGCTTGTAAGCAGGAATCAGGAGGATAGAATTATGGTCAGATTTTCCAAATGGAGGGAGAGCTTTGTATTCATCTGTGTGTGGAGTAAAGGTGGTCTAGAGTTTTTTTTTTCCCCCTCTGGTTGCACATTTAACATGCTGGTAGAAATTAGGTAAAACGGATTTAAGTTACCCTGCATTAAAGTCCCTGGCCACTAGGAGTGCCGCCTCTGGATGAGCGTTTTCCTCATTTCTACCAGAAATGCAAAGGCAGATTAGCCCTTGTCGCCGGCTACTTACCAAGCACCCCGATCTCCTTCCGCAATATCTCCTATTCTTTCTGCTGCGAATTACGGGGATGAGGGCCCTGTCGGGTGTCTGGAGAAAATCCCTCTCGTCCGACTCATTAAAGAAAAATTATTTGTCCAGTTCAAGGTGAGTAATCGCTGTTCTGATGTCCAGATGCTGTTTTCGGTCATAAGAGACGGTAGCAGCAACATTATTTACTAAATAATGTACTGGGAGTACCTGGCGCCAACTAAGATGGCGGCCTCGCGACTAGCTCTTAGGAAATGTTGCAGTATTTTGTTTTTTTATGTATTTTTTACATTATTTAGCGCAGAAAGTGTTTTGTATCATTACATACAGCCGGGAAAACTATTGGATATCAGAGCGGCGGTAACTCACCAGCATTACGACCAGGAATACGACTTTCCCGATGCAGATCCTTTGTTTGCTCTCCCCAGGGCAACTAAAATTAGTCGCCGAAATTGTAGCAACCCCTATTACTAGCCTGTTCAACCTCTCTTTCGTATCATCTGAGATCCCCAGAGATTGGAAAGCTGCCGCGGTCATCCCCCTCTTCAAAGGGGGTGACACTCTAGATCCAAACTGTTACAGACCTATATCCATCCTGCCCTGCCTTTTCGAAAGTATTTGAAAGCTGTCTTCATCGACCTGGCCAAGGCTTTCGACTCAGTCAATCACAGCATTCTTATTGGCAGACTAAATAGCCTTGGTTTCTCAAATGACTTCCTCGCCTGGTTCACCAACTATTTCTCAGATAGAGGTCAATGTGTCAAATCGGAGGGCCTGTTTTCTGGACCTCTGGCAGTCTCTATGGGGGTGCCACAGGGTTCAATTCTCGGGCTGACTCTATTCTCTGTGTATATCAATGTCGCTCTTGCTGCTGGTGACTCTCAGATCCACCTCTATGCAGACGACACCATGTTATATACATCTGGCCCTTCATTGGACACTGTGTTAACAAACCTCCAAACGAGCTTCAATGCCATACAACACTCCATCCGTAGCCTCCAACTGCTCTTAAACGCTAGTAAAACTAAATGCATGCTCTTTAATCGAACGTTGCTTGCACCCGCCTGCCCCACTAGAATCACTACTCTCGGCGGGTCTGACTTAGAATATGTGGACAACTACCGGTAAAAATACCTAGGTGTCTCGTTAGATCGTAAACTCTCCTTCCAGACTCACATTTAAGCATCTCCAATCCAAAGTTAAATCTAGAATCGGCTTCCTATTTCGCAACAAAGCCTCCTTCACTCATGCTGCCAGACATGCCCTCGTAAAACTGACTATCCTACCGATCCTTGATTTTGGCGATGTCATTTACAAAATAGCCTCCAACACTCTACTCAGCAAATTGGATGTAGTCTATCACAGTGCCATCCGTTTTGTCACCAAAGCCCCATATACTACCCACCATTGTGACCTGTACGCTCTCGTTGGCTGGCCCTTATTACATATTCGTCACCAAACCCACTGGCTCCAGGTCATCTATAAATCACTGCTAGGCAAATCCGCACCGTATCTTAGCTCATTGGTCACCATAGCAACACCCACCCGTAGTCTGCGCTCCAGCAGGTATATCTCACTGGTCATCCCCAAAGCCAACACCTCCTTTGGCCGCCATTCCTTCCAGTTCTTTGCTGCTAATGACTGGAACGAACTGAAGCTGGAGACTCTTATCTCCCTCACTAACTTTAAGTGTCAGTTGTCAGAGCAGCTTACCAATCACTGCACCTGTACACAGCCAATCTGTAATTAGCCCACCCAACTACTTCGTCCTCATATTGTTATTTATTTTGCTCATTTGCACCCCAGTATCTCTATTTGCACATCTTCTGCACAGCTATCATTCCAGTGTTAATACTAAATTGTAATTATTTTTCGCTATGGCCTATTTATTGCCTTACCTCCATAACTTACTACATTTGCACACACTGTATATAGATGTTCTATTGTGTTATTGACTGTATGTTTTGTTTTATCCCATGTGTAACTGTTGTTGTTTTTATTGCACTGCTTTGCTTTATCTTGGCCAAGTCGCAGTTGTAAATGAGAACTTGTTCTCAACTGGCTTACCTGGTTAAATAAAGGTTAAATAAAATAATAAAAAATGCCGACCGTATTATCTCCCAAGATAATTTTCTTCGTTTATACTCACGGTCGTTTATTTCCCCCCTCAAGCCGATACCGCGATGGCTCACAAAGAACTTCACTGGACTTTATACAAACTGGAAACCACATATCTTGAGGCTGCATTTATTGTAGCCGGGGATTTTAACAAAGCAAATTTGAGGACTAGGCTGCCGAAGTTCAATCGACAAATCGACTGTAGTACTCGCGCTGCTAAAATCCTCGACCATTGCTATTCAAACTTCTGGGATGGTTATAAGGCCCTCCCCCGCCCTCCGTTCGGCAAATCTGACCACGACTCCATTTTGCTCCTCCCTTCCTATAGGTAGAAACTCAAACAGGAAGTACCCGTGCTAAGGACTATTCCACGCTGGTCTGACCAATCGGAATCCACGCTTCAATATTGTTTTGATCACGCGGACTGGGAAATGTTCTGGGTAGCTTGCGTAAATAATTTAGACGAGTACACTTAAACGGTGACTTGAGTTCATCAGGAAGTGTATAGGTGATGTTGTGCCCACTATGACTATTAAAACCTATCCTAACCAGAAACTGTTGATAGATGGCAGCATTCGTGCAAAACTGAAAGTGCGAACCACCGCATTTAACCATGGCAAGGTGACTGGGAATATGGCAGAATACAAACAGTGTAGCTACTCACTCCGCAAGGCAGTTAAACTGGCAAAACATCAGTATGGAGACAAAGTGGAGTCGCAATTCAATGGCTCAGACACGAGACGTATGTGGCAGGGTCTACAGACAATCACAGACTACAAAGGAAAACAAGCCACGTCGCTGACACCGACGTCTCGCTTCCAGACAAGCTAAACACCTTTTTCGCCCGCTTTGAGGTTAACACAGTACCATCGACGAGGCCCACTATGAAGGACTGTGGCCTCTCCTTCTCCGTGGCTGACTTGAGTAAGACTTTTAAGCATGTTAACCCCCGCAAGGCTGCCAGTCCAGACGGCATCCCTAGCCACGTCCTCAGAGCATGTGCAGACCAGCTGGCTGGTGTGTTTACGGACACATTCAATCTCTCACTTTCTCAGTCTGCTGTTCCCACATGCTTCAAGATGGCCACCATTGTTCCTGTACCCAAGAAAGCAAAGGTAACTGAACTAAATGACTATCGCCCCGTAGCACTCACCTCTGTCATCATGAAGTGCTTTGAGAGACTAGTCAAGGATCATATCACCTCTACCTTACCTGTCACCCTAGACCCACTTCAATTTGCTTACCGCCCCAATAGATCCACAGACGATGCAATCACCATCACACTGCACACTGCCCTATCCCATCTGGACAAGAAGAATACCTATGTAAGAATGCTGTTCATTGACTATAGCTCAGCATTCAACACCATAGTACCCAACATGCTCATCATTAAGCTTGAGGCCCTGGGTCTGAACCCCGCCCTGTGCAACTGGGTCCTGGACTTCCTGACAGGCCGCCCCCAGGTGGTGAAGGTAGGAAACCACATTTCCACTTCGCTGATCCTCAACACAGGGGCCCCACAAGGGTGCGTGCTCAGCCCCCTCCTGTACTCCCTGTTCACCCATGACTGTGTGGCCAAGCACGCCTCCAACTCAATCATGAAGTTTGCAGACGACACAACAGTAGTAGGCTTGATTACCAACAATGACGAGACCACCTACAGGGAGGAGGTGAGGGCTCTGGGAGTGTGGTGCCAGGAAAATAACCTCTCACTCAAAGTCAACAAAACAAAGGAGATGATCGTGGACTTCAGGAAACAGCAGAGGGTGGGGACTGCAGTGGAGAAGGTGAAAAGCTTCAAGTTCCTTGTCGTACACATCACCGACAAACTGAAATGGTCCACCCACGCCTAGTGTGGTGAAGAAGGCGCAACAGCGCCTCTTCAACTTCAGGAGGCTGACGAAATCTGTCTTGGCACCTAAGACCCTCACAACCTTTTACAGATGCAGAATTGAGAGCATCATGTCGGGCTGTATCACCGCCTGGTACGGCAACTGCACCGCCCGCATCCGCAGGGCTCTCCAGAGGGTGGTGTGGTCTGCCGAACGCATTACCGGGGGCAAACTACCCGCCCTCCAAGGCACCTACAGCACCCGATGTCACAAGAAGGCCAAAAAGATCATCAAGGACATCAACCACCCGAGCCACTGCCTGTTCACCCCGCTATCATCCAGAAGGCGAGGTCAGTACAAGTGCATCAAAGCTGGGACCGAGAGAATGAAAAACAGCTTCTATCTCAAGGCCATCAGACTGTTAAATAGCCATCACTAGCCGGCTACCACCCGGTTACTCAACCCTGCACCTTAGAGGCTGCTGCCTATTGAAATCACTGGCCACTTTAAGAAATGGAACACTAGTCACTTTAATTATGTTTACATATATCTTGCACTACTCATCTCATATGTATATACTGTATTCTATACTGCATATGGGTCTGGTAAATTAAAATGCTGCAGGTCAAATGTCTGGTGCCACATTTTCATAACAGAAACCCTGACACACACACACACACTGCTGCGGGTGCTGCTCTGAGGCCAGCGTTAGCAACAGTTATCAAACTGTCCAGGCAGTGTAGTGTTGCCAGATTTCATTGATACTTTCTAGTAGAACCTGAGCCAAAATCCCACCAACTCTACTAAAAGTAACCTCTTTGTAGGTGGTGTAAACTGCCCACTCTGGCAATACAAGGGACATAGTTTTTTTTCTTCCTGTAAGTAGGTTGGAGCAGCAAGAGCATGCTGCAGAGAGAAGAGCGGGAAGAGAAGAGAGGGGTGAAATGTGTTCATGCACCCTTGACAGTCGGGGCAGTTGTTGCGTCTCATAGCAACCAAATAAACAAGCGAGGATTGGTGACGTCACCCGTTCCTCTGTCTGTCATTCCTGAGGGTTTGAGTCATCACAGTCTGGACTGCCTAGCTCTGCTGCACCTTATTTAAACACACGTATGACATACACTGAGAAAAGTGTACACACCCTTGCAAGCTTAATTTGGCTACAGCCACTAGCATTAACTCCCAGACATATAGTGAAGCTAAGTAGAGGGAACACATTAACTCAGACACATACTAAAGCTAGGTAGAGGGAGAATTTGCATGTAGTTGTGAATGTACAAACAATCCAAGACTCAGTTTCTTTATGCCCAGTTGCACAGATATTTGGCAGTTACAGTTGAAGTCGGAAGTTTGAGAAAGATCATACTTTTTGGCCACAATGACCATCGTTATGTTTGGAGGAAAAGGGGGGTAGCTTGCAAGCCGAAGAACACCATCCCAACCGTGAAGCACAGGGGTGGCTCCATCATGCTGTGGGGGTGCTTTGCTTCAGGAGGGACTGTTACACTTCACAAAATAGATGGCATCATGAGGAAGGAAAATTTTGTGGATATATTGAAGCAACATCTCAAGACATCAGTCAGGAAGTTAAAGCTTGGTCGCAAATGGGTCTTCCAAATGGACAATGACCCCAAGCATACTTCCAAAGTTGTGGCAAAATGGCTTAAGGACAACAAAGTCAAGGTATTGGAGTGGCCATCACAAAGCCCTGACCTCAATCCTATAGAACATTTGTGGGCAGAACTGAAAAAGCGTGTGCGAGCAAGGAGGCCTACAAACTGGACTCAGTTACACCATCTCTGTCAGGAGGAATGGGCCAGAATTCACCCAACTTATTGTGGGAAGCTTGTGGAAGGCTCCCTGAAACATTTGACCCAAGTTAAAAAATGTAAAGGCAATGCTACCAAATACTAATTGAGTGTATGTCAACTTCTGACCCACTGGGAATGTGTTGAAATAAATAAAAGCTGAAATAAATAATTCTCTCTACTATTAATCTGACATTTCACATTCTTCAAATAAAGTGGTGATCCTAAATGACCTAAAACAGGGAATTCTTACTAGGATTAAATGTCAGGAATTGTGAAAAATTGAGTTTAAATGCATTTGGCTAAGGTGTATGTAAACTTCTGACTTCAACTGTATGTCATAATGAGCATTGATTTATTGCACTATTTCTCATGGGGGTAGATTTCTAATCCAGAACTGTTTCTTCTAATGGTATTTTCTAATAGAAAAAGCACAAACTCTAGTTTCTATTTGTAGTAAATGGAATCTAGTTAATGTGTACGGTTTCAAAAAAGCTTACATAGGCCTACTCATAATGTCAACATAGATGTGTTTAACATTTAAATAAAAGAACACTATGTAAGGTGTCCAGTTAAAAATGTATATTTTAACCAATTGGTAAAATAATTTTAATTGTGTAGATACTCCTCTAAGAAAACAGATGGTCCAAAGCTCATGTGTTAATCCATAATCCATTCAAAAGTAATTTGGGTTTTTACCCTTGTAGGATGGCCAAAATTAGGGTGACCTAAATCAGAAAAGTCCAGAGAGAATAGAAAGTGGTCAAATATCTCAAATACCCTTGCGTTAGCTTGGCTGGATGCTGTGTGATAATTAACTGACAGGCTCACTGTTGAACTCGTCATCTTTGTTCTCGAATCCGAAGGACATAAAGCAATATAAATGACGTGGTGTTTTCATAGTTTAGTATACGCGTTTTATATTAATGCAAAATTCCTGTTCTAAGATTTTTCACTAAAACAAATGTATCTGTGAAATGTCAACGGAGCAGTGAGCGTACCGCAAGCTTTTTATTTTCTAAGCCTTTTACATTTAATTCAGCTCGTGCGACCCACGGAAATAACTTCGCAGACGACCACCACATGTAAAATCCTCAAGTTGCAGCAAGAAAGCGGCACCTCTGTCAATAGAGCTTGGAATTGCCAGGGATCTCACGATACGATATGATCACGATACTTAGGTGCCGACACGATACGTATTGTGATTCTATACGTATTGCGATTCGATACTGTGATTTTATATTGCGATTTGATGTTCCAAACATATTGCTCCCCATATGTCTGCTGCAGAGGGACAAGTGAGCCATGAAAGAGTTCTGATCAGTCATAAAAATAAAAGTGCTGAAAACAAATTGGCTCCTTATTTAAAAAGATGGGTAGAATCGGCTATGAAGCAGGAATTTTGGTGCAGTTACAGCCAACTAGCGCAAAAATAATATTGCTATATTGTCAAAAATAATATCCGTCAACAGAGCACGGTGCTTATTATCGTATTTATTAGGTTACGAAATCTGACTTTTTGGAAATTATGTTAATGAAATGTTAGAGAAAGACCCCACTGAACGTTTCAGAACATGAACAATCATATTTGTCTTTTGTAAAATGTATTTAGTAACATAAGGAAGTACAATTTCATTACTAAATCGCGTTTTCACCCGCTGGGTAGAGGGCGGTTGGACAACCTACACCCCTCAAACTCAACTCTGGACCTCGAAGCCAGTTCCACTTTTTTCATTGTAAATCAGGGGACTGATTTGGACCTGGGACACCAGGTGGGTGCAATTACTTATCAGGTTGAACAGAAATCCAGCTGGCTCTGGACCTCGTAGGATAAGAGTTGAATATATTATTATATTATTATTTGAATACCCCTGCCCTACACTGTCCACATCCTATGAAATTACAAATTCTGCGTTATAATATAACCTACATATGAACAAACATTTTCCTATTTTACCATTGAGTTATTAAATAACCCAAGTTAAATATTTATTCAGGCAGCCATAGGCTGCAGATGGAATAAGAAGCTTATAATTGTGTAATTATAAGTCAAAGTGCCTTAACATGTAACACGTAGCCTACCGATTGCAAGTCTGGTCCAGACATTCAACACGATGGCCTTTACCACATTTGCACCATTAGCGTTATGCACAGTTGCTGCTCCTCATTCAGGCCCGAAGTGGCTAAAACTTATCTCAAAAACCATGAGCGATGTCTTCTCCCTCGTGATCTCAAACGAATGTAGGGCTCGGTCGTTCTATTAGACCAAAGGTCTGTTGTATTCGCGTAATAATCAACAAAGCTCTGTTTCAACTTCTCCATTAGCCTACTTTTGTTAGTGTTGTGATGGCGACTTGGGAGAAATATGTGCAAGATTTCAATTTTATTAGGATCTCTTTTAGTCCTCATTTGGACTAATCTTCCAAGAGTCCTTTAATCTTTAAAATACAATTTATAATATGATCACATTTTCACATATAACACACTTACAGACATAATACACTGACATATTGACCAGATAAATACTCTAACGGTCTGAAATGATAGATTGATTCCTTCATCTATCATAGTCCTGCACAACCTTCAAATGTATTATATTTATATGTTTCTAAAGTATTATTTGAAAGTAAAATATTGGAAGGTTTCTGGTTTGCTCAGATAAATTATTATTAAATTAAAGATGGAATCTTGTATCTCCTGTCCAGCTTTTTTATCATCTTGAAGCCGTCTTTGCTGACTGTGTAAATAGGAATTATGTCTTTGGCTAGGTGATAGGTGGGTGATACTAGCCTTGGGGAATTCTATGTGTAGGCGGGATGTTTTTTTAATAGGGCATTAAACTTAAATGCCTCTGCAATCAATGCCTGCTTAACTTAGATGGCTGGCTGTGGCTGAGGGGCTTTGCTGCTTTCTGACGCTTTTTCCACCATGCAATCGTCATAAAGTAGGTGACGGTTCTTGTTGTCGCCAGAACTCTGAGGCATATTTTGCACAATAGTTGCATTTGGTTGACATCGGTTTGCCTCTAGCCGAAATACTGCTATACCACTGAAGATGCGCCCTTCTTCGGCACCAAATCGATGTTCTCATTAGCACTTTGGTGTCTGCCGACACTCTGTGTAGACCTTTCTCTCCTCACCAGCATCTAACAGCGCGCTCTATGTGAGGACGCTTGTGATTGGCCAGCATGTGCATGCCATGCAGAGAGTGAGAGCCTGCTTGTGATTGGTCATGGTCTTTTGTGCATGTAAAGAGTGAATGAGTGGAGTCTAGTGCATCTCATTGGAGTAGGTATCATAGTCTATTTTTTGTGTTAACGGAGTGTCAAAAAAAATGGTTAATGCACGTCAATATCACAATTTCGATCTGAATTGGGTTAATCGTGTAGCCCTAGCACAGACTGATCTACTCTCCCACCACTCATATTATTTAACCCATATGCTAAGGGAATGCATACACTGGGTGCATCTGGACAAATCTGACACACACTGCTCTGGCACATAGAAAGCCCAACGGCTTGCAGCACGTGTCTTCTCTTGTCTGGAAGTCCTTGGTTTTCTCCCTGGGAACAGAAGGAAGTGTGTGTATAGAAGGGTCAGTGGATGTGTGTGAGGGTGTCTCTGGGTGGCGCAAAAGAGAGGCAGATGGGCAGTGGGGGCCTGTGCTCTCCATGTGGCTCTTTGTGTGTGTGTGTGCTCGCTCCCCCTCTCTCCATGCGTCTCTTTCTCTCTCACTGAAAGGCTTTGGCCACTAATTGTTGGATTAGTGAAAGCTATCCACCAATGCCCCACCGCACCCAATCAACCGCCACACACACACACACACACACGTGGGGAATGTCTTTGAATCAGTTGATCGATGGAGAGACACATGGCGTTGCAGTCGACCAGGGTGTACCCATTTCCCTTCTATTGTTTTTACTTCTCTGGGTCAATTTGCCCCGCCCTCCCCTCTCTAATCCTATTACAATCCCCTCAGAAAAGGGTTAGAGGGACAAAGCTGTGCCAGGGTGATCTTTGAAGGCTTGCCCCGTCGTGCGTTCTTCCTTTCTTTCACCTACAAAGTGTGGAAGTGTTTAGAGGGCTTGGTTGGGTATGTTCTCTCTGTGCCAGTAATATCACGCACGCACGCACACACACTCACCTACTACAGTCAGTCAGTATGACCTCAATCAGCCCAATCTCTGGCACAGACAACAGGCTACTGGGGAGTGTTTCATTATACATAGCCTACTAGTCTAATGTTCAGTTGCTTGATGTGTCCAGCGTTTCAACCTTTTAACATCACTACATTGAATGAATTCCAATAACATTTTGAGGTTTCAACTAATTGCAGAATTTTGAGGTGCAGGATTTTAGTCGAGACAGTTTCTGCTGTCATCCCCATAACATTTTTAGGATCATTGCTTTTTACACACCAGAGGGCAAGTGAGCCGGGTGGCTTCACGTGACCTTTAGGTTAACCTTTTGAACTTTGACCTGGTGCCGTATGGCTGACCCCCAACTAGCAGATGGACTTTACTAGCCTTTCTTCTGAAATGTGCACTTGTTCACTCCTCGTCATGGATTTAAAAGAGCAATCTGCAGTTACTACAGGGCAATTCCACGGTAACGGAATTCCGCTAAGACTGTTTTCACTTTATAATGTATACCAAACAAAAAACATTGATTTCAAAGTTTAACAAACCATATAACTATATGCACAAGGACTACTTTTAATTTCCACTAAAAATGTTACAAAAACACATTCACAGGAAGAGCTGTGCAGATACAACGTTTGGTAACAGAGTAAAACTGAGGGAGGTTTTACCTTTATTATGTTACCAAACTTTGCATATGCACAGTTTTTCCAGTAAATGTTTGATCAATTTACATAGTAAATAAAAAAAATACAAAGTAGTCATTGTGCATAGAGTTGTATGGTTTGTTCAACTTTGAAATCAATGTTTTTCGTTTTGGCATACATTTGAACACAATAACTGCTAAAGCAGTCATTTGGACTGCATTAGTAAAATATAGAAATATGACGCTGCCATTTTTAAAGTAATGCCCCCTCCGTCCTTGACTTTTCCAAAATAAGTCTATCACACTGTCGTTGTAAGAACAAACAGAACTGGAGTTATAACCAGTTTAAGGAGGACATGTCATTTAAAAAAATGGTTTTTGCCCTTCCTTCTCCTGACAGTAGGGCCTGTTCCGTTCCTTCTCCCGACCTTTGAAGGTGCCGTGCCCAGTTGATCTTAGGTAGTTAACTTAATAGTTGTAGCTGGCAAACATTAGTAGTGAATTTCATAGGAATCTCATCACCTCACTTAAATTGCGCTGCAGGAGTGACTCACCTCACGAAGTTCCCATTTTGCTAGTTGTGCTTTTTTGTAAACAAACACACGTGACTGGCTGAAACTGCTGTTTTGGGAAACTAGTACTGGTAAGCTTCATAATGAAAATGATGAGCGCGATCTGCGTTATCTATTACCTAATGCACAAGTTGACTGCAGGTATTTATTAAGAAAGTACTAATATTCAAAGCCCAAAAATGTCACATACCAGAATGCTAAAAAATGATAAGTACTAAGGAATCATCATAGAGAATGCTAACTAAATGCTAATGAGCGCATTGCAAACATTATGTACAGTTTCTGACTTAAACTATAGAAGTATACAAGTAGTTATAAGATATCTAGCTGGCAAACATTTGAATTCCTTACTGTAATTAGATCACCAGGCACATGCTGCACAACAGTGAGTGACTGACAAGGCTCCTGGTCTCTGGTGGTTTTGACTGGGGTCTACCATGAGCTACATAATGTGATGGATGAAATTAAGAACACAATGTTCTTTATCTCCTATCGTATTGCACAAGTTGACTGCAGATATTTAAAAAGTAGTTTAGAAAACTACTTTCCATGGTATTGAAAAACCATCCCATGGCTTTTTCCAAATACCCCGGTATATGGTATACCACCCAAGCATAGTATGTACCGTCTATTAGTCCCCCAAATCCAAGCAGTCTTATCAGTCTACGCTGGCCTACTTGGAGTACACAGGGGGAGCGTGCGTAATTTACAATGGCAAGAAGACCAAGACGAGTGGATGCACATGCTGCGTTAGCGTTGATACAAAATCTGAACGAAAATGACTAAGATGGTGGGAAAGAAATTAGGGCTGGGAATTACCAGGGACCTCATGATATTATCATGAAACTTGTGTGCTGGTGCTATATGTATTGCGATTTTCACGATTCCATATGTATTGTGATTCGATACTGTGATTTTATTGCGAATCGATGGTCCAAACATATTGCTCGCTTATATGTCTGCTGCAGAGGGACAAGAGGGAGTCGTGAGAAAGTGTCATGAGGTTTTAACAGTCAAATTTGACTACCTGTTGTGTATTGTCCATCGGTGTGACATAATGTCCTACGGGGTGACACCTACAGTGGGGAGAACAAGTATTTGATACACTGCCGATTTTGCAGGTTTTCCTACTTACAAAGCATGTAGAGGTCTGTAATTTTTAGCATAGGTACGCTTCAACTGTGAGAGACGGAAAATCACATTGTATGATTTTTAAGTAATTAATTTGCATTTTATTGCATGACATAAGTATTTGATCACCTACCAACCAGTAAGAATTCCGGCTCTCACAGACATGTTAGTTTTTCTTTAAGAAGCCCTCCTGTTCTCCACTCATTACCTGTATTAACTGCACCTGTTTGAACTCGTTACCTGTATAAAAGACACCTGTCCACACACTCAATCAAACAGACTCCAACCTCTCCACAATGGCCAAGACCAGAGAGCTGTGTAAGGACATCAGGGATAAAATTGTAGACCTGCGCAAGGCTGGGATGGGCTACAGGACAATAGGCAAGCAGCTTGGTGAGAAGGCAACAACTGTTGTCGCAATTATTAGAAAATGGAAGAAGTTCAAGATGACGGTCAATCACCCTCGGTCTGGGGCTCCATGCAAGATCTCACCTCGTGGGGCATCAATGATCATGAGGAAGGTGAGGGATCAGCCCAGAACTACACGGCAGGACCTGGTCAATGACCTGAAGATAGCTGGGACCACAGTCTCAAAGAAAACCATTAGTAACACACTACGCCGTCATGGATTAAAATCCTGCTGCGCACGCAAGGTCCCCCTGCTCAAGCCAGCGCATGTCCAGGCCCGTCTGAAGTTTGCCAATGACCATCTGGATGATCCAGAGGAGGAATTAGAGAAGGTAGCGGGTGGCGCAGTGGTCTAAGGCACTGCATCGCAGTGCTAACTGTGCCACTAGAGATCCTGGTTCGAATCCAGGCTCTGTCGCAGCCGGCCGCGACCGGGAGACCCATGGGGCGGCGCACAATTGGCCCAGCGTCGTCCAGGGTAGGGGAGGGAATGGCCGGCAGGGATGTAGCTCAGTTGATAGAGCATGGCGTTTGCAATGCCAGGGTTGTGGGTTCGATTCCCACGGGGGGCCAGTATATATAAAAAAATTATAATAATAAAAAATAAAAAATATATATATATGTATTCACTAACTGTAAATCGCTCTGGATAAGAGCGTCTGCTAAATGATGTAAATGTAAAATGTAATGTGGTCTGATGAGACAAAAATAGAGCTTTTTGGTCTAAACTCCACTCGCCGTGTTTGGAGGAAGAAGAAGGATGAGTACAACCCCAAGAACACCATCCCAACCGTGAAGCATGGAGGTGGAAACATCATTCTTTGGGGATGCTTTTCTGTAAAGGGGATAGGACGACTGCACCGTATTGAGGGGAGGATGGATGGGGCCATGTATCGCGAGATCTTGGCCAACAACCTCCTTCCCTCAGTAAGAGCATTGAAGATTGGTCGTGGCTGGGTCTTCCAGCATGACAACGACCCGGAACACACAGCCAGGGCAACTAAGGAGTGGCTCCGTAAGAAGCATCTCAAGGTCCTGGAGTGGCCTAGCCAGTCTCTAGACCTGAACCCAATAGAAAATCTTTGGAGGGAGCTGAAAGTCCGTATTGCCCAGCGACAGCCCCGAAACCTGAAGGATCTGGAGAAGGTCTGTATGGAGGAGTGGGCCAAAATCCCTTCTGCAGTGTATGCAAACCTGGTCAAGACCTACAGGAAACGTATGATCTCTGTAATTGCAAACAAAGGTTTCTGTACCAAATATTAAGTTCTGCTTTTCTGATGTATCAAATTCTTATGTCATGCAATAAAATGCAAATTAATTACTTAAAAATCATACAATGTGATTGTCTGGATTTTTGTTTTAGATTCTGTCTCTCACAGTTGAAGTGTACCTATGATAAAAATTAGACCTCTACATTCTTTGTAAGTAGGAAAACCTGCAAAATCGGCAGTGTATCAAATACTTGTTCTCCCCACTGTATAAATGAAAGCGGAAAAAAAGTATCGGATAAAATGTAAAAAGAATTGTTAAGCATGAGGCAGGTAACGTTATAATAATTCACAAGTAAATAATTGCTTTTTATCTACCTTTAGTGAAATTACTGTGAATTGTACCCAAAATAGCGAGATGCTTGGTTATCCTCATTATGCAAGGAAATCATGTGTTTTTCATTTTAAATGCAAGAATAGGATTACTGATTTTAAAGACAGAAGTAACTAAGTAATGACAAAATATTTTGTTCTTTTTGGGAATCATCAAACCTTTATATTCACATTCATTGTAATGTCACAGGCACTAATGCATGAAACGGTTCATTAAATTGGATACAAACTCAAAATTGAAGCTGGCCATATAACATTTTGAGTTGTTTAGACATATACTGAACAACAATATAAACGCAACATGTAAAGTGTTGGTCCCATGTTTCATTAGCTGAAATAAAAGACCCCAGAAGTTTTCCGTATGCACAAGAAGCTTATTTCTCTAAAATGTTGTGCACAAATTTGTTTACATGCCTGTTAGTGAGCATTTCTCCTTTGCCAAGAGAATCCATCCACCTGACAGGTGTGGCATATCAAGAAGATGATTAAACAGCATGATCATTACACAGGTGCACCTTGTGCTGACTGCTGTTTGGAGTCGTAACCAACCTCAGTGGGTAAATGCTCACCTTCGATGGCCACTGGCACACTGGAGAAGTGTGCTCTTCACAAATGTATTCCGCTTTCAAATGTACTGGGCAGATGGCAGACAGCGTGAAAGTCGTCGTGTGGGCGAGCAGTTTGCTGATGTCAATGTTGTAAACAGAGTGCCCCATGGTGGGGGTGGTTATTGTATTGTCAGGCTTAAGCTACGGACAACAAACACAATTGCATTTTATTGATAGCAATTTGAACACACAGAGATACCGTGACAAGATCCTGAGGCACATTGTCATGCCTTCATCCGCCGCCATCACCTCATGTTCAGCATGATAATGCACAACCCCATGTCACAAGGATCTGTACACAATTCCTGGAAGCTGAATGTCCCCGTTTTTGCATGGCCTGCATACTCACCAGACATGCCACCCATTGAGCATGTTTGGAATGCTCTGGATCGACGTGTACGACAGTCTTCCAGTTTCCGCCAATATCTAGCAACTTCGCACATCCATTGAAGAGGAGTGGAACAAAATTCCACACTCCACAATCAACAGCCTGATCAACTCAATGTGAAGGAGATGTGTCGCACTGCATGAGGCAAATGGTGGTCACACCAGATACTGACTTTTCTGATCCACGCCCCTACTTTTATTTTTATTTTTTTGGTGACCAACCGACGCATATCTGTATTCCCAGTCATGTGAAATCCATAGGTTAGGGTCTAATGAATGTATTTCATTTGACTAACTGTAACTTGGTAAAATCTTTGAAATTGTTGAATGTTGCGTTTATATTTTGTTTAGTGTAGTTTATTGTAACATTGTTTTTTAACTTTAATTTTAGAGGAAATTATTTATTTTTGTTCTGGCTATATGGAACCCACCCTTGTACAGATTTGAAACAACAAAGGGCAAACAGTCATCTGAGGGATGACGTGAAGACTTGTGGTCATCCAGCAGAGCAGAGACGTAGACCAGACAGGCAACTGGTCCAACAAAAGTCCTCTCTTGGTGGTATAGCCGGCCATCCCGTCACAAAGGTGCTTGAGGTCACCAGACCAGGGTGAGTGGCGCGCAAGCGGCCAGTGCAGGCTGTGAGGCAGTTCTGGAAGAGGGTAGCCAACAGGATGCGGCGGTGGATCCGGTGGCCCTGGAGAAAGCTGTGGCACCGCTGTGAGGGACTCCACAGCAGGGCTCAGATCTGAGATCGGGGCTAATGGTGAAGCTGAGGTGGAAGGGTAAAGTGTCTCGCATCTTCTGATATCTAGCGTCACGGAGCTGGTCGCGCTGGCGCTGCAGAACCTCCGTTCTCCCACTCTAATACATCTTGCAGTTGTAAGAAGAAAGAACTATAGAAGGACTGAGATGGTCAGGTGCTAACTGGCAGTTCCCATCAGGTAAGTACTGGCGAAGGTGGACTGTAGGAGCCTTCCATCTTCCTGACTTGGAGAAAAATCTGGCCTTAATGGCCATGTACTGTTATAATCTCCACCCGGCCACCCCTCAGAGCCTGGTTCCTCTCAAGGTTTCTTCCTAGGTATCTGCCTTTCTAGGGAGATTTTCCTAGCCACCGTGCTTCTACATCGGCATTGCTTGCTGTTTGGGGTTTTAGGCTGGGTTTCTGTATAGCACTTTGACATCTGCTGATGTAAAAAGGGCTTTGTAAATACAGTGAGGGAAAAAAGTATTTGATCCCCTGCTGATTTTTGTACGTTTGCCCACTGACAAACAAATTCAGTCTATAATTTTAATGGTAGGTTTATTTGAACAGTGAGAGACAGAAAAACGCATGTCAAAAATGAGTGTTCCTAATCTCAGCTTGTTACCTGTATAAAGACACCTGTCCACAGAAGCAATCAATCAATCAGATTCCAAACTCTCCACCATGGCCAAGACCAAAGAGCTCTCCAAGGATGACAGGGACAAGATTGTAGACCTACACAAGGCTGGAATGGGCTACAAGACCATCGCCAAGCAGCTTGGTGAGAAGGTGACAACAGTTGGTGCGATTATTCGCAAATGGAAGAAACACAAAATAACTGTCAATGCTAAACTTGGCGATCTCTGGTCGAGGTTAGCCTGAGGTGGGAACTCTGGAAAAAGCAATCGATGAAAAGGCTGAGGCTCTGTTCTCTATTCTGCTGGTCAGCCTGGTGGTGACTTGGACCGGTGATGAGTTATTGAAGGGGAAGAAGGCCACTTTGACTGCAGTATGTCACGTCGCGAGTTCTCAATAGAACCCTCTAGCTGCTCTCCCTCGTAGGAGTGGTGTGTGGATGTGTGTGTGGTAGTCTGTGCCTTGACTCTTCACCATAGTAGTTGTAATCGTTGAGATATTGTGGCAGGTGATTCAGTCGGCGCAGACGGACCACATCTTGTGGAGGATCTTCTCTGTTAACTGGCATCCTTGAGCTCTAGTGCTCACTGTTGTATCCTGCTCGTAAGGACCATGAACAATATGGGTAGGGTTGTAGAGAATCGAAGGACCATGAATGTAATAAGAAACCTTAGGTGCTGGCTTAAGGCCGGTAGCAACCACTACAGAATGTCCGGTCAGAACAAGGATGAGGCGGATGTCCAGCTTAAGGGGGGTTTAATGGAAGAAAATGTCCACATTCACACATCACACACACATCTGACTACTCATGGTTCAGATAACTGAGAATCCTATCCAGTGAGAACTGACATTAATTATGGTTCTGAAAGGAAAGAGGATAAAGAACTTACGCGAGAGCACTGCTATAATAGGAAAAAAAGTCTGTACAAGCTAGCTCAGGTAAAGTACAACAGCACATGCTATACACTACAGCAGGCTTAAGTCCTAGTCACATTGCAATAACCTACACAGGCTAGGGAACTTGTAGACATTCTAAACATAGGTAAATGTACTAAATAAACAGTACAAGAGTGTAGGTACATCTACATAACATAAACGGCATGAGCAATTTACACCAATAGAAATAGTCTAGCAACACCACAAATGACTAATGCTAAAACAGCTAACATCGCTAATAGGCATGCTAAATACCGACGCGTTCTGATTGAGAAACGCTAACGCTAGCGAGCTAGCTAACAAGCTCAATATAAATGGTAATTATAAACAATAGGCAATCTTTAGCTCCGTAAACAACAAGGCTGAAAGATCTAAGGCACTTACTTGTAGATGCACGCACAATAAAATGTCAGACGGCAAAGGAAATGTCCACAATAAGGAAAAGGTAGCAGCAGGGTAAAGGGTGGTGCTCGTCAGGATGGAAAGCACAACTGAAATTATCTGACTTCTGCCGTGCTTGGGGTCCTTCTGAACGTCCCTGATTAGCGAACATGTATTGACTGGCGTGACCTTAACCAATAAGAAATTAAATTAGTTAGGACCTGCTGAATGGGGGCAGAACTGCTCGTCTAAAAACACCAATAGAGTGTGCTAGAACAGCTGACTGAAGCTGTCTGTTTTAACACCTACTGTAACAAACTAATAAATGCTATTGTGTTATAAAAAAAACATGTTACCTTCATAAACACAACCAAATGATAATTTTTGTAATAGCATATATGACATTTATTAATTACACTGTTAGAATGTTGCAGTCAGAATGACTGACTGCTCATTAGCTTGAAGGGGGGTCCCTCGAGGTCCAGCGGTTCTAGTGTTAAAGTGTGGAATTACCCTACAGTAAATGTAAACAAACAATGTATAGCCTCAAAACACAGTTAAAACTATAATTCTCATATCATGGATGGTCAGTCCTTGCATCCATAGCTCTGTCTATGAAGTTGAGGGGTTACATTTCTCCAGCACCATCCCTCAGCCTTTGCTTTGTTTTAACTGCGTAGAATTGTGAAAGTAGTAAAATGTGAACCCCCATAACCCATTGTCCAGGGTCTGTCTGCCTGGCAGCCCTCTGTGGAGGTACAAAGCCTACACAGCACTGCTACTGTTGGGGGAGCTGAAGGAAGCCGCCAGATGTCTGGTATGGTACCCTATTACCTATATAGCAAATATGGTACCATTCCATTACCTATGTAGTGCAATAATCATGTTTACCTTATATTCGTGAAAGACTGGCTGGGGAGTGGGGATGTGAACACTGAAAGCCCACCACAGCCCATTATCCTGTCTGTCTGTCTGGCCCTCAGTGGTCATACACAGCACTGCTATTGAAATAGAAGAACTTCTACTGTTGGAGCAAGTGGAGGCTTCATCCCGGAAGGCTCCAGACCAGACCGGCGTCCTAGTCAAACCACTTGTCATCAGTCAGATGTGCCTAGAGCAGACAGTCAGTCTGGCTGCTGCAGCAGCATCGCCTCTGCAGTTAAAGGGATAGTTCAACATTTTGGCAATTAAGCCATTTTTTCTACTTACCCAGGTAAGATGAACTCATGGATACCATTTGTATGTCTCTGTGTTCAGTTTGAAGGAAGTTGAAGGTAGTTTATCGAGCCATTGCTAACTCTTATAGCGTCAGCATGCTTCAGTTCGGCTGGCGCCGAACCGAACGAGTGTGCTCGCATACTCCCTTAAATGACCTTTGCTTGAAAAACAAGAAAAAAGCTGCAACAGTACTGTTTGTCAATTTTTTTTAGATGTCGTGGCCAGAATACACTTCCTCAAAATAGTCAGAATTAATCTAAGATAACTCAAGAAATCTGTCATTAATTTGGATGTTTTTGCTGAAGAGATCTTAGTCATGCAATTTTATGCATGACTAACTGTTTGGTGCAGTATTTTTCAATGAATAAATGTGCATTAAAATGAATCGTCTCTCGTTGAATGACAAATATTTAATTGAAGAATCATTGATGAAGGGGTGTAGACTTTGGCTCCGAACTTCGGCTTGCCTCCAAGAAAAAGGTGTGCCCGAACAGTCCAAAGCAAACAAAAACATCAGAAAATGTTGTCATAATGTATGAACGAACTCTACCGAACTGTTTCGGCTGGGAAGCATGCGGACGCCTTTAGGGATGCGCTTCTCTCCTTTCATGAACGATTCGATACCTCTAGATGCATGGGCTACGGTACATTTTAGTTTGAAACGATTCGGTGCGATTTGGTTTAATTAGGGGAACAAATTGATGCGATTCGATACAATGCCGTTTCTTTTGTTGCATGAACACATCTAACATTTTAAACTAATATCTGCTGCTGATGGGAGCTCAGGAGCTGGGCTTCTGAGCTGGATCTGTCTGAGATTACTCCTCTGAGCTGAGTGGCTGTGTGTGTGTGTGTGTGTAGGCACCTGAGTTGAGACTTTGGGCAGATTAGGGGTGGTGGAAATGTATGCTTTTTGACCCCCCCCCCCCCCACACACACACACACACACTTTTTTATCTGAAATCACCATCACCCACTGATTAACTTGTCATTTTTGCAGATTGAAAATGTTTTGAGCTAGTATTATGTCAATATTTATATTTAGAACAGCTGTCTCTCGCACTGTGCACACAGTTATCTGACAGTCATACATGGTTATAAAAGTTTGATATACCACTGAACTGAAAGATGACACCTCTTATCTGTTGTGACTGAATTGATGAATTTTCGGAATAAAACGATGACTAAAAAACATTAGTGAACTGGGGATTGGTAATGTTTAAATCGCTTTTCTGACCGAAGAATGCATAATTTGAATCGGTTTAGGCTCCCACAGACCGATGCACTCATATCTTAAACATTTGTACAGGGACCGATGTCAATTGGTGAATCGTTACATCCCTACTAATTCCAGTAATTTACATATCATTTTCCAGTTTTTTTCTCTGACCACACCCCTCATCACCTCCACAGGACGTTTTTCATTGCAGATACTAGATTAGTTTCCATAGAATCCCCACTAAAAATAACCCAACTCTTTTCCCACAGGCAGGTCAATCCATCAAAAGATGGTTCGAGGCATCAGAGATGCGAGGTGGAAGACTTTTGGGACGAGCCCAGCGAGGAAGAGGAAGCTCTGTATGGCACGTCTCCCCCCTACACCCCCCGGCATTTGAAACGCATGTCGGGGAAACACCAGAAGAACAGCCAGGCCAGGTCGGCTGGACGCTCCCCGGCTGGACGCTCTCCTTGCAAGAGTAAGTTAGGGGATAAGATGGAGGCAGTGGTCACAGAGTCCGAGGTAGAGAGGACAGGGGTGCGTAGTGTCGTAAACATGTCAGGCAAACACCATAGAAACAGTCAGTGCAGGTCGTCTTGACGCTCCCCCGCTGGAAGGTCTCCTAACAAGGGTAATCTAAACCTAATCTACCTGTTAATGCCAATTTATACCCTACGTAGACTGACCCTACAGAGTGTAGCGCAGTTTAGTTTTTCATCACAAGAGGCGGGTCCTAGTAGTGTGCTCTGACATTCGACATACTCCTGTGCCACATGAAAATATTAACACGCCGTATCATTCATTGAGTAGCTGTGGGTCAGTGTTGTGTAGCCTTGATCTGATCTATAGGCTATGCATCAAAGTAGCCTATTTTGCATTGATAAGCAAATATAATCCCAGCGACTATTCAAACAGCATTGTATCTTTATTAGAATAACTAGTGATTCCAGGCTATTTGTAAAAACCGTTGCGAGATGTGCTTTTTCTCTGCGACCTAAACATGACATTCTATTTTCAGCTGATATGGAAGCTAATACGTTCAAGCAGCATATTAAACTGGGATAATGTTGTAGGTTACACTGGCAAGTAAAGAATATTTGCAAAGGCATATTATTTAATTATAAATCTTCTTATTTCACATGGGGAGATGTGGGAAGCTAAAAGGCTAGCTTGCTTGCTGTTTTTAGTCAGCTAGCTAGCAAGCTGCTAGCGGAGTAGTCTACAGCCAACTGGCAGGCACAGAATGAGGTAATGTAAAACAAACCTAAACTTTCATTACATGTAGCTATTATTCAAATATACAGTTGGTTTTCATTGAAATTAGCTAACAGTGGTGATATTTTAAACGTGATTCTTCTCTGCTTTTACCACAAATGGGAAGACGACAAGAAGGAAATCTCTGCTATCGCCCCCTTGTGTATGTTGCTATTCGGGTGTCTAGGAACACATGGACTGGTGAGGGTATCATGTTACAAAAAGCTCCAAAAAATCTGACTCCACTCAAGAACACGCACATAGATCTAAATATGTTTAGGGTAACTGTAAATAATATTTGTTGGTATGTGGTGTGTAATGAGGAGCAACCAGATGCTGCACTTGAGACATTTATGAAATTGCTTATTCCAGTTACTAATAAGAAAATGACAGGAAAAATGGTAAATCCCCTTGGATTGATGAGGAATTGAAAAATTGTGTGGTTGAGAGGGATAAGGCAAAAGGAATGACAAATAAGTCTGTCTGCACAACCGATTGGCAAACGTACTGCAAATTGAGAAATCATGTGACTAAACTGAATAAAAATAAGAAACTATACTATGAAACAAAGATGAATGATAGTTAAAAGTTTTGGAGCACCTGAAATGAAAATGTGGGCAAAAAGGCAAACTCAGCTCCATCATTCATTGAATCAGATGGCTCATTCATCACAAAACCCACTGATATTGCCAACTACCTTAATGTTTTTTTAATTGGCAAGATTAGCAAACGTAGGCATGACATGCCAGCAAGAAACGCTGTCACCACATCCAAGTATAACTGATTAAATTATGAAAGACAATCATTGTAATTTTGAATTACGTAAAGTGAGTGTGGAAGAGGTGAAATGGTTATTGTTGTCTATCAACAATGACAAGCCACTGGGGTCTGACAACTTGGATGGGAAATTACTGAGGATAATAGCGGACGATATTGCCACTCCTATTTGCCATATCTTCAATCTAAGCCTACTAGAAAGTGTGTGCCATCAGGCCTGGAGGGAAGCAAAATTAATTCTGCTACCCAAGAATAGTAAAGCCCCCTTTACTGGCTCATATAGCCGACCAATCAGCCTGTTACCAACCCTTAGTCAACTTTTGGGAAAAATTGTGTTTGACCAGATAAAATGCTATTTTACTGTGAACAAATTGACAGCAGACTTTCAGCACGCTTCTAGGGAAGGACATTCAACAAGCACCGCACTTACACAAATGACTGACTGCTTGAGAGAAATTGATGATAAACGATTGTGGGAGCTGTTTTGTTAGTCTTCAGTGCGTCTTTTGACATTATCAATCATAGTGTGCTGCTGGAAAAACATGTGTTTATGGCTTTACACACCCTGTTATATTGTGGATAAAGAGTTACCTGTCTAACAGAACAGAGGGTGTTCTTTCATGGAAGCCTTCAACATAATCCAGGTAGAATCAGGAATTCCGCAGGGCAGCTGTCTAGGCCCCCCCCCCCCCCTTTTTAATGTATTTATCTTTACTAATGACATGCCACTGGCTTTGAGTAAAGCCAGTGTGTCTATGTATGCGGATGACTCAACACTATACACGTCAGCTACTACAGCGAGAGGTGCAGTTTCAGAATGGGTGGCAAGAAATAAATTAGTCCTAAATATTTCAAACTTAAAGCCTTGTGTTTGAGACAAATCATTCACTAAACCCTAAACCTCAACTAAATCTTGTAATAAATAATGTGGAAATTGAGCAAGTTGAGGTGACTAAACTGCTTGGAGTAACCCTGGATTGTAAACTGTCATGGTCAAAACATGTTGATTAAACAGTAGCTAAGATGGGGAGAAGTCTGTCCATAATAAAGCGCTACTCTGCCTTTTTAACAACACTATCAACAAGGTAGGTCCTACAGGCCCTAGTTTTGTCGCACCTGAACTACTGTTCAGTCGTGTGGTCAGGTGCCACAAAGAGGGACCTCTGAAAATTACAATTGGCTCAAAACAGGGCAGCACGGCTGGCACTTAAAAGTACACGGAGAGCTAACATTAATATGTATGTAAATCTCTCATGGCTCAAAGTGGAGGAGAGATTGACTTCATCACTACATGTTTTTGTTAGAAGTGTTGACATGCTGAATGCACAGAGGTGTCTGTTTTTAAACTAGTAGCACACAGCTCGGACACCCATGCATACCCCACAAGACATGCCACCAGAGGGCTCTTCACAATCCCCAAGTCAAGAACAGACTATGGGAGGCGCACAGTACTACGTAGAACCATGGCTACATGGAACTCTATTCCACATCAGGTAACTGATGCAAGCAGTAGAATCAGATTTTTTGATAAATAATAGATTAAAAATACACCTTATGGCACAGCGGGGACTGAAGAGACACACAGACAATGCTTACACATAAGACACGCACTCTACACACATGTACACATGGATTTTGTATTGTAGAGTAGTGGCCTGAGGGAACACACGTAATGAGTTGTGAAAAGGGTAATGAAATGTAAAGTAATGTATATAACTGCCTTAATGTTGCTGGACCCCAGGAAGAGTAGCTGCTGCCTTGGCAGCAGCTAATGGTGATCCTTAATACATACAAACCAACTTAGTGGCCAATGTTTGGAATGAGCAAGTAGCAGTGAGTAAAGTAACCACAGCATGTAGATTTTCTTGAGGGGAAAGGTTCTGTTATTGTATTGGTTAGAATAAGTATTGATTTTTCCTCTCTCATTCTGTATCTCAGTAGACAATCAGCCAGCCCCTTCCAGTCCATCCCAGCCCCAGAGAGAGAGGGAGCCCAACCCTAACCCCAACAGGCCCAGAGAGGGGGCCGAGCGAGACCGAGAGAAAGACCCCCACCTCCACCCCCCAGAGGCTGAGCAACATAACTACAAGCTGGGCAAGAAACAGACCGACCCTTCTGAGGGGATCCAAGTAAACATAAACAAACAAGTAAACAAACAAACCGAGGAGCAACAACACAACTACAAGCAGGGTAAAAAACAACGCGCCACCCTGCGCTCCACCGAGAGAGACCACAAGAAGACCTTTGAAGGTTCCTTCGTGCTGGACCCGCTCTCCAAGACCTCCAGCCACTTCGGTGGAGGCTCAGCCCTCAACATGGACCCCAGGAAACCCTACCTATCGCTGGGCTGCGGCAGCGGCAAGCTCCTGGTCACTATGCCCCACCCCATGGCCCACCGCACCCACCGCCAGACCTCAAGGACAGACTGCCCTGCAGATAGACTCAAGTTCTTTGAGACGCTGAGGTTGTTATTGAAGCTGACTTCCATGTCGTCCAAGAAGAAGGAAAAGGAGCAGCGCGGTCTGGAGAACACTGCCTTCATGGGCCAGAACAACGAGGTAGCTATGGATTGATTTATGGATTGATTAATGCTATCTTATGGTGATGTATATCATGTATAGCAGTTTTATATGTGTGCTGACTCGCTCTCTCTCCATCCCTCCCTCTCTCCAGGTGGTGTGGCTGGAGCTCCAGGCGTGGCACGCGAGACGCTCCGTCAACGACCAGGATGTGTTCCTGTTCACGGCTCGTCAAGCAATCCCAGACATCATCAACGAGGTGCTCCACTTCAAGGTCAACTACCACAGCCTGAGCCCCAGCACTGTGGGCCTGGGACAACTGAGCCTGGGGGTGGGGGTAGGAGGACCAAGTATGGGTGGAGCCCAGAGGACTCTAGTGTTAACAGAACCAGGCTGTGGAGGCCCAAGCCAGGGGCCCAAACAGAGAACTTCAAACCAGGCCTCAGAGACTGTTTCTGGGCAGGAGAGGGACTCCAACCAGCCTGCTGCTGTTGGCGCTCCAAAGACTAACCATAACCACGTTGCTTCAGTCGACCCATGGGGCTTCAGCGCCTGCCCCTCGGCGGTAGACGCAGCGGCTCCCCTGGGCTCCGGGGCGGGGTGCAGGGAGCACCTCCAGCGCCAGCGGCTGGCCTTCGAGCAGGTTAAACGGGTGATGGAGCTACTGGAGTCGGTGGAGGCGTTGTACCCGTCCCTGCAGACCCTCCAGAAGGACTATGAGAAGTACGCAGCCAGGGACTTCCAGGGCAGGGTGCAGGCACTCTGTCTCTGGCTCAACATCACACAGGTAAGGACTGGATTGATTGACCGAAAGGAGGGTTTACACACATTCAAAATAACAGGAGAGGGACAGTAGAATGCAAAGAAAAGCGCAGTAAGCAGTCACAGTAACTTTATAAATAAATTACCTTTGGGGTCAGCAAAACAGCAGACATTCCCTTTTTTGTGACAACCGCTGATGTAAAAATTGCTTTAAAAGTACATTCAAAGAAATAACAGGAGCTGGACAGTAGTAGAGATCCAATGCATGGAGAAATGGTAATGTCCTCTCACTAGCAAAACAATGAGCTATTTTCTGTCATCTGTGTTCCTGGGTGGCTTACTTGGTAGAACATTGCGATTGCAACACTAGGATCCTGCTGGGGCAACTAATACGAAAATGTAACCATTATGAGTACTGTAAATCGCTTTGTATGAAAGCGTCTACTAAATGGTATTTGTTATTATATTTTCACTTAGGATCTGAACCAGAAACTTCGTGTTATGGCGACTGTCCTCGGCCTCCGGGACCTTTCCCGTATCGGCTGGCCCGTCTTCGAGATCCCCTCGCCACGCTGTTCCCGCGGCAATGACGAGGAAGACGAGGATGAAGAAGACGAGGAGAACGACTCCACGGCAACCTTCACCGCCGGTGACAGCGATGGGGAGGACAGGGACCTAGCGGGGGAGGAGGGGGAAACTGGTGAGCCCAGAGGGGGCGAAACGACAGGTGAGCCGGGAGAGGGAGAAGGTGAACTCTCCCCCTCTTTGACTCCTAAATTCACCCGGTTACTACTATCTGAGGATGAATTTCTCCCAGCGGCCGGGACAGGGACTATGGAAGTGGTATCGGGGGGAACAGGGACAGGAGGGATGTACTGCCCTACAGCCATCTTCAGACCCTTCGTAGATAAGGCCTTGAAACAGATGGGGCTGAGGAAACTGATCCTGAGACTACACAAGCTGATGGACCCCTCCCTCCAGAGGTCCCGGGCAGCTCTGCTCAGCCACACGCCTGCACAGGAGGTAAGAGAGAGCTGTCATATGGTTTTATATAGGAGAAGGTTACATATGAACATCCAATGTCTTTGAGCAGGTGATGGATGATAAAAAGGATATTAGAGGGAGAGACTCTGCACATTGCAATTGATGTTCCTATGTCAGTTTTTCTCAAACTCTGTCCTGTGGACCCCAAGGGGTGCACGTTTTGGTTTTTGCCCTAGCACTACACAGCTGATTCAAATAACAGGGGTTGCGTTAGAGTTCAGAAATGTGCATTTTCATAATGCAGACTTTCAAAAAATCTGCATTTTAAACCATTTCATCTGTGTTTTATATTGAAGGTCAAGTGTTTTTTTTTTTGCTTCAATAGAGTAATCGGGGGCATGCAACTATAGTTTTCCATCACAGAAAAAACATGAGTGCAACACATTCGGCAGAAAATATCAGATGACAACAGCAGTTCAACGCTATTTGGCTAGCAGCCACAAGTAAATGAGCTTAATGAAAAAGCAAGGTATTTTTTGCAGTAATGATGCATGGCCATCCTATTTCTAATGTTTATCATAGAAAGAATGTAGCCAGCTACGTTTCCTAATGTTTTGCTTGAAGTTAATCTGGCATTTTACCAGAGAACTAGGCTGGCTACACTGAGAAAAGTACTGGAGAAAAGTAGCTGATAGATGAGAATTCAGAAATGGGCATTCTGAGTGGAGAAGTGCAACTGAAGCACAAAATTAGTCTGATGCTGAGCAGAAATTACAATAAGAAGCATTTTAAATCTGTGTTTACAAAACACAGCAAGATATCTCTTATGCGTTTTTATATTTTTTGTTGTGAAAAACACATTTTTCTCATGACCAACGCTGTCCTATGTGGTTAATTGTTGACATGACAACTTCTTCCACTATGTTTCGAGACCCGATGAAGACCTGAGGGGTCGAAAGGTTGTCGCCAATAATCCACATGGAAGCTTAGATTGCAGTGTGTCGAGTCTCTATCATTTGTCTAATATGGCGGGGTTTTCAAACCTCTCCAGAGTCAACAGGCGTTCCATGTATTTGATCTATTCCAGAGCTAGCACACCTGATTCAAGCCCTTGATAAGGTGAATCATGTTAGCTAGTTAAAGGATACAACAATATTGTGAAATGTATGGGGGTCCCCGAGCAGTGGTTTGAAAACCCCTGTAATATGGATTTCACACGATCATGCCCAACCGAACCATAAAGTGCAGGCTCAGATATTTTGTTTTCACAATGTATTTTTCATCACAGTTCCAGCAACTATGGTGGGATGCATAATTAGTCCAGCCCAGTACAGCTCAGCTTAGCTTGGTTTGGCTCTGTGTTTTTGGATAGTTTGTTCACAGAGCTGCACTGTGGCTATTGTGAGGTTGCAAAATGAGAGGGAAGTGCTTGATACATGATATGCACCTTGAAAATAACCATCATAAATTGGATTGTACAGGCCTATATGCATTTTAATCATGAAGGGCTTAATGGAGCTTGTTCTTGTTTACTTTCTGTCAAATTGAAGGCTAGTTACATTTTGCATAGCAAATATGAATGCAAATCATGCAATGTTTATTTTTTTACAGTTTCACAAATTAACTTAATTCATATATAAATACAGTTAAATTGATTTCCAACTAAGCTGCCACTGTACTGCATGGTGCTTTCCTGATAATTTGCCATTTCAAAGTCCTCCTGACTAGTCCATGTGTTATACTAGCTCAGTGCCCTTTCTCAGCCGTGGTCATGTGTAGAGACACAGTGAGCACACAAAACCACCCATACACATACAGGATGACTGAGTCACCATCCCTGGGGCCCTAGGAGGGAAGGCTTGGTCTCCTCTTCCCCTCGCTGAGGTTGTCATTTATCTGTGTGCTGATTTGAAAAAACAAAGTTCACCACATACTCAACTTGTAAACCGCAAGATACAGTAAGGGAAAAAAGTATTTGATCCCCTGCTGGTTTTGTACGTTTGCCCACTGACAAAGACATGATCAGTCTATAATTTTAATGGTAGGTTTATTTGAACAGTGAGAGACAGAATAACAACAAAAAAATCCAGAAAAACACATGTCAAAAATGTTATAAATTGATTTGCATTTTAATGAGGGAAATAAGTATTTGACCCCTCTGCTAAACATGACTTAGTACTTGGTGGCAAAACCCTTGTTGGCAATCACAGAGGTCAGATGTTTCTTGTAGTTGGCCACCAGGTTTGCACACATCTCAGGAGGGATTTTGTTCCATTCCTCTTTGCAGATCTTCTCCAAGTCATAAAGGTTTCGAGGCTGACGTTTGGCAACTCGAACCTTCAGCTCCCTCCACAGATTTTCTATGGGATTAAGGTCTGGAGACTGGCTAGGCCACTCCAGGACCTTAATGTGCTTCTTCTTGAGCCACTCCTTTGTTGCCTTGGCCGTGTGTTTTGGGTCATTGTCATGCTAGAATACCCATCCACGACCCATGTTCAATGCCCTGGCTGAAGGAAGGAGGTTCTCACCCAAGATTTGACGGTACATGGCCCCGTCCATCGTCCCTTTGATGCGGTGAAGTAGTCCTGTCCCCTTAGCAGAAAAACACACCTAAAGCATAATGTTTCCACCTCTATGTTTGACGGTGGGGATGGTGTTCTTGGGGTCATAGGCAGCATTCCTCCTCCTCCAAACACGGCGAGTTGAGTTGATGCCAAAGAGCTCGATTTTGGTCTCATCTGACCACAACACTTTCACCCAGTTTTCCTCTGAATCATTCAGATGTTCATTGGCAAACTTCAGACGGCCCTGTATATATGCTGCAGGATTTCAGTCCTTCGCGGCGTAGTGTGTTACCAATTGTTTTCTTGGTGACTATGGTCCCAGCTGCCTTGAGATCATTGACAAGATCCTCTCGTGTAGTTCTGGGCTGATTCCTCACCGTTCTCATGATCATTGCAACTCCACGAGGTGAGATCTTGCATGGAGCCCCAGGCCGAGGGAGATTGACAGTTATTTTGTGTTTCTTCCATTTGCGAATAATCACACCAACTGTTGTCACCTTCTCACCAAGCTGCTTGGCGATGGTCTTGTAGCCCATTCCAGCCTTGTGTAGGTCTACAATCGTGTCCCTGTCATCCTTGGAGAGCTCTTTGGTCTTGGCCATGGTGGAGAGTTTGGAATCTGATTGATTGATTGCTTCTGTGGACAGTTGTCTTTTATACAGGTAACAAGCTGAGATTAGGAGCACTCCCTTTAAGAGTGTGCTCTTATCTCAGCTCGTTACCTGTATAAAAGACACCTGGGAGCCAGAAATCTTTCTGATTAAGAGGGGGTCAAATACTTATTTCCCTCATTAAAATGCAAATCAATTTATAACATTTCTGACATGCGTTTTTCTGGATTTTTTTGTTATTCTGTCTCTCACTGTTCAAATAAACCTACCATTAAAATTATAGACTCATCATTTCTTTGTCAGTGGGCAAACGTACAAAATCAGCAGGGGATCAAATACTTTTTTCCCTCACTGTATTTAGCTAGGAATCTACAATGCTCTTTTTTGGGATATTTTAACTTTTTACCTCACAGATGACCAGTTGAATACTGAAGCAGGTTTGGGGAACTCTGCATTACACTACCCTTACCTTATCCTCACCTTGCACAGCCCTCCTTCTCTGTAGTTTGTCGACATGCTAACCTGTCTGTTTATTCTGTGTTTTAGTTTTTTCGTGTGTTGTATGTTCGTCTCTCCCCTCTAGTTCACGGACTTTCCTGACCCCATGCTGTACAGTGACTACCTACCGGAGCTGTCCCGTCACCTGTCCTCCTGCAACACCCCCGGTGGCCCGGAGCTGGGGGCGGACCAGGTCTCCTGGGAAGAGCTGTTGGACATGGACCTCCCCTCGTTCCGACCTGCCTTCCTGGTCCTGTGCCGGGTCCTGCTGAACGTGATACACGAGTGCCTTAAACTGAGACTGGAGCAGAGGCCCGCAGGGGAGCCCTCACTGCTCAGCATCAAACAGGTCAGCAGGCACACCTTCTGTTTCTCCCACTCTGCCCTGCTCATTCTGAATAGTAGAGGTGAATAGTGATGCTGATCTCTATTGCTTGATTCACACTGTAGGGCTGACCCGAACCGCACTGTGCTTGCTCAGATATGTTCTTTTCACATTGTCCTTTAAAGCACAGTTCCAGCATCTATGGCAGATGTGCAACCAGGCCAGCATAGTACAGCTCGACTCGGTTTGGCTCAGTAAGGTGAAATGGGTAGGCTATATGTCTGTTGATGCCCATACTAACGTGTCTCCATCTGTTCTGTAGTTGGTGCGTGAATGTAAGGAGGTGTTGAAAGGTGGTCTCCTGATGAAGCAGTATTACCAGTACATGCTGAGGGGGGTGGTCACAGACCCCCAGGGACTTCAGACCAACGCCAACATAGACGATTTCGAGGAGGACCTCCACAAGATGCTGGTGGTAAGACAGACTTCCTACTGAGTCAGGATTAGGGTTGCAAAATTCCTCTTTCCCAAAAAATGTCCCTGTTTTCCAGAAATCCTGTTTGAAAGATCATTATAAGCGAGTCATTTATGCTTATGACAGCTCTTAAATACATTATAAATGCACCATAACATAGACAAGTTTGAAGAGGACTTCCACAAGATACTGGTGGTAAGACAAATTACTGAGGACTAATCTGTAGAAGATACATTGAATTTACCCTGTGTCAGGAAACTGCCCTAAACCACTGAAATGTTTTGGTTCAAGTGTGTCCATCGCGCAGAGACTCTTTTCTACAGCGTAGTATATTTTCTATCCTATCTTCCAACGGGGGCGGTGTTGCGGCCTATATTCAGAACCACATTCCTGTAAAGCTTAGAGGATCTCATGTTAAATACTGTTGAAGTAATATGGCTACAGGTTCACCTGCCTCAACTAAAGCCCATTCTGGTGGGAAGCTGCTATAGACCACCAAGTGCTAACAGTCAGTATCTGGATAACGTGTGAAATGCTTGATAATGTATGTGATATCAATAGAGGTATACTTTCTGGGTGATTTTAAATATTGACTGGCTTTCATCAGGCTGCCCACTCAAGAGAAAGCTTCAAACTGTAACTAGTGCCCTAGTTTTGTCGCCCCTGGACTACTGTTCAGTCGTGTGGTCAGGTGCAATTTGCTCAGAACAGGGCAGCACGGCTGGCCTTTGAATGTACACAGAGAGCTAACATTAATAATATGCATGTCAATCTCTCCTGGCTCAAAGTGAAGGAGAGATTGACTTCATCACTACTTGTATTTGTGAGAGGTATTGACATGTTGAATGCACCGGCAAACAGCTTGGACACCCATGCATACCCCACAAGACATGCCACCAGAGGTCTCTTCACAGTCCCCAAGTCAAGAACGGACTATGGGAGGCGCACAGTACTACATAGAGCCATGACTACATGTCAGCAATAAAATTAGATTTAAAAAACAGATAAAAATACACCTTATGGAACAGCGGGGACTGTGAAGCAACACAACCATAGACACATGCATACAAACACACGATAACATACGCACTATACACACATGGATTTTGTGTTATAGATATGTGGTAGTAGAGTAGAGGCCTGAGGGCACACACTTAATGTTGTGAAATCTGTTATGAATGTATTGTAATGTTTTTTTTATTTTTATGTATAACTGCCTTAATTTTGCTGTACCCCAGGAAGAGTAGCTGCTACCTTGGCAGCAGCTAATGGGGATCTATAATAAATACAATACCATAGCTTATCTGTCGGGTGTAGATTACCCCAGAGGTTACTGAGGTCACTATTGTCTGTCTGGTGTAGATCACCCCGGAGTTTACTGAGGTCACTATTTACTGTCGGGTGTAGATGACCCCAGAGGTTACTGAGGTCATTATTGTCTGTCGGGTTTAGATTACCCCAGAGGTTACTGAGGACTTTATTTACTGTCTGATGTAGATTACCCCAGAGGTTACTGAGGTCACTATTTACTGTCGGGTGTAGGTGACCCCAGAGGTTACTGAGGTCATTATTGTCTGTCGGGTGTAGATTACCCCAGAGATTACTGAGGTCTTTATTTACTGTCTGATGTAGATTACCCCAGAGGTTACTGAGGTCACTATTGTCTGTCGGGTGTAGATTACCCCAGAGTTTACTGAGGTCATAGAGTACAACTTTTGCATCATGATCCTTTAACCAGGGTCAAGTTACAGAGGCTGCGTCCTACTCAACCAGAGTGTGTGGGTTAAGACTAGAGGCGTCCTGTAGGAGAGTGGCTTGTGTGTCTCTGGGTGCCTGGCCAGTGCCCAGGAACCAAGTTTAGGGTTATACTAGCTCCCGGTAAATCTGCTTGAGAACAGTGTGTGCTCATCTCTGGGGTGAGAGAGCTTTAACCAACAACCACGAAGCTGAAGCAGCACATGGCACATTGATTCTTTGAAATTGTGTTCTCCCGAGTGGCACAGTGGTCTAAGGCACTGCATTGCAGTGCTAGCTGTGCCACTAGATCCTGGTTCGAATCCATGCTCTGTCGTAGCCGGCCGTGACCGGGAGACCCATAGGGCGGCGCACAATTGGCCCAGCGTCGTCCAGGGTAGGGGAGGGAATGGCCGGCAGGGATGTAGCTCAGTTGGTAGAGCATGGCGTTTGCAACGCCAGGGTTGTGGGTTCGATTCCCACGGGGGGCCTGTATGCACTCACTAACTGTAAGTCGCTCTGGATAAGAGCGTCTGCTAAATGACTCAAATGTAAATGGCAGCCAGGGGTGTGGTAGGAATTGGCATCGGTCAATCACTGATTACTTCTCAGATGTTTCGGCGGCAGCGTTTTGTTTCCTCGCTGTCTCTTTGGACAGACGGCCGGTAGGGCGGCAGGTAGCTTAGTGGGTAAGAGCGTTGTGCCAGTAACCGAAAGGTTGCTGGTTCTAATCCCCGAGCCGACTAAGAGCGTTGTGCCAGTAACCCTAATTGCTCCTGTAAGTCGCTCTGGATAAGAGCGTCTGCTAAATGACTAAAATATAAAATGTAGTGGGTGATTAAAAGCCTGATAAAACACAATGTTCCTGAATTCTAAAAAAGGGTCACAGCCACAGCTGTGTCAGGGTCAAAGTCTAGTCTACTACCTGCTTCTGCAGAAAAACAGGCTTTACTTTAGGAATATCACAACCCTGCCCTGCAGAGAGGCGAATACAAGAAGAATGACAACAATGAGGATGAATGTATTCCCCAGTATCTCTGCCATCGGTTGACAAATAGGAAGTAATACCACACGATGCCATAGGAAGGAGGATATAAATTATAGGAGGAATTTGTGTTAGTGTTCGTGACAATCATACTGTGGAAAAACCATGCAAAACAATTGTCAGAACATAAAGTTAGGAACTGGATTTGCTTATCAAATGACTTGGCACAGTCTCAAACTGTAGAGGAAACTACCTGCTGCATGCAGCCATGCACCATTATTTAAATTAATAGCATTGGAAATACACCAAAATATCCACTTACCTGCCCGTTGATCACCATACATTCATCCCTTTGTCTGCAGGTGTACTTTGACTACATGCACACCAGGGTTTCCGTTAGGAAAATGTGGTGCCGGACATTTGACCAGAAGCATTTTAATTTACCGGACATTTGAGAACTTTACTGACCCATATGCATAACCTGATTAGGGCGTCCAGCCACGGTGCTCAGAATAACATAAATCACTTTTAGATTATTCATCTTAACAGAACATACAACTCAAGGATGCAACGGAGTGCGTCCTTCTTACCGAATTCTGATGTGCACTTTGAAGATGTTAGAATAACTGTTCAGTTAGTTTTCCTCAGCAAACAAGACTAATAACGAACAGCAATATCACTAGCCTATTTCAATCTTCTATCCCCATAGTAGAAAAGTTTACCTAATTTTATTGGTCATCTTGTCATTCTGTGCGAAAAATATATTACCTATTCCAAACAGCCTTTGGGACAGTTGTGGGACGGTAGATCCCAAATTCATACAACCAGTGCATCCAAAAAACTTTAAAAAGCATTAAGGCTGATGCAACAGATCAGAACGTTAAGCTTAAAATGTTGATAAACTATTATTTCTTCACACTATAAGCACAGCAATGCGCACACGGCAGTAGGCTACAAGCAAATGTTTGTTCCATAATGCAATTAGCGGCAAAACACCGTAGTCAAAAGCGCACCGCACATGCAAGCGGTTTCATGTGAAAGAGATTAAAATATCTGTTTGAAATTTAGAAAGAGGGGCGATCTAAAGATGCAACAACTGGCATGGATTACTGATATGGCTAGGATTGTGCACTTTTGGCTACTGGATAATGAAAGAAAGTTGATTTGAAAACAAATAGAACATGAGAGAAATTGGCTACTGGTTTCAATGGCAAATATAAGTCTTTAGTCGGATTTTGGCTAGGCTACTTTGAAGCAAAGTAAGACATGCCTCATATGAAGTTAAATGTTTGGGTTGCAAACAAACTGAAGCTTGCATACCGTTGCCTATGCACATGAATGGTTAATGGGAAGCGTGCTTCAATTACCAGTTGAGAAATAAAAATAGTAGCTCTTTAATCATGGTCATCAAAATAGTTTTTAACACTTGATTGCATTTAACATAGTTGCGCAATGATTGGGCTTATAGAAGCATGTTTCACGGAACTGTAGCAGCAGCTCTCCTGCTGTCTGACAGATGTTACGCTCAAGCTAGGCTCTGTATCTGTATGCTATGCGCGTGTAATAAATAAGATACATAACGACTAACGAAAATACAAAAATTTACCTATAGACCAATAAGCATGACCGGTCAAATGCATTTACATCAACTGGTATTTCCATCAATGAATAGGCTTAAAAGCATTATTGGCCGGCGTCAGTTTTATTTATCGGCTTTAATTTCTTTATCAGCCAACATCCGTCTAGTTCCGGCTAACGGAAACCCTGCTGCACACCTACCTGTTTAATCAGTAGAGAGCTCTCTCCTCTCTCTGTCTGCAGGTGTACTTTGACTACATGCACAGCTGGATCCAGATGCTGCAGCAGCTTCCCCAGGCCTCCCACAGCCTGAAGAACCTTCTAGAGGAGGAGTGGAACTTTACCAAGGTCATCACCCCCTACATCAGAGGAGGGGAGGCTCAGTCAGGGAAACTCTTCTGGTTAGTGTTTGAATGTTTGTTCATTGTTTCTCTATCTATTTTTAAGCATCTATTCTATATCGTGGAGCTCCGCCCCATAGGGGAGCTCTGCTCCTATTGGTTTACCCTCTGCCCTAAGGCGGCAACAGCCTGAGACAAAATTATGCACACACCGAGTACAGGTGTCCCTATAAGAGGGGACGCTTCCCCTCAATCAGCCTCCCTTTATCTTCAGCGACTGGACTGGACTGAACTGAAGAAGCCAAGAAGAGACGAAGAGAAGACTCAGGACGAGATACGCCGTCGGATTTTCCAGTTATGGACGTCGTCCTAGAATGAGCACACCAGGGAATTTTCCACCCCCAAAAGCTATTTTCAGAGCTCAATGCCGCGGCGCCTCCATGACGGCTGTGGACTCCCACGACTTATGTTTTTCGTGTGTTTGGGTTCACAGCACGCCAAGGAGGGCGTCAGCGATCCCCCTAATTGCGCCAGCTGCGCCCTCCTTTCATTGAAGGAGAGGAAGCAGCGCTGGCCGTTTTTTAGGGAGGATATTCCTCTGGAGGACGTGCTATCGGTGCTAGCCTCTGCTTCAGAGGCATCATCAGATAGCGCCGACTCCGGAGAAGACAGGAATTATGGGGAGGAGACAGATATTCCAATGGAACAATCCAACCCTCTGACCCAGACGTTCAAGACCCCCTTTCCTTTGGAAAGCGAGAGGTCTTGTAATTCCCTGGGTGATGACGACACGGGCTCTGCGAGATCAGTAGCCCTGTCCTTCGCCGCAGTCTCTCTGCGTTCTGATTTTCCTGGACTCATTGAGAGGGCTGCTCGACGCTTAGAGATAGCGCTGCCTCCCATTCCCTTCGCATCAGAAGTGGATATGATGGAGGGCGGCCCCTATTCTCGGCCAAGGAGGGCGGCAGAGCCTCTGGCTTCAGCAATGCCCTCGCTGGCAAAGTACGTCGAGGGCTCATGGGAGGCACCTCTGGCGGCGCGTTCGCCGGCCAAGTCGTACCTCCCATTCACCAGAGTGGAGGGAAGGCATCAGGGCTTTGCTAGAGGAATCCCCAGGCTAGAGAGTGCCCTGGCTGCGTATCTCGTGCCGGGTTTGAGTCCCTGGCCCTCTTCCAAAAAGGCCACCTTACCGACGCAAAAGGACCGCCTCACAGCGCAGCTGGTAGAGAAGTCCTTTACGTTGGGAGCCTAAGCTGTAGCAGCAGCAAATAACATTGCCCTCCTAGCGGCCTCTCTGTCCCGTTTAACCACAGGTAAGACTGAGCTAGACAGGGAGGAGGTGGAAGAGGCGTCCAGGATTTCTGGCGCTATTCTCCACCTAACTCAGGCGTCGGCTCTCTGCGCGGGGAGGTCCATGGCCACTTCGGTGGTCGCGGAACGACACCTGTGGTTGTCACTGACAACCATGAAGGAAGCAGACAGAGCGTCGCTCTTGAACGCCCCCCTATCTGACGACGGACTCTTCGGAGTCGCCGTCAAGGAGGCGGCGGAGCGTTTCACCAAACTTGACGAGGAGAGGAAGCAGCTGGCCAGACACCTGCCACTGGCAGGGAGGTTAGGCCACGTGACCCAGAAGCCGTCAACCTCCACCGCCCCGAGTAGACCGGGCTCTACTGCGAGGCGTCGTGCCCGGCGACTACGAGCAGCAGGAGAGGGCCCCGCCCCCCCAGCAGCTACTGTGGCCCCAATGATGCAGCCGGCGAGGGAAGTCCTCAGAGCGTCGACCTGGCAGCCTAAGGGCAGCCAGAAGAGACTGCACACATGACGGGACGCTGGGGAGAGAATAGAAGATGGCGCAGCGACAGATTCGAATGCGCCCGCTATTCCCCCCCACCTTTCGGTTGAGGGGATGGAGGAGAATGTTTTTGTTTGTGTAATAAAGAATTGGCTCCTCCTGACTTTGTCAAAAAAGAGCCCCTTTTCCATAATACATCCGAGAGCGTTCGACCTACCTCACTCCCTCTCTCTCTCTCCCACCACACTGAGTGCCGCTCAGCCCACCATGGGTGCGTTGCTGAGCGCACACATAAGGTAAGTATGAGAAAGGTATCAAGGCGCCGCCTTGTATTACCTCATAAAGACCTCACTTTACAGACTCCTAGGAGTGCTGTAGTGAGTGTCTCACATAGCAGGCTGCAGTCTCAGTCAGATAATGGCAGGATGACGCAACCGCTATTCGGAGATGGCGCGCTGTCTCAGGCTAAGGCCTCAGTCAGTGCAGTTCAGACCCGTGCCGCGTTCACGGAGGGCCGGAATACTACGGTTACGAGTTTAACCAACGTATTGGCGCCCCTGTTTCTCTCAGAACACGCTGATGCTCACCACGCTGAGTGTAGCTCAGCCCACCAAGGGTGCGGAGCTGATCACACACAGGAGGTGAATGTAAAAAATGTATCAAAGCGCCGCCTTGTGTTACCTCATAGAGACCTCACATTACAGACTCATAGGAGTACTGCAGTGAAGGGCTCTCATAGCAGACTGCAGTCACAGCCAGGTATTGGAATGATGACGCAATTGCTTTCTGGGGATGGTGCTCTGTTGCAGGCTAACGCCTCAATCAGTGCAGTTCAGACCCGTGCTGCGTGCACGGAGGGCCCGGAATACTACGGTTACGGGTTTAACCAACGTATTGGCGCCCCCTTTTCTCTCAGAACGCGTTGATGTTTCCTCTCCCTTTCACGGGAGGCCTGCCTTGGGCTGTTCCACCACCTCAGTGTTGGGGAACAGCGGTTGGCAAGGGCCATCGAGGAATACAGGTCCTTCCTACTGAATGTACCACAGCTTCGCGCTCGCCCGCTTTCTCTGCATTGCTGGGAGTGGCGGCGAAGCTGTACACTCTCTCGCTGGCTAGACCAGACGCTGCAGAAGGGTTATGCCATCCAATTCCATCGGACCCCTCCCCCATTCAGGGGAGTGGTGGAGACGGTGATGAAAACGCCCGAAAAAGTGGCCGCTCTGGTGTCAGAGATTACGGAACTTTTGGCGAAGGAACCGGTCACAGTAGTTCCCCAGGAGCAAAGGAACAAAGGGCTATATTCGCCCTACTTCCTGGTGCCCAAAAAGACGGGGGGAATGAGGCCGATATTGGATTTACGCATTCTCAATGAGAGCGTAACCAAACAGCCCTTCCGAATGCTCACGACAAAACGTCTACTGGAATGTATCCAGAAAGGAGACTTTTGTACAAGCATAGACCTGAAGGACGCGTACTTTCATGTGCCGGTGCAGCCGCGTCACAGAAAGTTTCTGCGATTCGCCTTTCAAGGGGTGGCGTACGAATACACGAGGATGCCATTCGGGTACGCCCTGGCACCTCGCACGTTTTCCAAGTGTGTAGAGGCGGCATTGGAACCGTTGCGTTGTCAGGGAATAAGGCTACTAGCCTACCTAGACGACCTACTGGTTCTCGCCCCGTCAGCAGAGCTGGCGTTCACTCACACGACACAGACAGTGATTCATCTTACGCGTCTGGGGTTCGCCAGTTCCACTTCCAGGGTGTATGCCAGTAAATGGAAAGTTTTTTTCACAATGGTGTGTCACAGAGAATGTAGACCCCATGAACTGTCGGGTTATCAACATAAAGGTCAGGCCTAGCAATGGTCAGGCCTAGCAATGGCTGCTTATCAAACATAAACTTGTGACACCTTGTATTGTGATACAGTGGTTACAATACTGCGGGACTTGGTTGCAGCCATTGCTAGGCCTGACCTTTTTGTTTCGATGGGAAGTGTTGGGCTCGGCAGGGAGTACATTTTGGAGCGTTGCGCTCCGCCTTAAACCAATAGGAGCAGAGCTCCCCTATGGGGCGGAGCTCCACGATATAGAACGATAGTTACCGGAGTGTAACTCCAGTTATATGAGTGGAGCGGAGCCCCATAGGACTTAAGGCCCTGCCGACCCTCTCTAGTCTCGCTGAAGATGAATATCTCGGGAGGCTGATTGAGGGGAAGCGTCCCCTCTTATAGGGACACCTGTACTCCTATTGGCTGCAGGTGTGTGCATAATTAGGCAGCGGGGTAAACCAATAGGAGCAGAGCTCCCCTATGGGGCTCAACTCCACTCATAGAACTGGAGTTACACTCTGGTAACTATCGTTCTCCGTCGGCGCATCCAACTCACACCCTCTTCCACATTGTGTTTTTAGTTAGCGCTGCTTAGCTAAATATTCCTTGCCTCTTCTCTCTCACAGTGACATTGCTGGGATGCTGCTCAAGTCCACAGGGGACTTCCTGGACGTGGGCCTGCAGAAGAGTGGTGATGAATTCTGGGAAAGTGCCGACGACAGTACGGTCTCAGACGAGATCAGGTATGTCTTGTTTTATATTTAACATACAGTGCATTCGGAAAGTATTCAGACCCCTTGACTTTTTCCAAATATTGTTACGTTTCACAATACCCCATAATGACAAAGCAAAAACATAAAATTCCTTATTTACATAAGTATTCAGACCCTTTGCTATGAGACTCGAAGTTGAGCTCATGTGCATCCTGTTTCCATTGATCATCCTTGAGATGTTTCTACAACTTGATTGGAGTCCTCCTGTGGTAAATTCAATTGATTGGACATGATTTGGAAAGGCACACACCTGTCTATATAACGTCCCACAGTTTAACCGTGCATGTCAGAGCAAAGACCAAGCCGTGAAGTCGAAGGAATTGTCCATAGAGCTCCGAGACAGGATTGTGTCGAGGCACAGTTCTTGGGAAGGGTACCGAAACATTTCTGCAGCATTGAAGGTCCCCAAGAACACAGTGGCCTCCATCATTCTTAAATGGAAGAAGTTTGGAACCACCAAGACTCTTGCTAGAGCTGGCCGCCCGGCCAACCTGAGCAATCGGGGGAGAAGGGCCTGGTCAGGGAGGTGACCAAGAACCCAATGGTCACGCTGACAGAGCTCCAGAGTTCCTCTGTGGAGATGGCAGAACCTTCCAGAAGGACAACCATCTCTGCAGCACTCCACCAATCAGGCCTTTATCGTAGTGGCCAGACGGAAGCCACTCCTCAGTAAAAGGCACATGACAGCCCACTTGGAGTTTGCCAAAAGGCACCTAAAGACTCTCAGACCATGAGAAACAAGATTATCTGGGCTGAAACCAAGATTGAACTCTTTGACTTGAATGCCAAGCGTCACGTCTGGAGGAAACCTGGCACAATCCCTACAGTGAAGCATGGGGGTGGCAGCATCATGCTTTGGGGATGTTTTTCAGCGGCAGGGACTGGGAGACTAGTCAGGATCGAGGGAAAGGTTAACGGAGCAAAGTACATAGAGATCCTTGATGAAAACCTGCTCCAGAGCACTCAGGACCTCAGACTAGGGTGAAGGTTCACTTTCCAAGCCCTAAGCACACAGCCAAGACAACGCAGGAGTGGCTTCGGGACAAGTCTCTGAATATCCTTGAGTGGCCCAGCCAGAGCCTGGACTTGAACCCGATTGAACATCTCTGGAGAGACCTGAAAATAGCTATGCAGCGATGCTCCCCATCCAACCTAACCGAGCTTGACAGGATCTGCAGGGAAGAATGGGAGAAACTCCCCAAATACAGGTGTGCCTAGCTTGTAGTATCATACCCAAGAAGACTCGAGGCTGTAATCACTGCCAAAGGTGTTTCAACAAAGTACTGAGTAAAGGGTCTGAATGCTTATGTAAATGTGATATTTCCGTTTTTAATACATTTGCAAACATTTATATAAACCTGTTTCTGCTTTGTCATTATGGGGTATTGTATTTTGGTTGATGAGATTTGTATTTATTTAATTAATTTTAGAATACGGCTGTAACGTAACAAAATGTGGAAAAAGTCAAGGGGTCTGAAATACTTTCCGAATGCACTGTGTGGTTTTCAATATGAGGTGTACCAAATAAATGTCTCACTCATGGGATAATAAAGTAAACTTGCTATAAGAGGCTAATGTTAAGCTGTTTTTTCTGTCGTTCTAGGCGGTCGGTAATCGAGACGAGCCGGTCACTTAAGGAGCTGTTCCACGAGGCTAGAGAGAGGGCATCCAAAGCTCTGGGATTCGCCAAAATGCTCCGTAAGGTGAGAGAGACCGCAGTTTTTGTCTTCCCCCAGTATGCCTCCTGCTCATTTTGATTTGGGAAGTTTTGTAAGTTACTAAATGTCTGCTGGTTTCTTGGTCAGTGCTCACTTGAAAAAGAGATGTCAATGTGACTTCCCAGGTTAAATATAGGAAGTATCAAAATAAAGTAATTGGGTGTTCAGAGTGCTCTGACCTTCTCTCTGCCCTCTCTCTTGCCCGCCACTCTCTCTCTCTCCTCTGCAGGACCTGGAGATTGCTGCAGATTTCAGCATTACCAGCGGGGTGCCATGCCTCCTGGAGGCCCTCAAGGAGAGAAACTATGTCAAGGTGCCTCAAATTACAAATGTTCTTCCTTTTCACTCTCCGTGCTATTTTTGTTCTCTTTCCTCGCCGTGTATTCTACCCAAGGTCAATATACATTCAGGAACTAAAGTGAAATTCCAACTCCAATGTTCCTCATTATGTTGTCAATGAAATTGGAATTTCAGTTTACTTACTGGATTTCCCTTCCTCTTTTAAGGATGAACATGCTAACATGTCTGTGACTGTCTGCAGGTCCAGATCCCAGGGCTGGAGGAGCTGGAGGTGTTTGTCCCCTGTGCCTTGATGGACCAGCGTGACCACATCCTGCAACTTCTCAACGCTGCAGCCGGTAAGGATTGCAGTAAGGAGCCCGACGAGATGATGGCAGAGGACGAGGCCTACCTGCTGATGAGCAAGCATGGAGCAGGGGACTTGCCTGCAGAGGCAGGCCAGGCCGGGGCTCAGTGGCACTGGGATGGGGAGCTGGTCAAACTGGTGCCTCAGATGGAGACTGTGGACACGCTACGGGCCATGAAGGTGGGTGGGAAATGTATTTAATCTAAATGATACTCTTCCTTTGCGTATTTGTAGAGCTAGATATTGCAGTGAATGTGGAGTGTAGTCAGACCAGGACTCAAACCCTGGTCCCTCCAACTGTCATCTCAACAACACCTTAGCCAAGACGCTTACCACCAAGAGCCTCAGCCTCTTAGTAAGGTTGCTAGACGCTGTACTATATTTTTACCAGGAGCACACATGATGCTAATGACATGGCTCCTCTCCATCCTCTGACTGTCTCTCTCCCCTCAGGTGGAGAACCTGCTCCTGATAGTGATGCAGTCAGCCCACCTGGTGGCCCAGCGTAAGGCCTTCCAGCAGAGCATGGATGAGCTGCTCACACTAAGCAGGGAACAAACCTCCAGCCAGCCCCTCATCGCCCGTGCCCTGGAGCAACTCAAGGTACCATCCACTGTATTTATTCACTTTGATCATTTACTATAAATGCTTTTAGTTTCCCTGAATTACAATTTATTTACTGTAAAAGATCCAGTATTAAGCCCAAGTTTATTGAGCTGCTATCGGGCCAAGGTGAAGAGGGTGCAGTACACAAGATGACTTCAGGTTTTTAATGTCACGTGCACAAGTACAGTGAAATGCCTTTCTTGCAAACTCAAAACCCAACAATGCAGTAATCAATAACAATGTAGCACTAAAAATTATTCAAGGTAGAATTAAAACACCAGAGAAATAGAAATAACACCACAAGGAAGTAAGAAGCTATATACAGGGTCAGTACCGTATTTACTTTGCACAAATATCATGTTTATACTGCAGTGAGAGCTGTGAAACCTAAAGTCATGCCCATGACTGCTGTTGTCTCCTATACTTCCTCACATTGGAGGCCTGGTTTCAAAACCTGTTAGCTTCCTCTCTTCTCGATAAGGCTTTTCCTGTGTGGCAAGGCTGTGGTTGAAGCAGCCCTCATAAAAGGGCTGCCTTATAAAAGTACTGCTTCAAGAGACACACTCTCACACACTCACTATGTCTTTGTCTCATCCCACCCCCCCCCCCACAGAACGAAGCCTTACAGCTGTGTATAAAGATCAACACGGCCATTGACCGGGTCGAGTACATGTTCACGTCAGAGTTTGAGGCAGAGGTGGAGGAATCTGAGTCAGCCACGCTACAGCAGTACTACAGAGAGGCCATGATCCAGGGATACAACTTTGCCTTTGAGGTTAGAGGTCAAGGGTTAGGGATTGTAAAGCTGTCAGTCTTTCTACACAGTGTTGCTACTGATTTTAAATGTTCTGGCTTGGAGGGTTGTGTTAGTACAGTGGGAAGCTGAACACTGGGGATAACTGTCAACAGATCTCTGGTTGGACAATTGTCAACTTTCTTAGGAAGGCAGACACCGAAACACAATCCGTTCTATTGAACATGCCAAAAAATTGGTAATAGCAAGAGTGGCTTGGTCCTCCTTGTGTTTTTGGCTGACCAGTCTAACCCCTAAACCAGTCTAACCCATAAACCAGAGAGTACAACACTGTCATATTGTTCCTCACAGTAGCACCACAAGGTAGAGTGCCGTTGTTCTCCTTTTTTGATGTAGGGGTTATACTGGTCAAGTGAAGAGCACCTTTAAATGTACTTTTTGTTCTCCGTAGTACCACAAGGAGGTGGTGCGTCTGATGTCAGGGGAGTTCCGTCAGCGGATCGGGGAACGCTACATCGCCTTCGCCAGGAAGTGGATGAACTACGTCCTCACCAAGTGTGAAAGTGGCCGGGGTACCAGGCCCCGCTGGGCCACTCAAGGCTTTGATTTCCTCCAAGCCATCGAACCTGCCTTCATCTCTGCTTTACCAGAGGACGACTTCCTGGTAAAACCATACTACGTCATAGATTGATTGATTACTTGATTGATTGTGTATTTTGTGGAATGGTGTTGTGATTATGTAAATCCTTCCCTCTGCAGAATTTGCAAGCTCTGATGAACGAGTGCATTGGTCATGTGATCGGGAAGCCTCACAGCCCAGTCAGTGGCCTGTACATAGGTAAGACCCTGCCTCATCTGCGCAAATATGTGGTCCTATGTGGCTCAGTTGGTGACACTAGCAATGCCAAGGTTGTGGGTTCAATCTAAGCAGGGATCACAATGTGTGTACTCACTGTTCTGTAAGTCGCTTTAGATAAAAGCTTCTGTTAGGCCTAAGTGGCAAAAATGTTTTGTGTAGAAATAGAACTGAAGTAGGGCTTGAGTCAAATAGCTTGTTGAGGATGACCCTTTCTCTCTTCTCCACTCAGCCCCCAGGAACAGTCCTCGACCAGTGAAGGTCCCTCGTTGCCATAGTGACCCCCCCAACCCCCACCTGTTCATCCCCAACGCAGAGGGCTTCAGGTAGGTCGAAGTTCATGGTTACAGTGAGGCACTAAGAACCATTTACCGCCTATTATAATTGTTTTTATAACGTGTGTGTTTAATGTGTGTACAGTATGCGTGTTCTAATATTCCTCATGTTCTCTGCTCTTGTACAGTAATTAATGGGTTTTAAATTGGGTGGTTGAGCTTATATTCATGCTTTTATGCTGCTGTATGAGTTAACACAGTGTGTGTTTCTCTCTCATGTGTAACTTGTAACACCTTTGGCTAGTAGGGATGGGCATGAGTAATCGAGGACTCAAGTACTTGAACGGACGTCAAAACTTGATCTTTAACCAGAGATCTAATTTTTTCAAATACTGTAAAACTGTTTGGTGGAATGTGCTTTGTGGCTGCCCGAAAAGGAAACTGATTGAAGTAGGAAAATGTGTTCCATCAACAAGCTGCAGTTTTGGAATAATTGTGTCCCATCTATTTACCGCTTAGGCTACTTTGCGAACTGCTAGTGCCATTTAGAATTGGTTAGCCTAGGCTATAACCCCCCTAAACATACACAGGTTCCACACTGAAAAGACGCAAACGTTTTAGTTTAATAAAGACAGCGTATTTTCATCAGAATCATTAAGCCTAGGCCTACTCACCAAATAGATGTCGTGGACGTAATTCATCCCCATGCAGTGTTCAATGTAGAATTGTTTAGAAAATTCCAAAGAACCATGAAAAAATTTGATATAGTCGCCAAATTGAGCCCTGTTTCAAATGATCGCTCTTTGAGAATAACTGTTCCAGACATAAGATGCGAATCACTTCAGTGGCAACTTTCTTTCATTCAAAAAAATATTGTTTTTTATTACATGCTTTTTTAAACTATAAAATAGGTGTCTTGACTGTGATAAGGGCTCGGGAAATAAGAGCGTCTCGTCTGCTAAATTAACAACGTAAGGCTATGTGGAGGTTAATAACTTTTTGCAGATTGTGTTCCATTATATAATATAGCTAGTTGATATTAGTTTCACTAATTTCATCTTAAATGGCACTTGCTTCATTATTGACTGAATGAAATTAGTCACCCCTTGACTTTTTCCACATTTTGTTGTTACAGCCTGTATTTAAAATGATTTTGAACCACTAATCTACACACAATACCCCACAAAGTGAAATTTAGTTTTTAGACATTTTTAGAAATTTATAAATTTTAAGCTTAAATGTTTTGAGTCAATAAGTATTCAAACCCTTTATGGCAAGCCTAAATACATTCAGGAGTAAACATTTGCTTAACAAGTCACATAAGTTGCATGAACTCTGTATGCAATAATAGTGGTTAACCAGATTTTTGAATGTTTACCCCGACTATACAATTATATGTATAGTCCCACAGTCGAGTAGTGAATTTCAAGCACAGATTCAACCACAAAGAACAGGGAGGTTTTCCAATGCCTCGCAAAGAAGGGCACCTATTGGTAGATGGGTCAAAATGAAAGCAGTCTACTGAATATCCCTTTGAGCATGGTGAAGTTATTAATTACACTTTGGATGATGTATCAATACACCCAGTCACTATACAGGCGTCCTTCCTAACTCAGTTGCCGGAGAGGAAGGAAATGGCGATTTTAAAAACAATTACAGAGTTTAATGACTGTGATGAGAGAGAACTGAGGATGGATCAACATTGTAGTGTAGTTAGGGCGGCAGGTAGCTTAGTGGGTAAGAGCGTTGTTCCAGTAACCGAAAGGTCGCTGGTTCTAATCCCCAAGCCGACTAGGTGAGAAATCTGTCGATATGCCCTTAAGCAAGGCACTTAACCCTAATTGCTCATGTAAGTCGTTCTGGTAAAGAGCGTCTGCTAAATGACTCAAATGTAAATGTAGTTACTCCACAATAGTAACCTAAATGAGTGAAAATGATTTATTTTTTATTTTTAAGATCCTGTTTGCAATAAGGCACTAAAGTAATACTGCAAAAATTGTGGCAAAGAAATGAACTTTTTGTCCTGAATAGCGTTATGTTTGGGGAAAATCTAACGTCACTGAGTACCACTCTTCATATTTTCCAGCATGGTGGTGGCTGCATCATTACATTTACATTTACGTCATTTAGCAGACGCTCTTATCCAGAGCGACTTACAAATTGGTGCATTCACCTTATAGCCAGTGGGATAACCACTTTACAATATGTTTATTTTTTTGGGGGGGTGGGGTAAGGTGGGGTAGAAGGATTACTTTATCCTATCCCAGGTATTCCTTAAAGAGGTGGGGTTTCGTCGTCGTCTGCGTAGCAATGATAGGAGAGGCCATGTGAGGATATGACAGAGCCAAGTGACTTGGTGTATAGCGAGAATAGGAGAGGGCCTAGAACTGAGCCCTGGGGGACACCAGTGGTGAGAGCACGTGGTGCGGAGACAGATTCTACCCACGCCACTTGGTAGGAGCGACCGGTCAGGTAGGACGCAATCCAAGAGTGAGCCGCGCCGGAGATGCCCAACTCGGAGAGGGTGGAGAGGAGGATCTGATGGTTCACAGTATCAAAGGCAGCAGACAGGTCTAGAAGGACAAGAGCAGAGGAGAGCGAGTTAGCTTTAGCAGTGCGGAGAGCCTCCGTGTCACAGAGAAGAGCAGTCTCAGTTGAATGACCAGTCTTGAAACCTGACTGGTTTGGATCAAGAAGGTCATTCTGAGAGAGATAGCAAGAGAGTTGGCTAAAGACGGCACGCTCAAGAGTTTTGGAGAGAAAAGAAGGAAGGGATACTGGTCTGTAGTTGTTGACATCAGAGGGATCGAGTGTTGGTTTTTTGAGAAGGGGTGCAACTCTCGCTCTCTTGAAGACGGAAGGGACATAGCCAGCGGTCAAGGATGAGTTGATGAGCGAGGTGAGGTAAGGGAGAAGGTCACCGGAGATGGTCTGGAGAAGAGAGGAGGGGGTAGGGTCAAGCGGGCAGGTTGTTGGGCGGCGGCCGTCACAAGTCGCAAGATTTCATCTGGAGAGAGAGGGGAGAAAGAAGTCAAAGAATTGGGTAGGGCAGTGTGAGCAGGACCAGCAGTGTCATTTGACTTAACAAACGAGGATCGGATGTCGTCAACCTTCTTTTCAAAATGGTTGACGAAGTCATCCACAGAGAGGGAGGAGGGGGGGATGGGGAGGAGGATTCAGCAGGGAGGAGAAGGTGGCAAAGAGCTTCCTAGGGTTAGAGGCAGATGCTTGGAATTTAGAGTGGTAGAAAGTGGCTTTAGCAGCAGAAACAGATGAAGAAAATGTAGAGAGGAGGGAGTGAAAAGATGCCAGGTCCGCAGGGAGTCTAGTTTTCCTCCATTTCCGCTCGGCTGTCCGGAGCCCTGTTCTGTGAGCTCGCAATGAGTCGTCAAGCCACGGAGCAGGAGGGGAGGACCGAGCCGGCCGGGAGGATAGGGGACATAGCGAGTCAAAGGATGCAGAAAGGGAGGAGAGGAGGGTTGAGGAGGCAGAATCAGGAGATTGGAGGGAGAAGGATTGAGCAGAGGGAAGAGATGATAGGATGGAAGAGGAGAGAGTAGCGGGAGAGAGAGCGAAGGTTGCGACGGCGCATTACCATCTGAGTAGGGGCAGAGTGAGTAGTGTTGGAGGAGAGCGAGAGAGAAAAGGATACAAAGTAGTGGTCGGAGACATGGAGTTGAGTTGCAGTGAGATTAGTAGAATAACAGCATCTAGTAAAGATGAGGTCAAGCGTATTGCCTGTCTTGTGAGTAGGGGGAGAGGGTGAGGTCAAAAGAGGAGAGGAGCGGAAAGAAGGAGGCAGAGAGAAATGAGTCAAAGGTAGACGTAGGGAGGTTGAAGTCACCCAGAACTGTGAGGGGTGAGCCATCCTCAGGAAAGGAACTTATCAAGGCGTCAAGCTCATTGATGAACTCTCCAAGGGAACCTGGAGGGCGATAAATGACAAGGATGTTAAGCTTGAATGGGCTAGTGACTGTGACAGCATGGAATTCAAATGAGGAGATAGACAGATGGGTCAGGGGAAAAAGAGAGAATGTCCACTTGGGAGAGATGAGGATTCCTGTGCCACCACCCTGCTGACCAGATGTTCTCGGGGTATGCGAGAACACATGGTCAGACGAGGAGAGAGCAGTAGGAGTAGCAGTGTTCTCAGTGGTAATCCATGTTTACGTCAGCGCCAAGAAGTCGAGGGACTGGAGGGTAGCATAGGCTGAGATGAACTCTGCCTTGTTGGCCGCAGAATGGCAGTTCCAGAGGCTGCCGGAGACCTGGAACTCCACGTGGGTGGTGCGTGCAGAGACCACCAGGTTAGAGAGGCAGCAGCCACGCGGTGTGAGGTGTTTGTATAGCCTGTGCGGAGAGGAGAGAACAGGGATAGACAGGCATAGTTGACAGGCTACAGAAAATGGCTACAATAATGGAAAGGAGATCAGAATGAAATGAACTAAACATCTGGGAAAGCGAGAGAGCGGGGCCTCCCTCACTTACGTTTCACTGAAACACCCAAATATAACTCCCAACTTCCACCTCAGAAACTATAATTGTTGTAAACTACAGCGGTTCAATGTTTTCTAGGAATAGACTAACTTAGTTTATTCAGCTAGCTAACTTGGTACAGTATTCTTCCGTGAAAACCGTCCAGGGCACCTAGTCATATGACGCCACAGCCAACTAGCATGCCGGACTCCAACAACACGGTTTAGCACCAATACTCGGCCACAACAAACCACCAGTGTGTCAACACGCCAAGCAGATCATTCGTGTCCGTGTCTAACGTTGTGGGTTAGTCCTGACAGCTTGAGCGAGTCCGTCGTCAACTTATTCAGCCAGTTAGTTAGCTAGAATAGTTAGCATACTAGCTAGCCGTTGCTTTCTGCCAACGAAGAAACCCCTCCTCCCACGGCACGAACACACAGAGAGAGCCAAGCTAACGTTAACTAGTCACCCATGTCCCAAATTCCCTTGAACGACTCTGGCTACCAGTATGTAAAAACAAAACACAAATGTAGGTTATAACTTACCCCTAGCAGCTACTGTTAGCTAGCCAAGTGCAAAGCTAGCCACTGAATTGACTCAGCCAGTTCGCGTCTGTTCGCTAGGTCGTTCCAGCTATTGTTTAGTAGCTATCCAGGTAGCAACAAGCTAGCTACATTTCGAGCGCAGTAGCCACTTACTACCTAACGTTAATGCTTCAGACAATGAGGTTAGAAAAACAGCTGAATGGTAGGCATTATTGTATGTAATTATTGTTATGGATATGTTATGGATATCATCATGTTATGGATATGCTCCTCATCGGCAAGGACTAGGGAGTTTTTTGGGGTGACAAAAATAAATGTAATAGAGCTACAGTACCAGTCAAAAGTTTGGACACGTATTCCAGGTGAAGCTGGTTGAGAGAATGCCAAGAGTGTGCGCAAAGCTGTCATCAAGGCAAAGGATGGCTACTTTGAAGAATCTAAAATATATTTTGATTTGTTTAACACTTTCTTTGGTTACTACATGATTCCATGTGTTATTTCATAGTTTGATGTCTTCACTTTTTCTACAATGTATAAAATAGTAAAAATAAAGGAAAACCCTTGAATGAGTAGGTGTGTCCAAACTTTTGACTGGTACTGTAAGCACAAACAAAATCCTAGAGGAAAACCTGTTTGTCTGCTTTCCAACACACTGGAGACATTCACCTTTCAGCAGGACAATAACCTAAAACTCAAGGCCAAATATACACTGGAGTTGCTTACCAAGACAACATTGAATGTTCCCGAGTGGCCTATTTACAGTTTTGACTTAAATCGGCTTGAACATCTATAGCAAGATTTGAAAATGGCTGTCTATCAGTGGTAAACAATCAACTTGACAGCTTGAAGAGTTTAAAAAAGAATAATGGGCACATATTTTACAGTCCAAGGGTGCAAAGCTCTTAGAGACTTACCCAAAAAGACTCATAGCTGTAATCGCTGCAAACATGTATTCACTCAGGGGGTTGAATACTTATCTAATCAAGATATATTTATGTTTTATTTAAATTAAAATTTTTTCACTTTGACATTACGGAGTATTTTGTGTAGATTGTAAAGAAGACAATGAAATCAATATTTAGCCCAATTTGTAACAACAATGTGGAAAATGTCAAGGGGTGTGAATACTTTCTGAAAGCACTGTATATGGTGCAATTTAGCAATTAGGATTTGTTATCTGTAATGGTTATGCTAAATTAGGCATTGTCGCGCACTAGTGGCATAGGCAACACATTTCTTTCCAGTGCGGGCCTTGTGTTCTAAAAATAGATTGTATTTATTTATTTGAGTACTTGAAAAAAAAAAATCCTGCGATTTATTCGAACAGTAAAAAAAAAGAAAGTGAAATGCTCATCCCTATTCGCTAGAAAGGGTATTACGCTGTATGAGTGCGTGACTGTGTGTGCATTTGTGTTGAGAATGAGTGCACACACACATCCTCAACTCCAAAGCGGTCTCCAGAGATCCTCAGTGTGTTTTTGTCACCACCACAGCTCTAGGAGTCTCCCCTGCGAGCTACGGACCCAGCTGTGTCTACCTACCGGCCCCCGCCCAGTCCCCGCCCCTCAGGCCCCAGGCCCCGCCCCTGGGGAACACGGCCCAACCAAAGCACCCGGGTCCACCCCCAATGACGTCAGGTAGCCTCCCCCCCCCCCAAAGTTCAAAGTACTACTAGGGTTGCGAAAGTGCCCAGGTCTTTCCAGAAATCCTGTTTGGAGGATCCCGGAATCATGAGGGAATAAGCAGGCAGGGAATCCTCCAACCGGTTCTCTGTAAAGACCACCCACTGTCAACCCAGAGCACCCCAGCAACAGGCTGATATCGCACTTACAAAATATTCCACCCCTCTCATCTGAACTTGTCAACCAGAGGTTCAGGTTGACATGCTCCCTGTGGTTTACCCTGCACCCCTGTCATGCCGTCTGTCAGTTTGTAACGAACCTAGAGTAGCATGTTCTGCATGCTCATCCAGATGTATTGGCTTTGACAATTTTATGTTTTGCCTATAACAGAAATCTGCATTGATTTTAAAAGACTGCTATATAACACAATATGAAAACTACAGTTTTATAAGGGCCATCCTTTAAAGGGATAGTTCACTCAAATGTGTTACCTAACCCTGAATGCAGTCTACGGATATGGAGAGACTTTAATCCACACTTGTTTTGTCCACCTAGCCAATGTCACACAACACAATACACATTTTCTCCAACACATGTCATGGTGTGAGAGATGGAAACACAACATGCTAGCTACCTCCTCATGGAGGGAGAAAAGAGAGAGATTGCGAGAGCATGTTAGCGTTTTTCGTCATGAATCTTGTTCTGGAGGCAGCTCTGCAGAGTGGTCACTAGCTGGCACAGCCACAAAGTCATAAAATCTGATTTTAAACCTAACCTTAACCCTACTCTTAACCATACTGCTAACCTGAATGCCTAACCCTAACCTTAAATTAAGACACAGCTAATTTTTGTTTTCATGAATTTTTACAATGTAGCCCATTTTGACTTTGCAGCTGGCCTAAGGGGAAATCGCTCAGTTCTGCCTCTAGGATGAGACTCATGACAATAAACATCAACCTGCAGTGTGAGAGTTACTCTGCTATTAATCCATATTAGTAGTGTGGCCTTTCTTTGATTCTAATCATCTGATGGCTCTCTCTTCTTAATATTTGGCTTGTTTGTTTTCTGTCCTTTTGGAATGAAAGCATGCGTTCAATCTGACATCTAACCTGTCTGTGTTTGACCTTTTAAACCTTTAGTATGAATGTCAGCTTTGATGGGGGTGGACATAGAAATATAATCTAGAGTTGTTCTATTTCTATGGGGGGTTGTGGTTGAGAGGTTTGGATGTAGAGCACAGGAGGTTGGTGGCACCTTAATTGGAGAACTTCCTCGTGGTAATGACTGGAGTGGAATCTGTGGAATGGTATCAAATAAATCAAACACATGGTTTCCAGGTGTTTGCCATTCCATTTGCTCCATTACGGACATTATTATTAGCTGTATGTCATGTTCCGCCATCTCAATAATCACAAACCTCCCGCTGAAAGCGAGAGAGGACAATCTTCATTAAGAATACCTTTTTGGGACTGATATTGGTTGACCACTGGTTCCAGATCTGGTTGCGCTGTCTCGCCACTGTCATGGCATCACAATAACCATAGGAGGTGGCACTAACAGATCTGGAACCAGCCTAGTCTGGGACCTGAGGGGTATACTACGAAGTAGGATCAAGGAGTTAGGGGGATAACTTGCCTAAACTTTTACTGTTTTAGTATGATAAGCTTGAAATGGGCATGGTCTAATTGGTTCAGCAAACAAAAACTCATTTAAGCTTTGCTTTTTTTTTATGAACCAGAAAATCAATAGTTAATTCTGGTTGCTTATCAAAGTTAGCTGGCTAACTGATGACTGACAACGTGGGTATATTTACATTTAACATTTTAGTCATTTAGCAGACGCTCTTATCCAGAGCGACTTACAGTTAGTGAGTGCATACATCTTCATACTGGTCCCCCGTGGGAATCGAACCCACAACCCTAGCTAAATTGTACTGTGCCTGCCTCTCCCTGTGCAGAGGGGCCAACCTCCACGAGAACGACAGGCTGTCGTCTGTAGCAGCCGAGCTGCAGTTCAAGTCTCTGAGCCGACACTCCAGTCCCACTGAGGAGAGGGAAGGTATTGAGTTGTTTAAGATGGTCTTAATGTAACTGCATTCTGCATAATTGATGTAGTTCTGTCCTTGAGCTGTTCTTGTCTATTAATATTCTGTATTATGTCATGTTTAATGTTTTGTGTCGACCCCAGGAAGAGTAGCGGCTGCTTTCGCAACAGCTAATGGGGATCCTAATAAAATACCAAATACCATAATTCAGTCTTTTCGACTGAACAAGGATTAAATAAAATGGATCTCGATTGGAAAGTAGGAGTAGGCAATTCACCTGTGTGTGTTTTTCTAACTTGACATAGCTCCCATCTTACTGCCTGTCTGTGTTATCTCTTCTCTCTCGCGCTCTCACTCACACACATCAGAACCCTCCTATCCTAAGGGAGGAGACCCCAGTAGCACAGCCAGGAGAAGCTGGGAGCTCCGCACCTTCATCAGCCAATCAAAAGGTGAGAATGATGAGGGGGGTAGATGGGGGCTGCAAGTTCAAACCCCAGGTCTGTCAGCATGAGTGCTAGCGATGGTAGAGTTGCTGATACCAAGTCCTAGGTGCCATCTCTTACCGTTGTGCCCTTGAGCAAGGCACTTAACCTCCAAACTGCTACAGAATAGTGTAGAGTTGGTCTGTTCTATGCATTCCCATTCCCAACATTTACTATGTCTCTCCATTCCATTCCGAACACTGTCTTCTATATCCCTCCCTCCCTCAGACACGGCAGCCAGGCAGAGCCCCATGGAAGCTGTACGTCGCTCCATACGGTCCTTCGAGGACAAACGCTACGCGGTCATGAAGCAGAGGAACATCATTGGCCAGGTGTGCCACACCCCCAAGTCCTACGACAACATCATGCACGTCGGCCTCCGCAAGGTCACCTTCAAGTGGCAGAGGGGCAACAAGATAGGTATGTACTGTACACACGCCATTGGCGCCCTGCTCCCTTTATAGTGCACTACTTTTGTACTGTACGCACCTCCATTGGCGCCCTGCTCCCTTTATAGTGCACTACTTTTGTACTGTACGCACCTCCATTGGCGCCCTGCTCCCTTTTTAGTGCACTACTTTTGTACTGTACGCACCTCCATTGGCGCCCTGCTCCCTTTATAGTGCACTACTTTTGTACTGTACGCACCTCCATTGGCGCCCTGCTCCCTTTTTAGTGCACTACTTTTGGCCAGAGCCTCAACTGAACCTGTGTCTCCCCCAAATGAAACCCTATCCTCTATATGCCCTATGAGGCCCTGGCCAACAGTTGTGCGCAATAAAGAGAATATGTTGCCATTTCAGATTTTCCCTGGAGTAGGCCCTCATTTATGTCATGCCCATGGCGTTTCATCATCTGTGACGTGTCTCCCTATACAGGCGAGGGTCAGTATGGCAAGGTGTACACCTGCATCAACGTGGACACTGGCGAACTCATGGCTATGAAGGAGGTAGGTGGCCATGACCATTTATAGTGTTATAAATGTTGGTGCAAGAATATAGCACGTGAGCAGCATATAACGTGTGTGCGCGCTTCCCTTTATTCATTATTAAAGGAGAAAGCCCTGAATTGAAGGTAATGTTTATTTTACTCCGCCGCCTATTAGCATCCATTCATACTATAGCAAAGCCTATCAACAGTCTCCATACACTTTCCCGTACTTAAAAAAAAAAAAATTATTTTCCCGATCAGATCCGGTTCCAGCCGAACGACCATAAGACGATAAAGGAGACAGCAGATGAGTTGAAGATCTTTGAGGGCATCAAACACCCCAACCTGGTCCGCTACTTTGGTGTTGAGCTGCATCGGGTAAGAGCATGCGTATATGGGTTACAAAGTTCTAGAAACTTCCCCTGGCTTTTCAGAAATTCTAGTTGGAGGTTCCCAGAATTAAGAGGGAATCCTCCAACCGGAATTTCTGAAAAGCCTGGGAACTTTGGGAAGGTTTAGAAGTTTGGGTCAATTTCAATTCAAGTCTGTGTATGAATGAGATGAAACTATGTATGAATGGGCTATATCATCGGATTGGATGTATTGCATCAACTGTCTACATGCTACATAAATAGTATTTGTCTGATTGTGTCGCTCCCCCTCCCTCCCTCCCCCCACCAGGAGGAGATGTATATCTTCATGGAGTACTGTGATGAGGGGACCCTGGAGGAGGTGTCCAGGCTGGGCCTACAGGAGCACGTCATCAGGCTGTACAGCAAACAGATCACCACGGCCATCAACGTGCTCCACGAACATGGCATCGTGCACCGAGACATCAAGGGTCAGTTAGCACCTCGTTCTGGGAGAGACGTCTCTCTTTCTCTTTAGCCTACTGTTGGTCTAGTCAAATCTAATTTTTTACGTCACATGCTTCGCAAAACAACAGGTGTAGACTAACAGTGAAGTGCTTACTTACGGTACCTCCCCAACAATGCAGAGATGAAGAAAATAGAGAAATAATAGTAGCAGTAATAAACAGTAGCAGCAGCGTATGTGATGAGTCAAAGTTAGTGCAGAAAGGGTCAAGGCAGAAGATCTGGGTACCTATTTGGTTAACTATTTAACTAACTGTTTAGCAGTCTTATGGCTTGGGGGTAGAAGCTGTTCATGGTCCTGATGGTTCCAGACTTGGCGCTCCGGTACCGCTTGCTGTGCGGTAGCAGAGAGAACAGTCTATGACTTGGGTGGCTGGAGTCTGAAAATGTGTAGGGTCTTTCTCTGACACTGCCTAGTATAGAGGTCCTGGATGGCAGGGAGCTCTGCCCCAGTGATGTACTGGGCCATATGCACTACCCTCAGTAGTGCCTTGCAGTCAGATGCCAAGCAGTTGCCATACCAAGCGATGATCCAGCTTTTTGGGCCCATGTCAAATCTTCTCAGCCTCCTGAGGGGGATGAGGCGTTATCGTACCCTCTTCACAACTGTGTTGGTGTGTTTGGACCATGATAGACCCTTAAGGATGTGCACACCAAGGAACTTGAAGCTCTCGACCCGCTCCACTACAGCCCGTCGATGTGGATGGTGGCGTGCTCGGCCCTCCGTTTCCTGTAGTCCACAATCCGCTCATTTGTCTTGCTGATGTTGAGGGAGAGGATTTGTCCTGGCACCACACTGCCAGGTCACTGACGACCTCACTATAGACTGTCTCATCATCATCGGTGATCAGGCCAACCACCGCCATGTCGTCGACTAAGTTAATGATGGTGTTGGAGTCGTGCGCGGCCACGCAGTCGTGGGTGAACCGGGAGTACAGGAGGGGACTAGGCATGCACCCCAGAGGGGGGCCCCGTGTTGCGGGTCAGCGTGGCGGATGTGTTGTTGCCTACCCTCACTACCTGGGGGCGTCCCGTCAGGAAGTCCAGGATCCAGTTGCAGAGGGATGTGTTCAGTTCCAGGGTCCTTAGCTTAGTAATGAGCTTGGAGGGCACTATGGTGTTGACGCCGAGCTGTAGTCAATGAACAGCATTCGCATGTAGGTGTTCCTTTTGTCCAAGTGGGAAAAGGAAGTGTGGAGTGCAATAGAGATTGCGTCATCTTTGGATCTGTTGGGGCGGTATGCGAATTGGAGTGGGTCCAGGGTGTCTGGGATGATGGTGTTGATGTGAGCCATGACCACCCTTTCAAAGCATTCCATGGCTACAGATGTGAACGCTACGGTCTCTCAATTCAATGTCAGGGTTATGCAGGCACCTTATTAATCATTTAATGCGTTTTAGCTTTAGTGAATTTGGCTGGGGGTTTATGCCGTAAAGAAAAGCTATCATCATTCTGAGATTTTGTCATCAAACCTTCCTGTGGCTCCAGTGTCATTGACGCAGCAGAAGTAATTGTTCTTACTGCCTCTATGAATCCACTCTCCCTCTCCATGCTTCTCTCACTCCTCCTGCCCTTGTTATCCTAATCTCAATGTGATTCTCTGGTTAAATCAATAAAAATCACTCTTGGCCTCTTTGTCACCGTTCCCCCTCTCTACCATAGGAGCCAACATCTTCCTGACGTCGTCCGGCCTGATCAAGCTGGGGGACTTTGGCTGCTCTGTGAAGCTGAACAATGCCCAGACCATGCCCGGAGAGGTTAACAGCACCATGGGAACGGCAGGTGAGGGAGCCACATAAATCCAATAGTACTTCAGTTTTAAATGTCCATCTTCCAAAAACGTCTGACAACCTACATCTTCAAAAAAGTATCTTTAAGCAGTAAGTCCCAAGGGGGTATGGTATATAGCCAATATACCACGGCTAAGGGCTGTTCTTATGCACAACGCAACATGCTTTATTGCTATTATAAACTGGTTACCAATGCAGTTAGAGCAGTAAAAATAAATGTTTTGTCATACCCGTGGTATACACGGCTGTCAGCCAATCAACATTCAGTGCTCAAACCACCCAGTTTAACACCCTTGCCTTCCTTGCACTAACACCTGCACTTTGCTGACAGCAGCTTTATTGAGGAAAAGGTTTGACTTACTATGACTGTGATAAATGATATGGTCCGTGCTATCCTGGGTCCTTGGGACCTCCCTACCCCATTTTTGAAGTTGTCATTTAAAATGTTTAGTAATAGCGTAAAGATGGTGGTTAGTGTTTAGGGGGGTAGGAACGTCCCGAGGATCCCGGATATCACTGACCGTGATAATGTGCTTGTTCTCACCTAGATACCTTAAAGATTAACTAACTGTAAGTCGCTCTGGATAAGAGCGTCTGCTAAATCGGGTTCTCAAGGCCAGATCTCCAAATATATTTATACACACTACTAGTTAAAAGTTTGGACACACCTACTCATTTAAGGGTTTTTCTTTATTTTTACTATTTTCTACATTGTAGAATAATAGTGAAGACATCAAAAACTATGAAATAACACATGGAACCATGTAGTAAACAAAAAATTGTAAAACAAATTAAAATATATTTTATATTTGAGATTCTTCAAATAGCCACCCTTTGCCTTGATGACAGCTTTGCACACTCTTGGCATTCTCTTAACCAGCTTCACCTGGAATGTTTTTCCAACAGTCTTGAAGGAGTGGAGTTCCCACAAATGCTGAGTACTTGTTGGCTGATTTTCCTTCACTCTGTGGTCCGACTCATCCCAAACCATCTCAATTGGGTTGAGGTCGGGGGATTGTGGAGGCCAGGTCATCTGATGCAGCACTCCATCACTCTCCTTCTTGGTAAAATAGCCCTTACACAGCCTAAAGTTGTGTTGGGTCATTGTCCTGTTGAAAAACAAATGATAGTCCCACTAAGCCCAAACCAGATGGGATGGCGTATCGCTGTAGAATGCTGTGGTAGCCATGCTGGTTAAGTGTGCCTTGAATTCTAAATAAATCACAGACAGTGTCACCAGCAAAGCACCCCCACACCATAACACCACCACCTCCATGCTTTACGGTGGGAAATACACATGCGGAGATCATCCGTTCACCCACACCGCATCTCACAAAGACATGTCTTAAAGTAACGATGGACTGTTGTTTCTCTTTGCTTATTTGAGCTGTTCTTGCCATAATATGGACTTGGTCTTTTACCAAATAGGGCTATCTTCTGTATACCCCCCTACCTTGTCACAACACAACTGATTGGCTCAAACGCATTAAGAAGGAAAGAAATTCCACAAATTAACTTTTAAGGCACACCTGTTAATTGAAATGCATTCCAGGTGACTACCTCATGAAGCTGGTTGAGAGAATGCCAAGAGTGTGCAAAGCTGTCATCAAGGCAGCTATATGATTCCATATGTTTTATTTCATAGTTTTGATGTCTTCACTATTATTCTACAATGTAGAAAATAGCACAAATAAAGAAAAACCCTTACATTTATACATTTTAGTCATTTAGCAGACGCTCTTATCCAGAGCGACTTACAGGAGCAATTAGGGTTAAGTGCCTTGCTCAAGGGCACATCGACAGAATTTTCACCTAATCGGCTTGGGGATTAGAACCAGCGACCTTTCGGTTACTGGCACAATGCTCTTAACCACTAAGCTACCTTGACTGAGTAGGTGTCCAAACTTTTGACTGGTACTGTATGTGTATATATATATGTGTGTATATGTATATACAGTGGGGAGAACAAGTATTTGATACACTGCCGATTTTGCAGGTCTTCCTACTTAAAAAGCATGTAGAGGTCTGTAATTTTTATCATAGGTACACTTCAACTGTGAGAGACGGAATTTTTTTTTGCCAGAAAATCACATTGTATGATTTTTAAGTAATTAATTTGCATTTTATTGCATGACATAAGTATTTGATCAAATCAAATCAAATCAAATTTTATTGGTCACATGCGCCGAATACAACAGGTGCAGACATTACAGTGAAATGCTTACTTACAGCCCTTAACCAACAGTGCATTTATTTTAAACAGAAAAAGTAAGAATAAAACAACAAAAAAGTGTTGAGAAAAAAAGAGCAGAAGTAAAAATAAAGTGACAGTAGGGAGGCTATATATAAAATAGAATAAAGTGACAGTAGGGAGGCTATATATACAGGGGGGTACCGTTGCATAGTCAATGTGCGGGGGCACCGGCTAGTTGAGGTAGTTGAGGTAATATGTACATGTGGGTAGAGTTAAAGTGACTATGCATAAATACTTAACAGAGTAGCAGCAGCGTAAAAAGTATGGGGTGGGGGGGCAGTGCAAATAGTCCGGGTAGCCATGATTAGCTGTTCAGGAGTCTTATGGCTTGGGGGTAGAAGCTGTTGAGAAGTCTTTTGGACCTAGACTTGGCACTCCGGTACCGCTTGCCGTGCGGTAGCAGAGAGAACAGTCTATGACTAGGGTGACTGGAGTCTTTGACAATTTTGAGGGCCTTCCTCTGACACCGCCTGGTATAGAGGTCCTGGATGGCAGGGAGCTTTGCCCCTGTGATGTACTGGGCCGTACGCACTACCCTCTGTAGTGCCTTGCGGTCAGAGGCCAAGCAGTTGCCATACCAGGCGGTGATGCAACCAGTCAGGATGCTCTCGATGGTGCAGCTGTAGAATTTTTTGAGGATCTGAGGACCCATGCCAAATCTTTTTAGTCTCCTGAGGGGGAATAGGCTTTGTCGTGCCCTCTTCACGACTGTCTTGGTGTGTTTGGACCATGATAGTTCGTTGGTGATGTGGACACCAAGGAACTTGAAGCTCTCAACCTGTTCCACTACAGCCCCGTCGATGAGAATGGGGGCGTGCTCAGTCCTCTTTTTTTTCCTGTAGTCCACAATCATCTCCTTTGTCTTGGTCACGTTGAGGGAGAGGTTGTTGTCCTGGCACCACACGGCCAGATCTCTGACCTCCTCCCTATAGGCTGTCTCATCGTTGTCGGTGATCAGGCCTACCACTGTTGTGTCGTCGGCAAACTTAATGATGGTGTTGGAGTCGTGCCTGGCCATGCAGTCATGGGTGAACAGAGAGTACAGGAGGGGACTGAGCACGCACCCCTGAGGGGCCCCCGTGTTGAGGATCAGTGTGGCAGATGTGTTGTTACCTACCCTTACCACCTGGGGGCGGCCCGTCAGGAAGTCCAGGATCCAGTTGCAGAGGGAGGTGTTTAGTCCCAGGATCCTTAGCTTAGTGATGAGCTTTGAGGGCACTATGGTGTTGAATGCTGAGCTGTAGTCAATGAATAGCATTCTCACGTAGGTGTTCCTCTTGTCCAGGTGGGAAAGGGCAGTGTGGAGTGCGATAGAGATTGCATCATCTGTGGATCTGTTGGGGCGGTATGCAAATTGGAGTGGGTCTAGGGTTTCTGGGATTATGCTGTTGATGTGAGCCATGACCAGTCTTTCAAAGCACTTCATGGCTACAGACGTCAGTGCCACGGGTCGGTAGTCATTTAGGCAGGTTATCTTAGAGTTCTTGGGCACGGGGACTATGGTGGTCTGCTTGAAACATGTTGGTATTACAGACTCAGTCAGGGACATGTTGAAAATGTCAGTGAAGACACTTGCCAGTTGGTCAGCACATGCTCGGAGTACACGTCCTGGTAATCCGTCTGGCCCTGCGGCCTTGTGAATGCTGACCTGCTTAAAAGTCTTACTCACATCGGCTACGGAGAGCGTGATCACATAGTCGTCCGGAACAGCTGGTGCTCTCATGCATGCTTCAGTGTTGCTTGCCTCGAAGCGAGCATAGAAGTGGTTTAGCTCGTCTGGTAGGCTTGTGTCACTGGGCAGCTCGCGGCTGTGCTTCCCTTTGTAGTCTGTAATAGTTTTCAAGCCCTGCCACATCCGACGAGCGTCAGAGCCAGTGTAGTATGATTCAATCTTAGACCTGTATTGACTCTTTGCCTGTTTGATGGTTCGTCGGAGGTCATAGCGGGATTTCTTATAAGCGTCCGGGTTAGAGTCCCGTTCCTTGAAAGCGGCAGCTCTACCCTTTAGCTCAGTGCGGATGTTTCCTGTAATCCATGGCTTCTGGTTGGGGTATGTACGTACGGTCACTGTGGGGACGACATCATCGATGCACTTATTGATGAAGCCAGTGACTGATGTGGTGTACTCCTCAATGCTGTCTGAAGAATCCCGGAACATGTTCCAGTCTGTGCTAGCAAAACAGTCCTGTAGCTTAGCATCTGCGTCATCTGACCACTTTTTTATTAGCCGAATCACTGGTGCTTCCTGCTTCAGTTTTTGCTTATAAGCAGGAATCAGGAGGATAGAGTTATGGTCAGATTTGCCAAATGGAGGGCGAGGGAGAGCTTTGTATGCGTCTCTGTGTGTGGAGTAAAGGTGGTCTAGAGTTTTTTTCCCCTCTGGTTGCACATTTAACATGCTGGTAGAAATTAGGTAGAACGGATTTAAGTTTCCCTGCATTAAAGTCCCCTGCTACTAGGAGCGCTGCATCTGGATGAGCGTTTTCCTGTTGATTAATGGCCTTGTACAACTCATTCAGTGCAATCTTAATGCCAGCATTGGTTTGTGGTGGTAAATAGACAGCTATGAAAAATATAGAAACTCTCTTGGTAAATAGTGTGGTCTGCAGCTTATCATAAGATACTCTACCTCAGGCGAGCAAAACCTTGAGACTTCCTTAGTATTTGATTTGGTGCACCAGCTGTTGTTTACAAATATACAGAGACCGCCACCCCTCGTCTTACCCGAGTCTGCCGTTCTGTCCTGCCGATGTAGCGTATAGCCTGCTAGCTGAATGTTATCATTGTCGTCGTTCAGCCACGACTCCGTGAAACATAAGATATTACAGTTTTTAATGTCCCGTTGGTAGGATAACCGTAATCTTAAATCGTCCATTTTATTCTCCAAAGCTTGAACGTTGGCTAATAGGATTGATGGGAGAGGCAGTTTACTCGTTCGCCGTCGGATCCTTACAAGGCACCCCGACCTACGTCCACGATATCTCCGTCTCTTCCTCACGCGAATGACGGGGATCTGGGCCTTGTCGGGAGTCACCTACCAACCAGTAAGAATTCTGGCTTTCACAGACCTGTTAGTTTTTCTTTAAGAAGCCCTCCTGTTCTCCACTCATTACCTGTATTAACTGCACCTGTTTGAACTCGTTACCTGTATAAAAGACACCTGTCCACACACTCAATCAAACAGACTCCAACCTCTTCACAATGGCCAAGACCAGAGAGCTGTGTAAGGACATCAGGGATAAAATTGTAGACCTGCACAAGGCTGGGAAGGGCTACAGGACAATAGGCAAGCAGCTTGGTGAGAAGGCAACAACTGTTGGCGCAATTATTAGAAAATGGAAGAAGTTCAAGATGACGGTCAATCACCCTCAGTCTGGGGCTCCATGCAAGATCTCACCTCGTGGGGCATCAATGATCATGAGGAAGGTGAGGGATCAGCCCAGAACTACACGGCAGGACCTGGTCAATGACCTGAAGAGAGCTGGGACCACAGTCTCAAAGAAAACCATTAGTAACACACTACGCCGTTATGGATTAAGATCCTGCAGCGCACACAAGGTCCCCCTGCTCAAGCCAGCGCATGTCCAGGCCCGTCTGAAGTTTGCCAATGACCATCTGGATGATCCAGAGGAGGAATGGGAGAAGGTCATGTGGTCTGATGAGACAAAAATATAGCTTTTTGGTCTAAACTCCACTCGCCGTGTTTGGAGGAAGAAGAAGGATGAGTACAACCCCAAGAACACCATCCCAACCGTGAAGCATGGAGGTGGAAACATCATTCTTTGGGGATGCTTTTCTGCAAAGGGGACAGGACGACTGCACCGTATTGAGGGGAGGATGGATGGGGCCATGTATCGCGAGATCTTGGCCAACAACCTCCTTCCCTCAGTAAGAGCATTGAAGATGGGTCGTGGCTGGGTCTTCCAGCATGACAACGACCCGGAACACACAGCCAGGGCAACTAAGGAGTGGCTCCGTGAGAAGCATCTCAAGGTCCTGGAGTGGCCTAGCCAGTCTCCAGACCTGAACCCAATAGAACATCTTTGGAGGGAGCTGAAAGTCCGTATTGCCAAGCGACAGCCCCGAAACCTGAAGGATCTGGAGAAGGTCTGTATGGATGAGTGGGCCAAAATCCCTGCTGCAGTGTGTGCAAACCTGGTCAAGACCTACAGGAAACGTATGATCTCTGTAATTGCAAACAAAGGTTTCTGTACCAAATATTAAGTTCTGCTTTTCTGATGTATCAAATACTTATGTCATGCAATAAAATGCAAATTAATTACTTAAAAATCATACAATGTGATTTTCTGGATTTTTGTTTTAGATTCCGTCTCTCACAGTTGAAGTGTACCTATGATAAAAATTACAGACCTCTACATGCTTTGAAAATAGGAAAACCTGCAAAATCGGCAGTGTATCAAATATTTGTTCTCCCCACTGTGTGTGTGTGTGTGTATATATATATATATATATATATATATATATATATATATATATATATATATATATATATATATATATATATTACATTTAAGTCATTTAGCAGACACTCTTATCCAGAGCGACTTACAAATTGGTGCATTCAACTTAGGATAGCCAGTGGGACAACCACATCTTGATCACAGTAAGTACACTTCAAACAAGTCAGTGCTAGCAGGTGAAATAAGTCAGGTGTTAGTTTAGACAAAAGACAGTGGTAGTAAAGGGGGGGTAGAAGGATTACTATTATACTATTCCAGGTATTCCTTAAAGCGGTAGGGTTTCAAGTGTCTCCGGAAGGTGGTCAGTGACTCCGCTAGCGTTGTGGGGGAGCTTGTTCCACCATTGGGGTGCCAGAGCAGCGAATAGCTTTGACTGGGCTGAGCGGGAACTGTGCTTCCGTAGAGGTAGTGGGGCTAGCAGGCCAGAGGTGGATGAACGTAGTGCCCTTGTTTGGGTGTAGGGTCTGATCAGAGCCTGAAGGTAAGGAGGTGCCGTTTCCCTCACAGCTCCGTAGGCAAGCACCATGGTTTTGTAGTAGATGTGAGCTTCAACTGGAAGCCAGTGGAGTGTGCGGAGGAGCGGGGTGACGTGATAGAACTTGGGAAGGTTGAACACCAGACGGGCTGCAGCGTTATGTGTGTATATCTGGATATATTTTTTTAATTATTATTTATTATTTTTTTTACCTTGGACTGGGAGTCTCACAGGGATGTTGGTATCCACAGCACTCATCAATTTTTCAACTCAATACTTCTTGTTCCCCCAAATTGACAAATGCACTGTACTTTAATCTTTAAAACTGCAAAGTTTGATCTCTGCCTCATGGATTTTTTTTTGTAGAATTGCAGGATACTAGCTTTAAAGCTGCAACAACAAAACATCTCTGCCCGTGACAGAATATGTGGAATTACAGGAAATTAGCCCGAGACCTATGCCCGAGACTTGATTTGTCCGGTCATGCACTGCCGAAGTAAAACTCCTTGTATGCTATTTTTATTTTACTCAAGTTGTGTTCTGATTATAAGGGGGTCCCTGAGGAATTTGCTATGACAAAATGGGTCCCTGGCCCCAAAGGGTTTGAGAACCCCTGGGCTAAATGATTAAAATGTAAATGTCAACACCCATTGGCACCAGCAGGGGTCACTATTTATTTTCTGGTGAAAGTACTCACGAGGCAATAATGTGAGTTTACAAAAGCCTGGATCATTTGTTATCATAGTGAGTCTGTGGCCATCGATGTGCTCCTTTGTCATTGTTGTATCTCTGTTTAATCTCCCTGCTGTATCACTCAATTCATACAGTTGTCAATGTCTACACAAGAATGGAGAAATGTAATGTTTTCTGTGCATTAGTAAGTTCAAAAGGTCATTGCTCACCTAGTTGAGTTAACCTGCTGTTTTCCTACTCTCTCTTCATTAGCATATATGGCACCTGAGGTCATTACGAGGGCAAAGGGCGAAGGTCACGGACGAGCAGCCGACATTTGGAGTCTGGGATGTGTCCTCATAGAGATGGTGACTGGGAAGGTAAGAACGCACAAACACTCTCTTCTACGCTCAAGGGAACTTTGAGCTGACATTTAACCACAATGGTCATCATACAATCCATCTTGTTTCCCCGTTGGTGCTAGCATTTATACTACTACTATCACCACCACTACTACTACTACTACTACTACCACTACTACTGTCTCTATCACTACTACTACTATTGGTGTTCAACCTTCCCAAGTTCTCTCACGTCACCCCGCTCCTCCGCACACTCCACTGGCTTCCAGTTGAAGCCCGCATCTGCTACAAGACCATGGTGCTTGCCTACGGAGCTGTGAGGGGAACGGCACCTCCTTACCTTCAGGCTCTGATCAGTCCCTACACCCAAACGAGGGCATTGCGTTCATCCACCTCTGGCCTGCTGGCCCCCCTACCTCTGCGGATGCACAGTTCCCGCTCAGCCCAGTCAAAACTGTTCGCTGCTCTGGCACCCCAATGGTGGAACAAGCTCCCTCACGATGCCAGGACAGCGGAGTCACTCACCACCTTCCGGAGACACTTGAAACCCCACCTCTTTAAGGAATACCTGGGATAGGATCAAAGTAATCCTTCTACCCTACCCCACCCCCCAAAATAAAAATATATATTGTAAAGTGGTTGTCCCACTGGCTATCATAAGGTGAATGCTCTGGATAAGAGCGTCTGCTAAATGATGTAAATGTATTGCTACTACTACTATCATCACCACTACTGCAACCACTACTACTATCTCTATCAGTACTACTATCTCTATCAGTACTACTACTATCACTACTACCACCACTTCTACTTCTACTATCACTACTACTACTACTATCACTACCACTACTACAAGCACTACTACATTCACTACTACTACTTTCACTACTACTGTCATCACTACTACTATCGCTGCTGCTACTACTACGTGAATGCTTCGTAGTAGAATTCCATTGTATTACAGGTATTCAAGGTTGTTAACAAATGCCTTGACTGATGCATGTCCTCTCTCTCTGTCTCTCTGTCTGTCTCTCTGTCTGTCTGTCTCTCTCTCAACTCTCTCTGTCTCACTCTGTCTCTCTGTGCATTTACCTGCAGTTAAGCAGATTGAAAAAAAACATTGTGTTTAGAAAGGTCTGGAGACTGATAATGTCTCTTTCTCTCTGGCCTTCTCCCATCATGCAGAGGCCGTGGCACGAGTTCGAGCACAACTTCCAGATCATGTACAAGGTGGGTATGGGCCACAAGCCCCCCATCCCAGAGAAGCTGTCCACAGAGGGGAAGGATTTCCTGGGTCACTGTCTGGAGAGCGAGCCCAAACAACGCTGGACCGCCAGTACCCTACTGGACCACCCCTTCGTCAAGGTCAAACACTATTTTTTTGCTTACTTCATTGCAAAACAAATATTAATAGAACTCCCGGCAACACGACGTTGGACGTAGAGGTACTATTAGACCTGGGCCAAATGGACATCAATCCATATCGTGATAAATTGATGCGATAACAATAAATGTTTAACATTGATGTGCATTTCAGTTTTTGTTAAATTATCCTTTAAACTACTACTACTAGTTTGACGGTTATAGACATTAATTGGCCCATTAACAATCACCCATATTAGCAAGCTTATTACATTTCAAACTTCACTGTTCTCTAGTATAGGCTACTTATCCTAATGAACGATATCAGCAAAATGCCTGTGATAAGTGATCGGTATGGTCAGTGTTAATTTTTGGTTTATCGTCCCAGCTCTAGGTACTTTCATGTTTGAGAGTAATCTTTTTTTCAACTGTGTGGTTATAATTACCTACAAAATCTATTTAAGAAGCATGGTGATGTGTTAACTCAAACATAACATTCAACTCCTCAGTCACTCTGGAAGAAGCAGATTGACAAAGCATGCATAAACACACACGCACATACAGTTCAGTGCAAGGAAAGAGTGCATGCATGCAGACAGTCACATGGTAGTCTTAACTAGATTTAATGTGAAAACGGGAATTTGGAGATCACATGTGAAGACTAACGTACAGCTCATCTCTCCTGTCTTTCAATCCTAGGTTTGCACAGATGAAGAGTGAGTGAGGGGGAACTGACCCTGTGGCTGTCACGTTTACAAACTATAGCACTACTGTACATGTTGGCCAGAGACTGTGGACACACAGCCAGATAGAGGGGCTTTGGACACCAGGAAGAGGAACAGGAAATGATAACTGCAGGCACATGGAGCTAAACTGAGGAACTCTGTTATGACATCATTTCAGATGGATCATGTTCATTAGGCACCAAAACGGACTGCAACAGGGAGGGACACTACCTGGACCTGTTCAATTAGAACCGCTTGTTTTAGTTTTGTCGTTAAAATGTTTTGCTACGGTGTGTCCTAATGAACATGACCCTGTAGTCAAGGGACAGGTCTTGCATGTTCTAGGAGGGGATAGAGGGGAATGTATTGCATTGTACATACTGTAATAATAGGATTGGTTCATTGGATCCTTCCTTGTATAAACAATATTGTAAAGCTTAAGTAATAAGTATAGCCACATCTTGTTGTTCTCTCACTGGTGAAGATAAGATGGAAGACCTGAATAAAAAGGCAAATGAGGAAGACATTTTAAAGAAATTGAAAAATAACAAAAGCTATGGCACTTTTTAAAAAACTGTTCCCCCTTTCAGTGAGTGCACTAGGGGACGAGTGAGGGACAGTTGGGCGCAGTGGAGGAAGGAGATCTTAGTTTAATTCCCATATCTGGGCCTCGTTCAGTCTACAAACGTTGTGGAACATTGCAGCTAGAAATGTCGAGGCATGTTTGTTCTACATAACGTATTTCTGAATGTTCCACAATGTTGTGCCCCAGGTTTGGTCGAGGCAGATATTGTCTTCCCTCGTTTAATGAGGTGAGCCTCATTGCACAGAAGCAGGGGATGCTGTATCTGTATGACTATTTCTACCCAAACATGCAAATTAACTTAACACTCAAAGGCTGTGGGGAAGTCTAGGAAGGAAATAAATGTTTTTTATTTTTGGGGATTTGTTTTTAAAATAGTATTTTTCTTTCGCCTTGCTAAGGAGAGGAATCTATTGGTAACAAGTGGGGCTTAAGCCTATTGCGCGTCCCAAATGGCACCCTATTCCCTATATAGTGCACTACTTTTATATGGGTCCTGGTCAATAGTAGTGTGCTATATAGGGAACAGGGTGCCACTTGGGATGCATAGATGTGGTTGGGGTACTATATGCTTCAGGCATTGATTGGTGGACAGTCAGACAGGTGTGCTCTGATTTGGAGAGCTGCCCACAGAACTGGAGCATATCCAACCAATGACAGGAGACAAAGGTGCGCTCTCCCTGCTGCTGAACACATACATTCTGGTCCTCTGCTGCTCTTAGTGTTTGATATGTACAAAAAATATTAAATCTTTTTTAAAGAAATTATTTTTGTGTGTGAGATTACTGTTTGTCATGACCAAAGGTTAATCAAACATGGCATAGTAATGTTGAAACAGGATCTTAAAATAGAAGGGATTGCCAGCATTTGCACATACAGCATCAATCTGTGAAGTGGTCTCTGGTGCGTTTTACAGCTTTCATTCTTTGGTCTTTATTTTATTACAGAAAAAAGGCATACATGCAAATAAATTGAGTCCATTCACATATGAAATCACAATTTATAAAAGTGCATTTAACAAAGTCACAACCGTGCCAATTTTCCAGTCATACATCTTGATGTACAACAGATGCGGGATGCATACCCTGAACGCTGTGTGCTTTGTATACATTCAGTACATTCCCAAGACTAAAGCAGCAGTCAACCCTGTCTTGTCCTGCTTGAGTTGACTTCAATACTAATACCAATTATTTATTTGGAATCGATTCTTAACTGCTTGAGGTGATCTGCGCTGTAGTTATCAGATTAGTAATGTGAGTGGTCCTTTGGTGCTGTCAAGGATCTTGCTATTGTAAATTGAACTTAGTTGAAGTTGTAAAAAGGTCATCCCCCTCATTTGTTGTTCAGCGGGACCCCATAGCTGGAGCTTCTCTTAATCTCAGTCTGTCCAATCATCCAGCGCACACCAACTGACACTGAGAATTGAATAGAAAGGAAAGAGACTTGAACATACTGTATGCTGAGGGTCGTATGACATCTGTGGTTACAGCATCCAGTGTAGATGTTTGACCAACATGTTTCTCAATGGAATGATTAGTGCAAACATGATTATGTAATGGAAGGCCCAATACTGTCATGTAAGCGATAAGGGCTAGTACCAATGCTTTTACAGACATGCGATGACAAGGCATGCAGTATTATAATTTAGTACTTTCCAAGAGTAAGGAACAAGCTGTTGATCAATATCAGACTTGGCTACTGCATTTCAAAATATTTGGACAAAGATTAGATGGTTAATAGTGGCTAAGATTAGGGAGAATGTACAAATAAATGCACCTTGGGCTCGATTCAATCCGTAGCACAGAAGATCTGTATTGTAGCGCGATTGACATTTTAAAGGCAATGTGACCGCGTTCTCTGAAACTGCATTAAAAAGGTAAATGCTGCACATGTTGGTTCAATCATAAATTACAGTACTTAAGTAGTTTGTGGTACCTGTACTTTACTATTTATATTATTGACAACTTTTACTTTACTACATTCCTAAATAAAATGTGCTTTTTACTCCATACATTTTCCCTGACAACCAAAAGTACTCTATACATTTTGAATGCTTAGCAGGACTGGAAAATGGTCTAATTCACACACTTATCAAGAGAGCATCCCTACTGCCTCTGATCTGGTGGACTCACTAAACACATACTTCATTTGTAAAGGACGTCTGAGTGTTGGAGCGTGCCCCACGCTGACACGGTCGCCAGTTGGATGGTGTTTCCTTCAACACATTGGTTTGGCTGGCTTCCAGGTTAAGCGAGCAGTGTGTCAAGAATCAGTGTGGCTTGGCAGGGTCATGTTTCCGAGGACGCATGGCTCTCGACCTTCGCCTCTCCCCAGTCCGTACGGGAGTTGCAGCGATGGGACAAGACTAACTACCAATTGGATATCATGAAATTGGGGGTAAAACAAAAAAGGATAACTGGGTACTTTATCCACCACTGGTAAATTACCTTTAAAATGTAAACCGCACTACAACGCAGGTCTTCCCCGCTACGGGTTGAATCGAGACCCTTATCGCCAAAGTTATTAGTCACAAAGTTATCCTGGTTGAAGGTGACTTTTGCAACACATTTGTCTCGAGGGCCAGATTTGGCTCAGGGGCTACCAGTTGATAAAATATACCAATAACACCCACCTGCAGCACAGAAACCAACGGTGGCTAGGATGGTGAGAATAGACCCAGACTTGACCAGCTGGACCAGGAGGAGGCAGAGGGGGTATAGGAGAAGGCAGGTCCAGCCCAGCCAGTTGATCAGGGCCCAGGACCTGCGTGGTGGAGTAACTTTGGGGCCTGGGAAACACCCCGTCTGGCTGTAGTCCTCCTGGAACTTGTCCTGGAAAAACGATACATGACCACATCAGTTATCAGTATTTTATGTCTCTGATGTTGTCTATATAATGTATTTATTTTTGTAGTGGATCTCTTTTAATGCAGTGCAATGAAGTATTATCTAATTTAATCTAACCTGGGCCATTTTACATCAGTTACTGTACATATGGGTCGTATTGTGCAAGTGTTCGAAGAAAGTGTTTGGTGCAATATTTGTGAATTAAACATTGGGGACAGAATAAAGTTATAATGTAAGGGTGAAGAGTAGGTACTGACATTAAGATAAAGTATAAATGGAGAGTTTTGGCTTTGTTCTTGGCGCTTACTGTCCTCTAAAGAGCTTTCTGTTCAAAAATAAAGCTCTCCTTTCATTCCACTTCTTCATCTCTCTCTCCCTACGTCACCGCTGAATAGAAGTCTGAGGTCTACAAAGGATAGACTGTACTGATCTAAAAGGAGACATGTAGGCCTGCCACCACTATCCATAAAGGTTGACTACCTACTCACACTAGAACCAGGACATAAACTGTATTGGTTCCAATAGTCTTGTTTGATAGGAACTTCTTGTTCATGTAGAATGATCACAAGCACTCAATGCAGACAACTGCAGTGTCAAACCTGTTCAGTGCATGAGTGCTGTGAATAGGACTATAGCTGCATTTACAAAGGCAGCCCAATTCTGATCTTTTGCCCAATTATTGGTCTTTTGACCAATCAGATCAAATCATTTGCCCATAATTGAGCCAAAGATCATAACTGTACATATTGGTCGGATTGTGCAAGTGATCGAAGAAAGTATTTGGTGCAATGTTTGTGAATAAAAAATTGGGGGCAGAATAAAGTTATAATGTCAGGGTGAAGAGTAGGTACTGACATTAAGATAACGTGTAAATGAAGAGAGTTTTAGCTTTGTCCTTTGTGTTGTATCCCTTACTGAACAAATAGATGCAAACTGCACCTTGTGCAAATTCTTAGTTAGTAAATCTGGCCCATAATGAATTGTGATCCCGCTCCCCAATAAGAACACCACCTTCTCCTGGTAGAGTTTGTGAAGCCAGGCAGAACACTCAGCCTCATCCTCTGGTATGGACTCCAGAGGGATTCTCCTAGAGATAGGAAGGTAGAAGGGAACACATTTATTTTAGCTGTCCAATTAAATTAAATTCAATTCAATTCAATAGAACTTTATGGTCCAGTAAAAAGAAAACAGTCCAAGACAGTCGTGAAGAGGGCACGACAAAGCCTATTCCCCCTCAGGAGACTGAAAAATTTGGCATGTGTCCTCAGATCCTCAAATAGTTCTACAGCTCCACCATCGAGAGCATCCTGACTGGTTGCATAACTGCCTGGTAAGGCAACTGCTCGGCCTCCGACCGCAAGGCACTACAGAGGGTAGTGCATACGGCCCAGTACATCACTGGGGCCAAGCTTCCTGCCATCCAGGACCTCTATACCAGGCGGTGTCAGAGGAAGGCCCTCAAAATTGTCAAAGACTCGAGCCACCCTAGTCATAGACTGTTCTCTCTGCTACCGCACGGCAAGCAGTACCGGAGCGCCAAGTCTAGGTCCAAAAGGCTTCTTAACAGCTTCTATCCCCCAAGCCATAAGACTCCTGAACAGCTAATCAAATGGCTACCTGGACTATTTGCATTTCACTGTAAGGTCTACACCTGTTGTATTCGGCGCATGTGACAAATACAAATTTGATTTGATTAAGACAATATATGGGCCTTGAGATCAGTGAGGTATGCCTCTAACCAATGACCCTTCCAGGTCCCACTCATAGCACTTGCCCAACTTGCGATAGAAAATGCAGGCTTAAAATGTATTCCTATTATCCATACATACCTTACATATAAATCTGGATGATACTTCTCCCCATTGAGAACTCCTAACAAGGTTGGAGTTTCGTTGTTTCTGAAATTTAGTGTACAACAGTACACGGCAGCAACTAAAGGGGTAACAGAGAAAAACAAAAAATTCAATGGCACCAGTCTTCATCCAAAATATAAAAAAATAATACTTAGATATTCACTCATGAGCAGGGTTGTACGGAAGAGTATTAAGGGGAAGGGGATACCTAGTCAGTTGCACAACTGAATGCATTCAACCAAAGTGTGTCTTCCGCATTTAACCCAACTCCTCTGAATCAGAGAGGTGTGGGGGGCTGCCTTGAATCGATGTCCACGTCATCGGCACCCGGGGAGCAGTTGTTGCTGGGGGTTAACTGCCTTGTTCAAGGGTAGAACATCAGATTTTCCCACCTTGCTGGCTCTGGGATTCAAACCAGCAACCTTTCGGTTACTAGCCCAACGCTCTTAACCGCTAGGCTACCTGCCGCCCCCATATTAGGGCCAAGTGAAGAAAAGAAAATAGCTGGTGGTGGTAATTGGATTTTTAAAAAATAGCACTTTAAATAAGTGGCAATATTTAGAGAATAAAGTAGAAATTAAATTTAGAGAATAAAGTCGCAATATTTCAAGAATAAAGTCCATTTATTTTTTATAGTCCATATATTTTTTTAGAAAGTCGACATTGAGAATAATGTTGCTGTTATATTTTAAGATTAAAGTAGGGGATTTGGTTAACTGCATGTCTGTCTGGCTCCCTGTTGCTGTGCACACCACCATGGCACAACCTCTTCTAGGTCCTAATACTTAATGTAATACTTAATAATTTGGTTATTATGTTCTAAAAGAGCAAGGATTTGCTTGTTACTAAAGCCAATTCTAAAGTATAGTTTTACCAGTCCTCTAACTCAGGCATTTCAATGGTGGCGTGCACAGCAACAGGGAGCCAGGGAGGCATGCAATTAATAACCAAATCCCCTACTTTCATCTTGAAGTACAACTGCGACTTTATTCTCGAAATATTGCCACTTTATTCATGAAATTTATATTTGGAATATTCCCGAAAATGTATTTCAACTTAATTGTCAAAGTATTTAAAGTCTTTAAAGTCCTATCTGTGCAAAAAAAATATCCAAGTACCACCACCCAGCACCTATTTATTTTTTCTCTTCACTTGGCCCTAATACTCTTCTGTAGTGTTGAGTAGGTTTCTTTCTAAATTTTATCCGTTACAGTTATTAGTTACCTGTCCAAAATTGCAATCAGTAACGTAACCTTTTTATTACCCAAACTCAGTAACAATCTGATTACTTTGTTACTTTTGGATTACTTTCCCCTTAAGAGGCATTCGAAGAAGACATAAACACATTCCACAGGTGGAACAAAGTTAAACTGAGAAAACAAAGGTGTCAATGTATTTTCTCGCAAACATCCTTTCTGAATTTAAAAATAATCATCTAGTTTTTCAAAAGTATCTGTAATCTGATTACAATATTTTTGTTGGAAACCTAACTGATTACAGTTACAGTTTTTATGTAATCAGATGACATGTAATCAGTCACTCCCCAACCCTGCTCATGTGTTTGACATCCTGGAGCTCTCCACGGTTCCACACCTGTCCCTCTGAGGTTCTGAACGGCTACCCAGAAGCCCTTGGTCCTGGGCAGGAGGTGGTGTTTGAGTTTGGGCAGGCCTTTCTTCTCTGCCACCTCCATGCTGACCTGATGCTTCTCCTCTGTGAAGCGTGTTCCCTCACAGTGGAGCAAGAACTGGCACACAATTAGAGATTCACTGTAGCATCAAAACTCTGTTTAGATTGACCAACCAACCTGTATGCTCATGTTTACAAGGTGAGTCTCATTATATTCGCACATTGTTATCCTTCCTAGACTTGTGACATAATATTGATGGTATTAGATGAACAACCAAACTGCATACTCATGTTTAGTTGTGAAGAAATCTGGAATAAGGAGTTTAAAAAGATGCCACATCCATCACATCCTCTCATGAACTATACATGTCTTAATCAACTTTTTAGTATTAAGTGTCATTACTGATTGATTACTTTACTGGTTGATTGATTGGTTGGTTGGTTGATTGATGGCTCACCCAGAAGTTCTCAGGGTAATCCCGTAAATTCTGAAGACTCTGGACAAAGTTCCTCTTATCTTCCTCCCACTTCCTCTTAATAAACACCATCTCCAGGAAGTACCACATCCAGCCAATCACAGGCAGGTACGACAACTCTTTCTTGGCTAAACATTTGGAGGCCTGGAAAGGGAAAGATTGTTAATGTGTTTGAGTACAGAGGGCATCAAAGAACTTCTGAAAATCTGGGTCTTTTCTCAATTAATCTTTCTGCAATTCATTACTTCCCACCTTCTTTGCCTCCTCCTTCACGGTATTGAAGGAGAAGGTCCAAGGTGAGAAGGAGGCAAGGAGAGAGGATGCAAGGAATCTAAGACAGATTCATCGAGAAAGAGCCCTGTTCTCTTACCCCAAGGACCCCAAATATGTCACAGAAGGTCCAGCCACACAGAAAGTCTATTTCAAAGTTGTGGTTGAGGACGACGATGGCGTTCTCTTTGCCGTAGAGTCGGTAGTTCTCTGGGTCTGTGTAGAGCACAACTTCAGTGCCAGACCACCACTCTAGGAGAGCCACAGATTCTGGGGAACACACATAGCATAACATAACAGAGTAAAGCGTAAATAATATAACACTGTGTCAGCAGGTACAGTAACTTTGCATTGCAGTTATTGCACAACGTTTGAGAGAGGATAGCCCTCCTGCAGCGTCAGTGCACTTAAAGGGGCAATCTGCGATTGGTACATACATTTTTTTTCTTTTAAATGGGTGATATATACCCATTGATTCTTGAAGAATATAACATAAATACCTCATGAGCTTAGATCAACTGTCGATCCCCATCAATATCCAAAATATAAGCTTTTTTTACTCTGTTGTTTGTAAATAATGCAATTGGAAACAAACACTGTATATCCTCAAAACATGGTTAAAACTATCATTTTGATCTCATTGATGGTCATGAACTGCCAACCCTCAGCTTTTTACCAAAACAGTGGCGGGGAATCCGCTTTGTTTTTGTTTGAACTGCATATCAAATTCAATCACATTTTATTGGTCACGTACACAGATTTTGCAGAGGTTATCGCAGGTGTAGCGAAATGCTTATGTTTCTAGCTCCAACAGTGCAGTAATACCTAACAATACACACAAATCCCCAAAATGTTAATTAATTAAGAAATATTAGAACGAACGAGCAATGTCAGAGTCCGGGATGGATGGATGGATGGATAGATGGATGTGTGTATAGTATGTGTACAGCAGTTGTTATATAGGATAATCCTTGACTAGAATACAGTATATACAGTTGAAGTAGGTAGTTCACATACACCTTACCCAAATACATTTAAACTCAGTTTTTCACAATTCCCGACATTTAATCCTAGTAAAAATTCCCTGTCTTAGGTCAGTTAGGATCACCACTTTATTTTAAGAATGTGAAATGTCAGAATAATAGTAGAGAGAATGATTTTTCAGCTTTTATTTATTTCATCACATTCCCAGTGGGTCAGAAGTTTACATACGCTCAATTAGTATTTGGTAGCATTATCTTTAAATTGTTTAACTTGGGTCAAACGTTTCGGGTAGCCTTCCACAAGCTTCCCACAATAAGTTGGTTGAATTTTGGCCCATTCACCCTGACAGAGCTGGTGTAACTGAGTCAGGTTTGTAGACCTCCTTGCTCGCACATGCTTTTTCAGTTCTGCCCACAAATGTTCTATAGGATTGAGGTCAGGGCTTTGTAATGGCCACTCCAATACCATGACTTTGTTGTCCTTAAGCCATTTTGCCACAACTTTGGAAGTATGCTTGGGGTCATTGTCCATATGGAAGTCCCATTTGCGACCAAGCTTTAACTTCCTGACTGATGTCTTGAGATGTTGCTTCAATATATCCACATAATTTTCCTTCCTCATGATGCCATCTATTTTGTGAAGTGCACCAGTCCCTCCTGCAGCAAAGCACCCCCACAGCATGATGCTGCCACCCCCGTGCTTCACGGTTGGGATGGTGTTCTTCGGCTTGCAAGCAACCCCCTTTTACCTCCAAACATAACGATGGTCATTATGGCCAAACAGTTCTATTTTTGTTTCATCAGACCAGAGGTCATTTCTCCAAAAAGTACAATCTTTGTCCCCATGTGCACTTGCAAACCGTAGTCTGGCTTTTTTTTATGGCGGTTTAGGAGCAGTGGCTTCTTCCTTGCTGAGCGGCCTTTCAGGTTATGTCGATATAGGACTCGTTTTACTGTGGATATAGATACTTTTGTACCTGTTTCCTCCAGCATCTTCACACGGTCCTTTGCTGTTGTTCTGGGATTGATTTGCACATTTCGCACAAAAAGTACGTTAATCTCTAGGAGACAGAACGCGTCTCCTTCCTGAGTGGTATGACGGCTGCGTGGTCCCATGGTGTTTATACTTGCGTACCATTGTTTGTACAGATGAACATGGTACCTTCAGGCGTTTGGAAATTGCTCCCAAGGATGAACCAGACTTGTGGAGGTCTACAATTTTATTTCTGAGGTCTTGGCTGATTTATTTTGATTTTCCCATGATGTCAAGCAAAGAGGCACTGAGTTTGAAGGTAGGCCTTGAAATACATCCACAGGTACACCTCCAATTGACTCAAATTATGTCAATTAGCCTATCAGAAGCTTCTAAAGCCATGACATCATTTTCAGGAATTTTCCAAGCTGTTTAAAGGCACAGTCAACTTAGTGTATGTAAACTTCTGACCCACTGGAATTGTGATACAGTTAATTATAAGTGAAATAATCTGTCTGTAAACAATTGTTGGAAAATGTACTTGTGTCATGCACAATGTAGATGTCCTAACCGACTTGCCAAAACTATAGTTTGTTAACAAGAAATGGTTGAAAAACAAGTTAATGACTCCAACCTAAGTGTATGTAAACTTCCGACTTCAACTGTACATATGAAATGGGTAAAACAGTATGTAAACATTATTAAAGTGATCAGTGTTCAATGACTATGTACATAAGGCAGCAGTCTCTAAGGTGCAGGGTAGAGAACTGGGTGGTAGCCAGCTAGGAACAGTGACTAAGTTCAGGGCAGGGTACTGGGCGGAGGCCGGCTAGTGGTGACTATTTAACAGCCTGATGACCTGGAATTAGAAGCTGATTTTTCAGTCTCTCTGTCCCAGCTTTGATGCATATGTACGGTCTCTGCCTTCTAGATGGTAGCGGGGTGAACAGGCTGTGGCTTGGGTGGCTGAGGTCCTTGATTATCTTCTTGGCCTTCCTGTGACACCGGGTGCTGTAGATGTCCTGGAGGGCAGATAGTGTGCTCACTGTGATGCGTTGGGCTGACCGCACCACCCTTTGGAGAGCCCTGCGGTTGCGGACGGTGTAATTGCCGTACCACACCGTACCAGGCGTTGATACAGCCTGACAGGATGCTCTCAATGGTGCATCTACAGAATTTCCTGAGGGTCTTAAAGGGCTAAGCCACATTTCTTCACCCTCCTGAGTGGATGGACCATTTCAAGCTCTCTCTGCTGTCTCCTGAAGTCCACGATCAGCTCCTTCATTTTGTTGGTGTTGAGTGAGAGGTTATTCTCCTGGCACCACTCTGCCAGGGCCCTCACTTCCTCCCTGTAGACTGTCTTGTTGTTGTTGGTAATAAGGCCTACCACTGTTGTGTCGTCAGCAAACTTGATGATTGAGTTGGAGACGTGCATGGCCACGCAGTCATGGATGAACAGGGCGTACAGGAGGGGGCTGAGCACGTACACTTGTGGGGCCCACGTGTTGAGGATCAGTGTGTTGTTGCCTACCTTCACCACCTGGGGTTGGCCCGTCAGGAAGTCCAGGACCCAGTTGCACAGGGCGGGGTTCAGACCCAGGGCCTCAAGCTTAGTGATGAGCTTGGAGGGCAATATTGTGTTGAAGGCTGAGCTGAAGTCGATGAACAGCATTCTTACATAGGTATTCCTCTTGTCCAGATGGGATAGGGCGAGAACGAGAGCTCACTGTCCTCATGAGCGGTGGTGGCCCGAAGACGGTGTTTAGCTTGTCCGGGAGCAAGGCGTCGATGTCCGCAATGTGGCTGGCTTTCCCTTTATAATCTGTGATTGTCTGGAGTCCCTGACACATACGTCTCATGTCTGAGCTTGTCCCTTTAATCACTGAAGTGAAACAATAGTGAAAGAGAGTGATATTCGGTTTGTATTTCAGGCCAAGAGAAGGCCTGCAGTAGAAGTAAAGAACAGTAGAATAGATCCTACTCACGGCTGGTGAGGCAGTATCCCAGTTTACAGTTGATCCTCCTGGCCAGCTGCTTGTTGATTGGCCAGAGGGGCAGAGTGCAGATCTGTAATAGGTTGACCAGGAGACCGCTGACCAAGAACCCATAGCAGATGACCAGATGACACAAGAACTGGCCCTTCAACCACTGTACCAGACCCATCTAGAGGAGAGGAGTGGGGAGGAAGGGAAAGGGGATACCTAGTCAGTTGCACAACTGAATGCATTCAGAGGAGCGGAGGGGAGAGGAGAAGGGAGGTATTTGGTATTTTATTAGGATCCCCATTAGCTGTTGCAAAAGCAGCAGCTACTCTTCCTGGGGTCCACACAAAACATGAAACATGACATAATACAGAACATTAATAGACAAGAACACCTCAAGGACAGAACTACATCAAAAAATTTTTAAGGCACACGTAGCCTACATATCAATACATACACAAACTCTCTAGGTCAAATAGGGGAAAGGCGTTGTGCCTTGAGGTGTTGCTTTATCTGTTTTTTGAAACCAAGTTTGCTGTTCACTTGCGCAATATGAGATGGAACGGAGTTCCATGCAATAATGGCTCTATATAATACTGTACGCTTTCTTGAATTTGTTCTGGATTTGGGGACTGTGAAAAGACCCCTGGTGGCATGTCTGGTGGAGTAAGTGAGTGTGTCAGAGCTGCGTGTAAGTTGACTATGCAAACAATTTGGGATTTTCAACACATTAATGTTTCTTATAAAAAGAAGAAGTGATGCAGTCAGCCTCTCCTCAACTCTTAGCCAAAAGAGACTGGCATGCATAGTATTTATATCAGCCCTCTGATTACAATGAAGAGCAAGACGTGCCGCTCTGTTCTGGGCCAACTGCAGCTTAACTAGGTCTTTACTTGCAGCACTCGACCACACAACTGGACAATAATCAAGATAAGACAAAAATAGAACCTGCAGGACTTGCTTTTTGGAGTGTGGTGTCAAAAAAGCAGAGCATCTCTTTATTACACAGACCTCTCCCCATCTTTACAACCATTTAATCTATATGTTTTGACCATGACAGTTCACAATCTAAGGTAACGCCAAGTAATTTAGTCTCCTCAACTTGTTCAACAGCCACACCATTCATTACCAGATTCAGCTGAGGTCTAGAACTTAGGGAATGATTTGTACCAAATACAATGTTCTTAGTTTTACTGGCCACCCATTCCAAAACACACTGCAACTCTTTGTTAACGGTTTCAGTGACTTCATTAGCTGTGGTTGCTGATGCGTATATGATTGAATCATCAGCATACATGGACACACATGCTTTGTTTAATGCCAGTGGCAGGTCATTGGTAAAAATAGAAAAGAGTAGAGGGCCTAGAGAGGTGCCCTGCGGTACACCACACTTTACATTAGAGAAGCTTCCATTAACGAAAACCCTTTGAGTTCTATTAGATAGATAGCTCTGAATCCACGATATGGCAGAGGTTGAAATGCCATAACACATAAAAAAAATTCAACAACAGGTTATGGTCAATAATATCAAAGGCTGCACTGAAATCTAACAATACAGCTCCCACAATTTTCTTAGTATCAATTTCTTTCAACCAATCATCAGTCATTTGTGTCAGTGCAGTACAAGAGGGGGGAGGGGGGGAGGATAAATAACAGACATAGTAGATGAGCAGCAGGTGACACAGGAACCACTGCACCAGGCCCATCTTCCTATTGGAAGATAGACTGTAAACCTTGTCAAACATTTCTCTGTCCTCACCTTCCCTTCTTCTGCACTGATTGGAAAATGACTTGACATTTTAAGCTTGTCATTCAGCTGGCTTTCACCTGGTCAGTTCTTTCAGATCAGAGGAGAGAAGGCAAAGAGAGGACAGATCTTTTAGACAGTTGCGACAGAGCCAAACAGATCCAATCTCGTATGATTTCCTGCCATCAAACATCCAAAATCCTGAACAAAATACAGTAGCTGACGTTGCATAAGATAGATGATTACGTCAGGCAAAAATGAAAGGAGGGTGGTTGGTCGGGCGTATAACACAAACGTCTAGCAACCGGAAGGTTGTGAGTTTGAATCTTATCACGGACAACTTTAGCATTTGAGCTAATTAGCAACTTTTCAACTACTTACTACTTTTTAGCTACTTTGCAACTAATTAGCATGTTAGCTAACCCTTCACCTAACCTAAATCAAATAAAATTTTATTTTATCACATGCACCGAATACAAGTGTAGACTTTACCGTGAAATGCTTACTTATGAGTCCTTTCCCAACAATGCAGTTAAAAAGTAAGAAAATTAACAAGTAGATAAAAAGAAAATAGCAACACAATAAAATAACACAATAAATAACAATAACGAGGCTATATACAGGCTATGTACAAGGAGTACCGGTACAGAGTCAGTGTACTGGGGTACGAGGTGGTTGTGGCGGTTGATTGAGGTAATACAGTATGTACATGTAAGTTTGGTTAGGTGATTGATTGAAGTACTATGTACATGTGGGTAGGGGGTGAAAAGCATAAAGCCCGGGTAGCCGTTTAATCAACTGTTCAGCAGTCTTATGGCTTTTGGGTAGAAGCCTTTTGGTCCCAGGTAGCATGAAGAACAGACTGTGACTTGGACGGTTAGAGTCTGTAAGTCGCTCTGGATAAGAGCGTCTGCTAAATGACAAAAATGTAAATGTAAATGAGTCTTTTACATTTTATATGGCATCACCTGGTATAGAGGTCCTGGATAGCAGGGAGCTCGGTCCCAGTGATGTACTGGGCCGTACGCACTACTACCCTCTGTAGCGCCTTGCGGTCGGATGCCGAGCAGTTGCCATACCAAGCGGTGATGCAGCCAGTCAGGATGCTCTCAATGGTGCAGCTGTAGAACATTTTGAGGATCTGAGGGCCCATGCCAAATCCTTTTGTTTCAGCCTTTCGGATTTACGTACAGAATAATACTAAATGATCTGAGACCAGGTTGGACAGCCAAGTCTCAAAGATACACATCAATGAGATACTGTAACTTCCAGTCCTCAGTATAGGTCACCATTGCACGACTACTATGCATGCATCGCTTGCATGTATTTACATTGTGTGCGAATGCACTACCAGAGTTTTGAAAAGTCTGTTTAATAATACTTAGGCCTACCTGTGGATATTTTGTCTCAAGTTCCCAGAGGTATGAGGACAAACCACCCAGACAACCGGTAGAGTAAGTTCAAATGTAATTTTATTTTATTCACATTATTTAGTCTCGCTGGCCACTTCAAATAGTTTAAGTTCAATATTTCAGAAGGTGAATTACGTAAGCTAGTCACTGGATGGCTAATGGGGCAAAGGTCACCCCACCCTCGCTCCACAACAGTTGGCAGAGCTATTGTGTTATCCTGACCCTGACTGACACAGTGAAGCGCTCACTGCCCTCCAAAGAGCTGGCTGTTAAAAAATAAAGCTCCTTTTATTCAACTTCTTCATCTCTCTCCCTTCCTCCATCTCGGCTGAATAGAAGTCATTGAGGTCTACTAACGAAAGATTGTACTGATCTAAAAAGGAGACATGTAGGCTTGCCACCACATCCATAAAGGTCCAAGGGTGGATTGGCCATCTGGCAATTCTGGCAAATGCCTGATGGGCTGGACAATTTTCTTGTTGGGTGGGCTGCTCGAAATTGACACACGAAAATATAATTTGTATATAAATGTAAAACAATGGCAAAGGTGACATGGCTGGCAGCCCATGGGCCTGATAAGTTATTATTATTATTTCTTTTTTTTATTGTGCAATTTCTCTGTTATACTAACAGCCTTTGGCTGATCAGTGGGCAACGGCCAGCCCCCCTACCAAGATGGGCCGGCCCGGTTTTCTGATGAGCTGAGGTCACGCAAACTCACATTCAAAGTCAAACGCGGCATCAGCAAAGAGACCTGCTCCAACTCTGTCATCAGTTAAGACAGCCAAGATCATGGCTATTAAAAAACGGAAACAGTGCCTATAAATTAAGAAAGAGCATATTTTAAATTGTAACTCACTCAAAACTTCCTATTGATCCTAAAACCATGATTTGGTCAAACAGTGAAGTGCATTATCCTCCTGATTCCTGTAATCAAAGTGTCTGCCCTGCCCCTGTGCCTGTACCCTTGCTGGGGCCTGATGCTGGGATAAGCGAGCCACTCTCCTCTCCCCCCATGCACTCGAGAGAAAAATGTGTTCTGATTGTAGGCTATAACATTTCAAAATGCAAATACAGGAAAAACACAGCTTTGGAACCAAGACTTAAAAAGAACTGATATTGGCACAAGATGGAGGGAGTGTTGGAACATAACACACAAAATTACAGTTAACGAAAATGTACGCTTAATCCAGTATAAATGAATGTATAGAATTTAATATACAGTGGGGAAAAAAAGTATTTAGTCAGCCACCAATTGTGCAAGTTCTCCCACTTAAAAAGATGAGAGAGGCCTGTAATTTTCATCATAGGTACACGTCAACTATGACAGACAAATTGAGAAAAAAAATCCAGAAAATCACATTGTAGGATTTTTAATGAATTTATTTGCAAATTATGGTGGAAAATAAGTATTTGGTCAATAACAAAAGTTTCTCAATACTTTGTTATATACCCTTTGTTGGCAATGACACAGGTCAAACGTTTTCTGTAAGTCTTCACAAAGTTCAAACACACTGTTGCTGGTATTTTGGCCCATTCCTCCATGCAGATCTCCTCTAGAGCAGTGATGTTTTGGGGCTGTCGCTGGGCAACACAGACTTTCAACTCCCTCCAAAGATTTTCTATGGGGTTGAGATCTGGAGACTGGCTAGGCCACTCCAGGACCTTGAAATGCTTCTTACGAAGCCACTCCTTCGTTGCCGGGCGGTGTGTTTGGGATCATTGTCATGCTGAAAGACCCAGCCACGTTTCATCTTCAATGCCCTTGCTGATGGAAGGAGGTTTTCACTCAAAATCTCACGATACATGGCCCCATTCATTCTTTCCTTTACACGGATCAGTCGTCCTGGTCCCTTTGCAGAAAACAGCCCCAAAGCATGATGTTTCCACCCCCATGCTTCACAGTAGGTATGGTGTTCTTTGGATGCAACTCAGTATTCTTTGTCCTCCAAACACGACGAGTTGAGTTTTTACCAAAAAAGTTATATTTTGGTTTCATCTGACCATATGACATTCTCCCAATC